TTAGATATTTCACTCAGTCGAGTAATTAAAAACAATCGTTATTTCGACGAACTGTTACAAAATTCTGTGAGTAACGTATGAGAAAACTTAGTCGACGATAAATATCAACCTGAAAGAATTCAACAATTGAGCAAAATATAATTGCCACAGATGAAGAACTGACTGAGAAGAATCACTCTACCGTTTACCCTAAAATATTTTAGGATGATATTTAAAAAGAAGAGAAAATAAGTTCTATACGAAATGTTCCATACGAAAGAATCTTCAACGAAGAGTCAGTAGATGTTTGTTCTTCTACTCTGACTCATTTAGATCACGAGTTATTTTTTGATCAAATCGTAAAGAATCTAAAGGAACTTTTACACACGCAATATATCGAAAAATTGATAGGAAATAAAAAGCCAATGGCTTGATAACTACTTTAACTGTTCGAAATCATTTTTATTAGAAGAACCTCAACGATTTAAATTTAGTACAGGAAAAACTATGAAAACCTCGCTCTTATTATCATCGTTTATTGTTAGTCGAGATATCGCCGATGACGCATGAAAGATAACGCAGACGCTCTCTTTGTCAAATCAGTTTCAGAAAATGGTAGGGTTAACTCCGCATCTATTAACGGAGCAAGAAATGCGTCCATTAACAAGGCAATACTGTACTTGACACAATACAATAAAGACTTCGTAATGCTGAGTTCATACTGCTCGTCCGATTGCAGAGTGGATTTTATGAGCAGCGAGCAAAGAGCTTTGTTCGCTCAGGAGTCAAAAGGCTTATTCGCAAAGGGCCTGCTTATATTTGTTTGTGAGTCTCAATATGAATATAATATTGCTTCTACTTGTGAACAGTTTGTTATCAGATCGCAAATTGACCGTGAACTGCTGATAAATAGTTCTGGTCAATTGTGAATCCAGCATAGGGATTCGGAAGTCAAGTCTTGGTAGGTAACAACCAGAACAAACGATAGACACGATTCCTCAAATTCTTTGTGGTTGTTTTGCTGAACAGGGACGAATGCAGAAAAAAAGAGCGAACGAGAAGGAGAACCTACCAACTGAATTGAATAAATGACAATATCGTGTCTATTCTTATCTCAATCTGAAAGGTGTAAAAAAAAAGTTTTATTAACAAAGAAACTAACAATGAAAAATAAAAGTTTGCATTAATATAGTCTTACTGATACGAAAAAAAAGAACGTTAATATATCAGACTATCATATATCAGGCATTTGCTTGATTGAAAAACCCTTTCCTCAATGCAACAATTAGGTAACAATTATAATATAGTCTTTATGAATAATTATAGTGTCCTTACTATAGTCGACTAGAATATAGGTATTATAAATGAAAACATTCAATTAACACATTTAAAACAGAAAGAAGATATTAATTTTTAAATATTTTAAAAAATGATCTTATAATATAGATTCTTAGAATATAAAACTTATATTGTTATTAAGCAATGCTAACCCAATTGTATTACCAAAAACATAGTATACACAGTGATGTATTTTGAGAGAAATGAAGTCTAGTTATGATATACATAAATATGTAGATATGTTATATATATACGCGGTGCTGTGAAATGATGTCATTAAGTGATTCGCATCGATATCAAAATGTTGCCACTTTTGTAGTGATAAATACAAATAACGAATGATATTTTTTTCTTCCTTTGTCATTAAATATTTCTACTTTTGTCATTAGGTTTAAAATAAAAGAAATTTACAAACTATTGAAACTTTGTGGATGACACAAATCCGTGGATGACTAATTTGATGCTTTACGAAAAAATAAAATCACTTAAATATTCTCTATTACATATAGTTGTATGAAAAAATATTTCTCGAGATAAAGTTACATTTAAGGATGTATGTATTTTGTCATAAAAATTATTGTCTTATATATTTTTATAAGTAAAGAGATAGAAGAGATATTAAAATTCAACTATCTTTTTAATGAAATCCTATACTTCTTTATTTATAATATACTTCTTTATTTATAATATAGCAACGTTGAGATAAATCCAACAATATACAACAATAAATTATATCTAACTAATCATATGTTATAATAAAGAAAATGCTTCTAATTATACTTATAATTGCTGTCAATTACAAAAATAAAATAAACACACCTAGAAATAACATGAGGTAACACAATAGCCTAGTCTTATACAATTATATCAGTGAATTATTTTCAATGCTCTCAAAAGCAATATTTTATCTCTGCATGAAAAATAATAAGTCAAATTATATGTTTAATTTTATGTTTCAAATTCTTTTAAATTAAAAATATGATTTTTTAATATTTATATATATCACCAGATTCTATTGTGGGAAATATTCTTTTTTTTGTTTTTAAATGAAATGGTATTTTTGAAGTGTAACTCTATATTTTTATAATATATATACTAAATTTCTATAATAGAGGCTACAATAAATAATAGATTAATATATCATTATTTTCATGATTTCCCATATTTTCTAAATCTATCTCATCCTTAAATCTACATAATCTTTTTAACTACTTCCTAAGACCAAAAATATAACTTACAGTATTCTATATTAAATTTGCACTCATACCTACACAAACTTAAGAATTCTTACTAATGGGTCAACCTATGAATGCAGACTACATTAAATGTAAATAGAAATGTTATGAACATTTTCCTAGCATTTTAATTTTTAAAGGTTAATAATGGCAAAATTGAAAACATATATAATAAAAAAACATAAAATATATAGTAATCTACTCTTAAAAACATAGTTTTATTTCAAAGCTGATGTTAGAATTAAAATTATCAAAACGAATACCATGTTTTAGAAAATGCTATTTGGACAAACAACTAATTCAAGCATATAACAAAATATTCCGATATTGAATTAACATACATTACTGAAAGATTTTCATTTTCAACGATCGACAGGAATTGCACATGCTTACAAGTTACTTTCAATATTATATCCTACAAAATAATATATGAAATTAAATTTTTAATCATTTTATAAAGAATTGGTATTATAAATTAAAAAAACATATGTTAAAAATAAAAACAATATAATTCTTTAAACTAAGAAATGAAATAGAAACCTTAAATGTAAAATAAACATTTACTGTTTTATAAGAAATATATAAAAATATATAAAAATAATTTTATTAAATTTTGAGATATAAAAGTAATTTTAATTTTATGTCAGTTGATATAAATTCTTGGCATGTAGTTTAATGATATTAAAAAATGCAAAATACAACATAAGATGTAAAAAAAATTGTATATCACAACTATCTGATATCTATACCCTTGGTTTAATGGAAATAAACCTATAAAAGATATTATAAAGTTAAACTTGAAACTCTGTTCAAATTTTTTTTCTTGTATCATATTTCATTCATCACAATGACTGATCAAAGAAACTATAGGTTGTTAGTGAATCATTCTCTTGGAAAATGATCATTAACTTTATTTATATTTATATGTTTTAGTTAAATATAGTTAAATCTAGTTAAAGAAGTTATCTAGCATGTTCTCGTTAAACAGGAAATTATTTTTTAATAGGTAAAATATTCCACTCTGGAATGATTCATCAGAGGATGATGAGAAGATGATTCACCAACTAAAGAATAATTTCCTAATAATATATTATTTACTTTCTATCTGATTATAAAATATAAACATATCTTAAATCATTGTGATACTTGGATTTTTAATATGATAATTCAATAATGATCCATAGTTTCTTTGATGAGTATGATCTTTGATATAAATATAATGCAAACAAGGAAGTTTGATCTTGAATATTAATCTACTTTACATATTAAGTTAATTTCCATTAAACAAGAAACATATACTATTTACGTACCTTATAAATAAAAATATGATATAAAAATACTATTTTATCAATTATATATATAAGTTTTTTACATATTAAATATATTCAAAGAAATTTGTTCATTTTTATTTGCAATGCAACCCAAAATATATAGTATTTATTCTAATGTTATTTATTTATACTTAATTTTGAATGTTTTGTATAAAATTTTTCTAACAATAAAATTAATTCCTTTTCAAAATAATTAATATATAAAATTATTTAACATCTTTACATTCTTTTTATAAATATACTGAAATATATTTTTTCATTAAAGTTCCAATCAAGTTTGCTGCATATTAACCACAATAATTTATTACATTACCAACTATCTAAAATTTTATAGATATTGTCTTTTAAAATATATATATATATAATGGCATAATCAAAAGACGACATAAAATTTCATTTTAGTGTATAAAATGTTTAATAATACTTCTGAATCATTTGATAACCATTTGATAATCATTTGTTATTTTATATCTTATTAATGCAAAATTCTTTTTCATTATGTAAATTTTCTAGTAATGATAATAAATTTCCCTAAGAAACACATCAAAATAATATATTAAATTTAACAATTAATATAATCAACAGAAAATCTTGTAATTTCCAAATGTTTCCTACATTATATTTATCATTAATTTTTAATATATTTTAATAATTTCTTTATATAGATAAAACATATGTATTATAAAAATTGCAATAAAAATTAAGTATGACAAAACATTCATTTCCATTATAACATTTGAAGCCATATTTTATCAAAAAAATTTTTTTTTACAGATATTAATTTTATAGATGTAATAATTGCTGTTGTATTACAAATATAACAAATATAATTAAAAAAATTAATATATTTCATTGTTCATGTAATCTAATTTTTTTTTAATAAACTTTCATATCGTGAAAAAATTTATATTTTGTTAAACACGTTTCTATACACAAAACACAACCTTGTACCAATAGCAACAAGAATGTTATTTCATACATATATTTAAAAAAGATAATTTTAAAACAATATTTAAAAGCAACATTCAAATATTTCAGAAATTAATAACAATGTAATTTATTCCATTCTTCCAAAAGTCATTAAGATATTATAAACGCAATGACAAGAGGTACTTACTTTATATTAAAATATTATAATTCTTCCTATAATATATCAAAATTGCATCAAGTAACACCAACACGAACTGTTAATGGACATGTTACACAGTACTGATGGGTATTCACAACTACAAGAACTAATAAAATTTGACATTAGATTTTGTTTAAATACTTCAAAATACTAACTACATTAATCCATTTTTGGAAAACTAAAATATACGAAACGTTCACATTTAATTCCACATTTAATTCTAGTTTAACAAAAATTTTGTACAACGTTACGTTACAAAACCACTAACAAAGTAACAATAAAGATAGATAATCAAATATCACTATACTTTTTTGAAACTACCAACAGTAGCCATAATGATACATTATGATCTGAAATTGACTAGCAAAAATGAAGTGAGTTTTTCCTTCCCTAACCTATGTTCATATGCTTTACGTAGAAGGCGAACCTCCCTTACTATTATTTTTAAACATACATTTTCAAGTTTATAGAATGTTGAATAGCATACTAGAAAATTCGTTTTGTTGAAATTAATAAATAAAAATAAGTTTGATGAAAAAAAGCTTATAAAATAATTACTTCCATCTATGAATCAATCTTGTTAATCATAAATAATTTTAATAATTACTAATTATATAGAGTTATTAAAATAAATGCTATTAGTAATGTTTCTCTTGCAATTCTCTTGGAATAAATATTTTACTTTTACTTTATCAATATGATATCAAACTTACAAATTATATCTTTCATTGTAAATATAGTAAGACATCTCCGTCACTGGTTTGAATCCCGTTGGAGAAATTTTTCCAAGTTAATAGGTTTCTTAATTGTTATTTATGTTATGTAAATTTTTTTAAAAATTAATTTAAATATCGTTAAATAGAAATATGTTTCGTAAGCTATTAATTACTTTTACTAAACTAAATATATATATCTAATATATATTCAATACCGTTTAAAATATATTTGAAAGCCCTTTTAGACTCATTTTTTTAATTAAAAAACATTGCCACTCACCATTGCATGTTGAACTGTTGTAGCTATTTAAACGAATGTATTTAGAAACTTTTGATAGTTTATTTTTCTATTACTAAAAAGAAATGTTACTACGTTGCTATTCACGATTGAGTGTCGAGTCTAACAAAGACGTCCATGCTACACAAGTTATGCTGCGCGCGAAAATCAAATTATCTATTTTTAAATTCAAGAAAAAACTAGATAAATCTAAATACTGATCAAAATGGCCATGATATTATTCCAGCAAAGCAACAAAGTTATTATTATATTAGTTAATTATAAGTAATCTATTCATTTCTTATATTTTACAAAATCTTGATTTTAAAGATTTTCCTTTAATTTAATTTCTTGTATGTTATTAACATAAATAAATTTAATTTAATTTCCTTTATATCAAACTTTTTTTTCATAAATCGTCAAATCAAAGTTAAAAAAAAAACATTCGGTAAATAAATGCAATCAAACAAATCACAATCCATTACTGTCTTTTTTTGTCATCTAATTTAATATTCTTCGGAACTTCAATACGTTCGATTTTCCATTCAATCGTAATAAGCATCGTACGACTTGATCAGTATACGAAATTCGTAACAATTTTTATTGCACAAACACACTTGCTCAATTGTGAATCATATTTATGATATCTTCATGATTTTTTATATATATATATATATATATCAATCACTGAATCACTTTGAACATTGTATCATTTCGAACTCAATTTCTTAAACTTAATTACAAACAAATTCATTTATGACTTCTTCTCTACATAAATCATCCGAGTTTGTATATTTTTTCATAAAATATGAATTCACTATCTTTTAATCGCAAGAACGATCGTCTTGTATTTCTTAAAGCCGCAAAATTGATTGCTGACGAAGTACGTTGTATATGTGTAAAATAAAGTCAATCTAAAATGAATAAATCTTAAATTAAGAAAACACACGCTTACGCGCGCGCACACACACATCATACATACACATACACGCAAAAAGGCATAAAATCGCTCGAACAATAAGGTTTAGAAGTAAAAAATGCTCTGTTATGAAACCATAAACGAGAATTTCTTTGTATACAGCTTACATGAAAAGCTCTATGTTACACAGTAAATATTTGAGATGTTGATTTTCTAATTTCTTCCGAAATATTTCTGTTCGGAATAAAAATTTTAAGTTATAAATATTTAATAAATATTCGTAGAATTACCAATTAATATTTCATTTAGATCAAAAAATAAAATGTCTCAGAGTCTTTTGTTTGAAAGACGTTTTTTTTTTACCAAATTTTGCTCCTTAATATAAAATAATCTCATTTCCTGATTTTCTTCTCTTTTACTTGTTCTCAGTCTATTGATTTCTTATATGTATATAAAAGTATGCGCCTGTATGCAGGTTGTAGGTTGTGATCCAATGAAATTTTTGTAATGGGTACAAATTGAAAAACTATAACAAACAGTTTCATATGCTTAAACATACAATGCATATACAATGATTAAGAATGACTGAAAAAGCATTCAGCAAAAACCAAGAGATAAGGAGAAAATGACAATGCTAACGAGATGACTATTCGTCAAAATCGACGTAATCAATTCGATTCGCTAACAAATTTCCTCTTTATATTACATCATGCTTTAATTGTCGTAATATAAATATTTTCACTCAAATATACAACGCACACGACAATGTCTTCGTTCTTTTTTTCTGTCCATTTGCTAGTTCTTTGCAATAATTCCCAACGTACGATGCACACGTGCTTGATATTTAAAAAATTACTGAATCTGTTAATCCTATATAAAATTCCCATAGTCGCTGCTAGAACTCGCACTATCTATCGATCTCTGTTCATTTATGAATCAAACGAAGCTTCAATCAACTTTCCGTCATATTTTTTTTTTACAATTGATCCCTTTTAAGAAGAACCAGATGCATCGTTCTTTCGATGAATTAAAAAACATGAAATCGTCGACAAAATATGTAGGATTCAACAGGCACAATTAACGAGTACTTTCTAACAATTGCAGCGCTGGACATAAATTCAATAAAGGGCAGTATTAAGATGTTTTTTTGTCATATCATACCTCATAAGTTTCCTTTATATTCCCAAAATCTTAACGCTTCAAGAATACATGTATGTACATATGCTTTGGCAAACGTCCTTTTTTCTTTTCTGTTTTTATTAGACAAATTACTGCGCTTTTCGTACTTCACTTCATTTATATCATTCGTATCGTCTCCGATCAAGAAAGAATTTAAACGAAGATTGATCGCAAAATACGTGGTCAAATTTCATTCCAGTTAGTCGTAACGTCGCAAAATTATTTCATCCATATGTGATATATATGCACTTAATAAGGAAAATCACCCAACAAAGAAGATCCACCATTCTTACGTTTCTTGCTAGAAACTTGGTATATGAATTGCTTTTAAAGTCGTAAATATTATTCTCTCAATACGATTAGTAGAATGTTCAAAATATATGAAACAATTCATTCCGGTTTCCTATGTACAAAGTTCCTTAAACAATAATCGTTATCAGATAGATTAACGTAAACAGGCAAAAATATAAAAATTAATGTACTGTACAATTAAAGGAAATAAAAAAGATATGAGGAGGAAATATTTTATACAAATATGTTTCTTTACATCTAGGACGAGTGTTAGCCACACATGTTCATTTTGAATACGCATCAAAGAGATTCCCTACAATGTCCTCGGACTATATAGACGCACAGTAAGCAATCATACATTGTACATATTTGGCGTGAACCTTTGATTCGTAATGTTGAACGTTTACTTACTAAAAATATATTCGTACCTTGATAAAAAAAAACAATCTATCAATGGAGATTTAGCGTTTTTTTTTTTTTTTTTTTTTTTCTTATCGATCGCGTCGTAGGTCGATGACGGTCGATGCAACAAAGCAACGAGGAGACGAATCTTTGTTTGACTCTCTTGACATCATTGATTTACATTCTGTAAATGTTACATGAAACGAGTCCCACACGAGTTAGCAGTTTTCCGCTTTGAAATCTGAAACGTTATTTACTTGATTATCAACTAAATGTCACGTAGTTTTTTTTTTTTTTTTTTTTTTTATTAAGAGTTCAATTTCCGTTCTTGCAAATCAAGTTGTTCAATGATCGTTGCACGATTAAATAAGTATCTTTTCGTATTTTGCATCGTAAAAGACATATTGCGTGACTCTTTGATTACTGTCGGTAACTTTTACGCGAAACGTTCTATTTTCGCTGTATTTATTTCTTCTGTCTTTAATTGGAATTTAGACAGATTTATAAGTCGTTCCCTCGCAAACACTAGAGAAAGAGCAAAGATTATAATTTAAATGTTTTTGTCTCCCTGAACACTACATGACTGTATCCTTTGATACGTAAAAATGTGAAAATTCATTTCGACAGATTCACGATTTTTTCAGAAAAAATCATCGAGATTTACGGCTACTGTAGGCTATGATTTTAAAAGTTTGACTTCAACGACATTCTTATTTATTGAACGAAGAAACACGCGTGGAGCGAGTCTCCGAATAATCTAAGATTTCGTTGAGCAACGTGGTTGTGTCTCACGCGAACACATAGTTCCTAATTTTTACCGTCTCGTGTCGTCCAGAGTATTTTCTTATACCTCAACGAATCAGTACAAATAAAATTTTCGTCGAGTGAAAGTTACAGCGCTGTACAAAGATTGGCCGAGACGATTGCGTTTCAGTTAGCAATAAATTATAGATACGTCACTGCATGCGTGCGTACTCACCCGAGCATTTGCAGCACTCTAATCTTATTATTATTGTTATCCATCGTTATATTATTCTTTACATTTGTATTAAATTTTTTAATGAATTTCGCGTCGAAGGATGAATGAATTTGTACGCACTGGGATATGATTTTTGTTACGTTACGCAATGACTCTCGTCACTAAACGTTGAAACATTTGTGACTTTGTAAAATGAAATTGTAAGAATAAACTTGGGCTCGTTTTAAAGCTTGATTTTGGAATCAAGACGCGTCGCTCTTGATTCCAAAATCAAGCCTTGCTCGAAAATGCTACAAATCGTAAGTTGACTGAATCTACAATGAATTTGAAGAAATCTTTACAACAAATCTCTCAAAATTTGCTATATACCACTGTTTGTCGAATTTCGAATTTGACGACTTCTTGAATTTTCTGGTCAATGGAAATTGTTCAGTGTTTTTACACAATGATGACAGTTCGTAGCGTTTTTTTTTTTTTTTTTTTTTTTTAAAAATGATATAACTCGTTGAACAATCTAACAATGAAGACGCGACTGTTACACGTTGGTTCAGATATGACAACGTTTCGATATCTTCGTAAGTGATATCTGAACGCTGCACGCATCCGTTTAAAACACGCGAAATTACGACTTACATTTACACTTGCTTCAACACCAACGAAGTCCTCACAAATGCCTGTATCGCGACACTCGACAATACATATACATGTATATACACTCGACAATCGAAAATATACTTTTTCCACGTGTGCATTACGTACGTATAAAGTCGCCAAGTATTCTATGAACACACTTGATACTGTTACGTGTATTCTTAATAGGATGGTAAATTGTCCTCAAATACTAGTTCAATATACATGCGTATATAAGATGTAGAAAAAATTTATTTATTGTAAGATCACGTACACGATAGATCACGAGAACTCATTTGTTCCTTCAAGTTCTCAAGAGAAATCATCGGGCGGATTGTATGAGCTGTATATACCTAGCAGTATATTTTCGAGAAGATTGCTGTAAGAAATTCATCTCATTTATATGTAACAATTCGTATTTGATATATAAAATATATCTTAAGGAAGAAAACCGACTTTCTAATTTTTTCTTCTCTCTCTCTCTCTTAAAAATGTTAAGTTTGTTGTTTTGCAGTTCGATCATAACGTGTATATGTATATCGTTGCAGTGATGCTGCAAAATCACAGATACTGTGATGATACTTTAATGTTTTACATCGTTATCAAATTAAAGAATTAACACACTTTGTGCGCCTTATATCGCCTATGGTGTTTGATGTTATAGATTTTATTATAACCAAAATAAATTACTCGTCGATACTCATTTCAAAGTTCAAGCCAAATCAAACAGACGTGCAAAGAGTTGGCGTATTTTGGCTTCGAGTTATCTCGACATTTGCAGTCATCCGTTATCTTGATTCATTTGTCATTCTTACAGGGAAAGAATCAGAATCCGATGATAGAGATTAACTAGACATTAACCCTCGCTCACCGAAGAAAGTGAACTACGTGTCGAACCAACTGTATGATGCGTTAAATCGGTAAGATCTGCTGGCAAGCACAATGGTATCGCGCTTGGTCCGTAAATTGCCTCTTGCTCCTCCAACTGTAACGCAAACTGCTCTTCCAATTTCTGCAAAGGAAAATTTCACATAATGAAATAAGTGGATAACAACACGTAGCATGTTAAATAACGATGGATATTCCCTATACGTAAACTTTAAATAAACTAAGAATTAAAAAGAAACGTATGAAGTTAGTCTCTTGGAGTTAAATGTTTAATTGCTCTTAATCGCTTATTAATATATTTATGTCTTATTTACTTTATATTCGCATCAACTTTTTTTTGGACTGACCTTGTTTATTACCTAGTAGATCGTTCTGATATCCAGTCGTGGAATCTCTTTCCCGACATGTTGTATGTTGGATTCTTAATGAAAGAGGTACGTAATAAAAGTGGGAACAACATAATCTAACATATACATTGGAAACACTTATATGAGAACCCTTGATGTGTATAAGCATTTACCGCACATTTTACTACGTCCGGTAAGTATACAACATATAGCCCATAATTATCACCGATTCACCCTGTTATGATTTTATTTAATAACCATCGAAAAGCTGCTATCGAAACACGGCACTTACATGTATTATCGATAATACAATACGATAAATGTCTATAATTAAATATAGAATCTGTGTAAAATATGTACCAATCTATTTCGCTAAAAATATATATTAATAATTGGCTTGTTAATATTCTATCAATATTAATGATTGTCAAATTGATATCCTGTGGTACTTTCCTTATCTGTGATGAAAAATTTCACGAAATACTTTCCATATGGACAATAAATCTACGACATCATAATTTAAACTTATTTTTTAATATTTCAATTATAGCTTAGAAAAATATAGCTATACACTTTATCTAACAGTTAATAATAACAAGCTCTTATCAATTGGCAAAAACGTGTTTGTTGATCTTTTTTCAAGAATCGCGAACAAAACTCATGTTATAAATTAATTATACTGATTACTTTATCATTCAAATGTTATTAACTATAAGCCCAAATAACATATATATATTTTTTTTCTTAAAATTGGTTACGCAAAAATATATTAAATGTACATATGTATATATGTGGGCAGGGGAGAGACAAACTCATACGTATACGTATACGTATACGTATATACATATACAGTAATAAATGTATACAGTATTTAAACAAACGATAAATATTGCGAAATAATGGAAGCAATGGTGAGTAAAGCGGGCATGTTACCCTTAAATGCACAAAGCATAATTAAATAAGAGAAACTTCGAAATAAAAAATAAATAGTAAGAAAGTAGCTGAAAAAATATTAAATGAGAAATTTGTCTTCTGAGATAAATGTTAATTAAAAAAAGACATCAAATAAATGAACGGATTACGATAAGTTATAAGTTTATTTCGAAACTTCTCTCAACGAACAACGAAAACATTTGGAAGGAGACACAACAGAATATTCGGAATACTATCTACGAGACGGAGATGGTGTCAGGTCTGGTTTGGATTGACTTCGTGGTAGCATGCCATTAATGGAACCGGTGTCCGAACCACCAATTCTTAGAGACACCCGTGGAATGGTAAATGGGGAAGGAGATGTTGGAGTTGAGCGGGGCAAACGCGGAGATTTCTTCCAACTTTCAAAATTAAAGAGAGAATAATCTACAAATAAAGGGGGAGAAGAGAAACCACTACGACTCGAGGGCAAATAGTCTCGGTAATGAACTTCCAATACTTCCATTTCAGCCGTCAGCTCAGCCTCTAACTTCTATAACAAGTACATTAAGCTTATTTCAGTAAAACTATCCCTATTTGGGTTTGATTAAAAATCGCGATTGATTTGTATCTCTTCTCGCGCTGGTCATCGATCAATGTCACAAGCCACAAGACAAGGAATCCTATGACTTCGCTGTACGTATGTATAATTGTTAAAAAAAAAAAAAAAGAAAAAAAAAAGAAAAAATGAAAGAATAGATAAGTAGAAAAAGAAAAAGAGCGAGAGAAGAAAGGGAAGAAAGAAAAGCTTTGCAAAATACGAAAGGCAAAATTACAAGAGAAAATAATATTGATTTACCTGCTTTCGTGGCTTGAGTTGGGCTTTCCATTCACGAAGCTCTTTACTGTATGCCTCTTCCAATTCTTTTAGTTTCAATGTTTCGTGTTCCATCAACATCTTCCTCTTTTCGTTCTGCAATTGTTCCAATTCTTTGATTGTGGCATCGCTTTGCGCTCTTACCTCTTCTAGTTGACGCGAATGCTTTAGTTCAAATCTTTGCTGTTCGGCTCTATATCGTTTCTTCTCGTTCTCTTGAAACTTCTTTAATTTCTCTCTTTCAGCATCAGGATCTGGCGCGATAACAGACGACATGGAAATCCTCATAGATTCTCTGAACATCATTTCGCGTGCCTTCATCTCGTTGCGAATTCTTTTCGGCAAATTTCTACGTTCCACCGTTTGTCGTTTAATCAATTCCTCCTCCTTTCGTTGATTCATTCTCTTCATTTGTTCCAATTCCTTTTCGTGACGTATCAGCATTTGATGTCTTTGCAAAAAGAAAATATCCTTCAACTGTTTTTTCAACAATTGTTGCTTTTCATGAATGTGCCGTTCTTCTTGCTCCCAAATAGATGCTTCTCGAGCTCTCATCAATTGTTGTTTCTGCTGCAAAAATTGTCTTTCCATTAACGCAATTTTTTCACGATGACTATCAGACAATCTTCTCAACAATAGTTCATGACTTTCATTGAGCTTATCTAAAAAGTGTTTCTCTCTTTCTTCGTGTTCGGCCTCCAATTTTTCTTTGCGTATCTTAAATGCACTCTTCCTCTTATCTTTCGGCATTAAATCTACCTCTTGTTTAAGTAATTTTAGTTCCTGTTTCAATCCTTCACGGAACTGTTTCAATTCTCTTTCTTGCTCACTACGAATCTTTTTTGAAGCAAGCCTGAGATCAGCCTCCTGCTGTGCTTCCGCTCGTTCGATCTGTTGTCTCTGCTGTCGAGCAAGTGTCTCGAGGTCAGTTTCAGCAGTTCTTTCCAAAAGTTGTCTTTCTTGCTCAAAACGCTTCTCTTGTTGGTCTTTATTGAACTGTGCCTTCTGTGATAAATCTTGAAACTGTTTCTGCTCCATTTTCTGCAGCATTTTTAATTCCCTTAACTCTTGCTTCCTAAAGATTTGGTCATCGTAAACTTTACCATTTTCATCATCGCCATAAATTACCTTTGACGTTGTCGTGGTAACTACAACACCATCGATCTCAAATTTTCTAGTTCGTTTTCTTGTCTTTTTCTTCAAATTCATCATTTGAATGTCCTCTTTCGTTCTTGTTGGTCGTGGTATGTCACGATTGTAATCAGGCTTTCGTCGCAATACTACTTCCTCGTCTACTTCTGTGGATTGCCCCTGACTTAAATGATTTTCCTTGCTAGATTCCCTGCTATCCTGACTTATCGTAGTAGAAATTGATTCAGCATCAGAACGATCTATGCTTTTACTAGGCGTATGCGACCTTGTCGATCCAGATTCACTCTGAGATCTAGATCCTTCGAAGCTGTCTGGAGATACTCTTTTTTCTTTGTATCCTTTATTCACTTCTTTTTGTTTAAGCGTTTTTAACATTTTTTCATCGATACGGCCGACAATTGTAGATTTATCGTTCTTTAATAAACCATTCATTTTTTTCGAATTTCTCTCCACATCATCTATGGATTCTATAGTCGTCCCGGCGACTATCATTTTGTTAATTTCATCCCCGCTATCGCTTTTTGTACTCGACATTTCAATTAAACTTGCGTCACTGTGAGAAGAAGAAGTTCGTACGGCTTCTTGTTTATTAATTATTGAAGAATCTTTCACCTGTTCCTTATCATCACCGACAGTAACAACAGAAACATGACTAGTATCCTGTAATTCGTCTACGATCGGACTTACAATGAGGACTTCGGATTCGTCTAGCTTTTTGCCAACTCTTTTAGAGACATCTGTGAGAATTATCGGTTGCTCCTGAGGCATATACTCTAAACTATCTAAACTAGTAAATCCATCGTCATCGGTTGAGCTTTCATTCACTTGTGTTTTATTCAATTCATTCGCAACAATAACAACTTCCGATGTTGGTGGTTGACGACAAGAAGAATTCGCTGCCAGTGATACAGCATCGACAAGAACCGGAGGATGTGTTGTTACAACAGTTACTTGACTAACGTTGCTCGCTAGACTATTCGATAAATCTGGACTATCTGCTGTGATTCGGACGGTTGATGTGTTCGGACGTACTTCTTGGTCAGGTTTACCTAAAAGATCAACACGTGTTTCTTTATTCCTATAAGTATTAACAATTCAGTTCTAATCTTCTTTAACAAGAATTAAATATTTACGATCATTAGATATGTATAATGCAAAATTTTAACATTACCAGTAATGACGACTACATTGTCAGCACTATCTCTTCTCAAAGCATATTTAATGGGAGTTGATGTGATTACTGATACATTTACGGAAGAATCTTTTCCCTCAGAGTTTACGCTATCGCTGTTACTTATTGCATTTTCTTTATTTCGACATTTGTTATCCCGTTTTCCGTCAAATTCATCGGAAAAGTTTTCTAAAGAAACATGTCTAGAAGATCCTTCGCTATGACTTTTAACAACAGATTCTGATTTAGACATTCCATAATCAGTTTTAACATCTTCAGTAGAACAAGCTTTAATAATATTCTTTTCGGCGCTTGTAATTAAAGTTTCTCGTTGAGATAATGTCCCTATAGAAGAAACACTCATATGCATTTCAGTATCCATTGAAAATCGTTTCTCTAAAACTGCATTTAATTTTTGCTCTACAGATTTTCGTTTTTCTTGTAAACTCTTGTAATTTTCTTCTCCTGAAGATTGTCTTTTAATTTGTATATCAATTGGTGTTTTCTTTTCAATTCTAAAATTGAACGTCCTTCATATAAGCAGTATTAAATTAAATGTAAATTCAAGGAAATATGTGTGAATATTTAGACAAAAAGTTAATATAAATAAAAATAAATACCTGTTCTTTTCTTCTAAAGACGATTGTTTGTTAAATATTGGTTTCGTCCAGTCTTCAACCAATTCTAATTTAACTGGTGCCGATTTCCGTTTCTCTTCTAATGACAATTGTGTTCTCGATGATAAGTTTGTCCTATCATTTACAGATCTTTGCCTGATATTACTTCTGTTCATATCATCTATTTTATTCTTTTCCCTTTCATTATTCTCTGATACAATCTTTTCTAAGCTAGCTAGTACATTTGTTTTTTCGGAAACCGTGTCTACGTTTGTTTGCCCCTTGCCTACCATTTCTTGATCTAACTGAGACAATTCATTTTTATCTCTTTGCTGTTTATCAGTAATCTTGCATTCGTTTAATACTTCTACGTCACTTTGTTTATCTGTATTCTTTAAATTATTTTCTTTATCATCAATTTTACTATTTTGACGCATAAGCGGTGGAGGAGGCGCAGGTCCTTTTTCTCGAGATACTCTACGTTCATTCGTTTCGTTTGTACTAGGAGGTTTAGGTGCCTAAAAATCAAATTATTATTATTATTTATATAAAAATATCAACAGATTAAATTAAATTGATTATTTTCATTAAAAGAAACAGAACATACTTGTTTTTTCTCAGCAGAAACAAGTATATTGTCTTTTGATTCTGCTTTACGTAATTTCTTGTTTCTATCCTCCTTTTCACCATCTCTATTAATCTCTCGTTTATGGCTTTCTTCCTTTTTCGCTGACACAGGTGATGCAATAAGATTTTCTTTTTCAGAAACTGAAAAAAAAGAAAAATAATAGTAATAAAAATATAAACATATAATAATTCTCATTAGTATCTAACGCAGTATTAGATATAGGTAGTATGAATCATATGTACTCTGAACATCAGCGTCACTGCGCATAGACGCAGAGTCATCTCCGAGTTGATCCAGTTCCAGACGAAGCTGAGATGTGCGCTGCTCCTGAAAGTTGTATATTTCTATCTTACTTATATATAAAATTATATAATTTATATACAACACATATAATATATAATTTATATTTAAAAAATATTCAGACGGATACAAGATGTAACTTCTAAATCTATAAAATTTGCAAATTGAATTTCACAAAATGAAAAAATTAGAACAACAAAAACTATTACATGATGTAAATATGAAAAGAGAATAGTGAAATAAAAATGAGTAACTAAAATATTTTTATTAAAATTGTTACCTTATGACTAATATGAATAAGCTTATTAATATAAAAATAGCTTATGCATTGCAGTTGTTAAAAAGAAAGAAAATAGCAAACAATTACAATATACAGAAAATATATTGAAATCAAATTAGACAACGCTTATTGCATAAGCTACTGACCTGACAAACGCAGGGATGATGGGGCTGGCGAGGCCCAGGAGAGCCGCATGCACAGCCAAATTATCCAAATTACAATACCATATTTATTAGGATATTATTAGATTAAATAGTTAAAAAAAAAATGAAAAGCTCAAGATTTTTGAAATTATAATCTTGAATACATTAATATAGTATTTAGTATAGTACATTAGTACATAACAAATAATAAATATAATAATAATTTAAATATTTATAAATTCTCAATAAAAATAAAATTATCGTATTAATTTCGCAAATTAAGAAAAAAGCATATTTTTACAACGCATATTACATGCATGAATCTTCCTAAGATTTTATGCATGTTCATCATGCATAAATATAACAAAGAATAATTATATATATTATGAAAATGAAATGAAATTTATTAAAAATTTACATAACCGAATACAAAAATACTTCATTACAAATATAATAAACTTTCGGAATACAGATATTGTTCATTTTTTTCATTTATAAACTAGCAAATTTATATAATTCAATCTATGCAGTTTGCTCAAAAGCAGCTTACCAATCCGTTGATATTGTTCTCTGTGTTTTTTCGCCTTTTTGGCCTTCTATCAAAATGAAAGCGTGTAACAACGTACATACATGTTAATGCTGTTTATAAAGCTTTATACATTGTTACAAATTAAGAAACGGTAAAGTTTTAAAGCGCTTAAAATTATTTTCACACGAAAATGATTTAAATAGAAAAATTTCTCTTTAATTAACACCAAAAAATAAAAAACTACCTCTGTTTCTTCATCGACCAATTCCTCCTCAACAACATCAGCTTTATATTCCAATAATAAATCTCTGATCGGTTTTGAATCCAAATTACGATTTATGAACGAATGTTTCAACAATTCATCAGCTGTAGGTCGTGATGTTGGATCTTTTATAAGAGCTTTTGCAATAAAATCATTAAAATCTTTGCTCCATTTTCCAGGTTGATCAAGTTTTGGTGGATCGCTTTTTTGTATTTTAAGAAGAACGCGCATTGGAGACATTTCATGATTTGGTGGTTCCATTTGCGCAAATTCTATTAAGGTAATACCAAGCGACCAAATGTCTACCTGTATAAATATATACGTATATATTGACATGAAAAGTATTAATTACGAAAAGTGACCATAATATAAATACTCAAATACAAAAGAACTTATAATTTAAAAATGAGCTACCTACTTTAAAATCATAAGGATTATCTCTAAATGTCTCACATAACACTACTTCTGGAGCCATCCAATATGGTGTTCCAATAAATGTGTCGTGTTTTTGTAAAGTATGCTTATTTTTTGCAGATACTCCAAAGTCAGCTGTTAATAAGAAATTTATTAATTTTTATATATAACATATAAAATAGTTATCAATCTAAGAATTTAAGTATGAAAATTACCTAACTTTACTCCTCCTGCCATTGTTAATAAAACATTTCCTGCCTTCAAGTCCCTATGAATAACTTTAGATTTGTGTAAAAATGCAAGACCTTTGGTCATATGTTGACATATATAAGCTATTTGTGGTTCCGTTAAAGCTTTTGCCAATTCAACCATTATAGAATCAACAGCACCACCATCACAATATTCTATTAACATCTATAAATTTATGAATGAAAATGTACAAATATTAATAGTAACATTGTAAAATATAAATTTAAACTAAAATTTAAACTATAAAACATACCCATAGTTTGCTCTCAATAAAATATGCTTCATGTAATTCAACAACATTTGGATGTTTACACTCTGATAAAATATCTATTTCGATCATAAAATCACTAAGATCATCTTCTCCTTCCAATGCACACATTTTTGCAGCAGCAAGCTGATGAGTTTGTCTATGCTGTGCCTGGAATATTTAATACATGTTTAATAAACTAAACAGCTATAATTTAAAAAATTTTATTATTAAATTATGCAAATACAAAAGATCTGTTACCTTATAAACTTTTCCAAATGCCCCGTCTCCTAGTTCACCTATCATTTCCCAGAATTCTTCTGGATTGCAATCCATTTTAATATTATTGTACAATTTCTTTTTCTTCGCATCATTTCCACCAAAGTGGAATGCTTTTTTTAAATTTGATAAGAATGACATTTTTGCAATTCTTATTTAATATATTTGCATGTATAAAAGTTATACTTCTATTACATTATGTCATAAAACTCAATAATATTTATCATTTAACAACAAATATATACCTTATGTGGAAGTTAAATATAAATCTTATACAACACTTAAATAATTCATTGTTATATGAAATTATTATAATGTGCACAAAATTATTTTCCTCTTATGTATGCATTTGCATAATTTTCATTATTTTAATATATTTTCTATTAGAATAGAAAACATTCTAAAAGATATATTTTGCTTATATCCCTGCTTTATACCAGGGAATTATATCAAACCTCTCCCACATCTTGACAACATATAATCAATTAGCAAATATATTGTTTAAATAAATAATAACACAAATACAAAAAACGAAACCCATCATTGATAGTTTTATATTTCCACCTCTAATATATCAAGCTGAAAAAGAAATGTAATAAAAGTTAATATTCTTTAAATATTGTCTAATATTTAAAAGTAATGCTACTAAGATGACATTTTACTTATCAAACTTAATTTATAGAAATTAAAACATTATACAAAAATATATTGATATGAAATGTGTAACTATATATATTATATATTTTTAAAAGAAAAAGATGTAATTAAATGAGTAAAATTAAAAAATGTAATTTATATAATTACATTATATAGTTTAATTAATATTAATAATTAATATAATTAATCAATGAGGTAAATATAAAAAGCACAGACATAAAATCATCAAAAAGATAAATACAATAAAAGGAATATTTCTAAATTTAACATTCATTACAGCTTCAATAATTCATTATTTTCACTTTGAAAGCTTATACTATCTGATATAGTTTCATATAGCTTGTAGTTCCACTGATAAATTATATTAAGTTATACTTTCTATATCTGTTTACTTATCTATGAAATGTTTAAGATATACAGCGAATTTTATTCATTTACTCAATAAAGAGTGTAAGATTGATTAATCGACAAAGGAAAGAGAATAAAGAAATTCTTCAAAATTGTAAGAGCAAAGAAACTATGAGCTTAAAAAGATATTGAAAATGTCAAAATTGACGGTCACGAGGTTGACACAATTTTGACAAGTAATCTACGGCTGTATCTGTCCGCCATCGTTTAGTAAATACACTTTCTCCGTCTTGTACGTATTTGAAAATACATCAGAAATAGACTCTGATAAAATAGAGTCGAATTAAAATCACTTGAATATTTAAAGCGAGAATTAGACCAAAAGGCAATGTAATTACATATTTCGAATGCAACAACAAAGTTTTTCGTCGTCTATGCTGTTTGCAACTTAGCAAAGCCGACGTATTTCTCTCAATTGAAGATTTGAAAAGTCGTATAAAAAAGGAAATAAATAGTTGAAGCTGCGACACGAATGTATCATTAAAAAGGCAGTGGGACAAAGACTCTGTTCGACTTTTCTTCCTAAAATGTACGATTTTTGAAAAAAAATCTGTAGGCATATCCTCTGCTCACCTTCTCTTTTCGTGATCCACCGTTCACGAAACAGGCACACTTCGTCTCGACTTACATGTATCATCGATAATCCACCAAAATCTTTCGATTCCACGTTCTCATTAACTGCACGTATCATCAAATAGATCCACTGTCCAAAATCCGAGTATTCAAAAGAATGTGAAAAATATCGTGCATGAAATCAGTAAACTAGACGGACCCGCACGTACACGGCCATTTTCAGTAACACACACACATCACACATTCTACTGTACCACGCCTGGAAGTGACGTAATCAATCGGCAAGTGTGCCCGTATTCTGTAAGAGGTCCTCTAACTTACGAATGCATTTTAAATACATTTTTATCAAACTCTGCAATCTACTTTGCAAAATATCCTAAATGATAGTCGATGTATATATGTGTGTGTATGTGTGTTTCCCAAAGTCAATTCCAGTTTTATGGAGTTAATAACGATAAAATTTACGATTTGTCTGTAAGCACGAAAAGTTTATTTTTACATGTATATTTTAAAATTCTGGTACAAACGTTTAGTTTTCTTTTACAACAATAAAACTTTTAAATCAACAGTCTCTCATAAGATTGTTTTGCACGCGTGAAAATTAAGCACTCGTTATATTGAATTACAGAATTGATTTTGCGACACGTCATCGCAGTTGCGGAAGCCTTCTGAATACATAATCTTATTAAATGTTGTGAAACAAACTTGTTTTACAACAGCAGAAAACGTAAAATCGTTTATTTACGATGTATATTTGGAAATAAAATTCTTCTTGTAAATGGTAATTATTAGTTATATTGCCTTTAATATTCAGAGATAATTTTGTATAAATGAAATTCTACAAAATATGAGAAAATTAAGTACATTCGGAATATAAATGAAAATATATCTGTTAACGTATAATTTCATTAATATTTAAGTAAAACGTTATTTCCCCGTTTTAATAATTTATTTTATAAATATTATTGTGTTGAGACGTAATATAAAGTGAATAAATTTAATAATTTTAAATACTATTATTATCCAAAAACAAATCTTTCTTTCGAAGTTGCTATTAGATTAAGAATAAATAACTCAAATACAATATGTAAATTTTCAGATTCAAGACTACCAACATAACGCAAAAATATCAGTTTACACTGTTCTTACTATGTACGTGCATTGCGTGCAGTAATCGGTATAACCTATTTCTATTATTTAATTAAATACTTATTCGTACTTATTTCCATGTACATTTGAACACGTGAGAAATATCCTCTCATATTTAATTCTTCATACTAAAAAACATTTTTGCGCATATAAATGTGATATAGTATAACTAATATACATTTTTAATTATCTACTGTTTAATCAAAGCTAAATTTGAACCCTATTTATAATTATTTAGGTAAGGATACTGATAAAAATTGAGAATATAAATATTTAATTCAGTTATTTGTTAATTATTACGATTGAATTTTTATATGTAAAGTTGAAATGTCTGGAAAAGAACGAAGTTTGTTGAAAATTATTTTTAAAAATTTTGTTGCAACACTTAAACCAACCCGACATAAGCTAATTGGCGAAGATTATTTTGGTACAAAGTATTACGAAATTGAAAGACCAAATTCCACAAGAAAATATCAACCTAGATATTTTGTACCTGTGAATGAAGATGATCATTCGCAAGAAGTGCCTGTAGAATGGCAAGCATGGTTAAGATATCGTAGAAAAGATCCGCCAACGAAAGAAGAAATAGAGGAAAATTACAAATTACAAATGCTTAAAAAACAAAATGCTGCAGAAATAGAAGCAAAATATTCAAATAATAAAACAAAAGAGGTAAAATTAACTAGCGAGGGAGAATATAAACCATTTCCATCTTATGATGATTATATAAATCAAGACTATGAAGTAAAATATAATAAAAAAAATAATACAAAAGCAAAATAAATGTAAATAAATGTAAATAAAATATATGTGCTTTCAGTATGTTAAAATTAATGACATATCTAGTAAATATGTACAAACTTTATTATAACGTACACTTGTATTATGACATAATTTTAATTTTTTAATGTATATTGTATATTATTTGTATATAGTCTATGAATAAAACAATTCATTAATATCCTATATCTTTTCTGCACACTTATATTCTGCAAATTATCAATTAAATTTTTCTGAACAGAAATAACAGTATTGCTACTGAATTTAAATAAAATGTTTTAAACATAAGTGTTGATAATAGTGATTCATTGAGCAAGACTATCCAATAATTTTCAATTTATATTTTGAAATAATCTTTTAAAATATCATTCTACTGGATATTGATGATAGTTTCGATTGATCTAATTTTAAGTCTAGACAAAAATTAAAAAGAAGCTAAACTTCTTAATCAGAAGATAGACTATAATTATCGAAGTTTGATAAGACAGTATTTCCGGTGTAGACACATGGAACATCACTCAACGATAAGTATAAATTCTTTTGTTCAAAAGTAACTGACGGAATTCAACAGATTATTAGTATTTTATAATCAACCAGAAAAGTCACTATTATCAAATAAAGCTTGATCATATAATTCTCCTTTTACTAATCGTCCACCGAAATAACGACCATTCAAAGAATCTCTTGCACGTTCCGCTTCTAAAATGATAATTTAATATTAGTATCAAACGTTATATCAACATCAAACGTTTACCATTACAAACTTACCACTCATTTGAGAAAATTCAACAAAAATTTTTACAATAACTTCTGCATCTTCGTCATCTTCAGATTGTCGTTCATTATATATAATAACTCTTTCTACAACTCCAAATTTAGAACATTCATCTTGAATTTCTTCTTGTAAACTTTCATCTACATCTTCCGGAGCTACCATATTTCGTAAAATAACAACTCGAGATTCAACTTTGCGCATAAGCTTTTGCATAACAAGATGACGCGCACTTTGTCCTTTGATCGACATATTTTCTTGTTGTTGCAATGTTTGCGGTTCTGTCTCCTCTAACAATTTTTTCTGTAATTCTTCCTGCTGTTTTTGATGAGCCGCTTGTTCTTGTGCCCGTCTCATAATATCAGAATTTGTTGTAGTTGTAACAGGTATCTAGCAACATTTCAAATAATTTGATTATTTAACTATTTAAAGCATGAATATAAAAAAAAAAAATGAACTTACGACTGGAGTTCCTACTATTGTAGGCGCTACAACAGCTGGAGGAGGTATAACAACTGGCTGCCCAGGTATCGGCTGAATTATCGCAGGAGGTCGAGTCAAAGTTTGTGGTATAGCGATACCAGGCGGAGGTATAACAGGTGCTACGGTTGCTATAGTCGGTGGTGCCATCATTGTTGCAGGGGCAATACTGGGCCTTACTATACCTGGTAAAGCTATGTATACCAAAGTCATTCACAATTATCTTGAAGAAAATTTTCAATTCAAAAATTCCAACAATAACTTTTAAATCATACCTTGATTCAAAATTGGTGGAGCAGCTGCTCCAAGTTTGGTCAAACCAAGAGCAACTGCATTACTAGCTACAGCATCCATCGCTTGGATTTTTGCAGTTGCAGCTGCAGCTGCAACTGCAGCAGCAGTGGGCATCATACTAGTTCCACTTGGCGGACCCATGAGAGCATTTGGTGGTGTAATAGCTCTCCCCACTCGTAAGTATTGTCCGCCCAAGTCAAATAAATTCATTGATGCAATAGCCTCTAACGCAGCTTGCATTGTTTCATATTCGATAAAACCGTAACCTTTATGTCGATGGGGTGAACTGCCTTGTGCCAATTTACAATATGTAATCGGACCAAATGCCTCAAATACGGATTTAATATCATCTTCAGTTAAATCTTGATGAATCGACGCAATGTAAATCCGATTATAGTGTTTACTCTCTTCGGTAATTTCATCTATAACAGATTGGGCTTGAGGCATATTCGACGGACGCCCCACAACCTGAAGAAAAATAAAAGTTCATGACTAATACTTTCGATTATTAAAAAAAAAATATTTGTAACGAATCTGTCAAATATTAATATTTTAATTACAAACAAAAATATAGATAAACAATGGATTAGGTTCAGGAACTCTATTTTTTGTTTGAACACAACTTTAGTGCAATAATAATACATTTACTAATCTCAAAATATTAATCCTCGTACAAATAAATTTTTTTCTTCTAGAATAAATAAGAATAGAAGTCACTAAAATTTCAATAAAAATGGTACTATTATAAAATTATAATATAATAGTATTACTATAAGAAATTTTTAGATCTACAATAAAAAAAAAAATAACGAAATTGTTAGAGTTTAAGAGTTTAACAAAATTTTTTTGACCGAAGTGCATTTTATAAATATAATGCAATTCAATCAAAAGGAATTTCAAATTGGATAAGGCTAAATAAAAATTTGCCGACCTCCGGCGGGATGATAGGATTGCTGGGGGACAGGAAATTCGTTATATAGGTACGTCCCGCTACCTTGATGTTACGTCCACCAATCATGACACCATTCATTTGTTCCAAAGCAAGTTGTGCTGCTTCAGGTATCTCATATTCGACGAATGCAAATCCTTTGTGCTTCTGTGTGACTGGATCCCAAGACATGTTGATTGATTTTATAGGACCAAAAGGCAAGAAAGCTTGCCTAATCGTATCCTCTTTTAATTCAAAACTGATGCTGCCCACATATACCCTGTCATATAGGAATTTTATTTTAGATGATAGTCGCCCTCCGTTATATTAATCCGAGATATTACTGTTCAATACCTATTTCATTAACGTGCTCAATTTTATCCTATCATAATCAAATAAAAAAAAAAGCATAACAAATTTTTTCCAAAAGAATGTATAAGAATAGAAACATTTGCTGTAAATACAACAATTTGAAATTGTATAGAAATATATCATCAATTACAACTATAATATGATTTTACTAAATAAAAATTTATTCGAAAACTTGACACAGTAATTTAGGACAGTAATTGAAAGGAATATAGATAAAATTCATAATATTATACTACAATTATTTAATTTCGATTCTTAACAGCAGAGAGAAAGTGTATATAATTATTCTAAGTAATCAAAATTTAGCAAAATCCAATGTAAATGACGAATAAAAGTTTTTATCGTGTACAGAATTAAGGTTGAAAAAATATCTTTTACTTAAAACGATGAGTATCGAGGACAAAATTTGGAGGGCTAAGACAAAGAACAAACAAACCTGCACATGAGGGCGAGAGCCTGCTGTCTCTGCACCTGATTCCGTTGACTAGCCATTTGCTGTAACACAAAGGACCATAGGCCTTCTATTGATATCCCTCCCCCTTACATACACCATGTCTCGTTCATTTCAAAAATCCCCCAAGCTCTTTTACCATTCCACCTTCGTTGCTCAATTACTCTTACCTTAATATTACAAAGCTTCAAAAATTTATTTGAAATAATTTTTTTATAGCTTCTTAAGGAATTACATGTAATTTCTTTTAAATAAGTGATGTATGAATTTGAAGTTAATCAATAATACTTATACATAGATTAAAAATTATATTGTATAAAATAACAGTACAAAGTAGATTGTATCGATCAAAAACAAGTTTGTATCCTTATGCTGAATATGCACCCAGAACACGTTGTTAAAAATATTATTGTTTTTTAATCTAAAATTCAAAATTAAATTGAAAGTAATTATATTTTCATAATAAATATATTAAATAATACTAAATGTTTAAATATAATGTTTTTAATAAAGTAAAATCAAAAAATAATCCAAATTTTTAACATCGCATTCCAAATATAAATCAATATCTCTGCAACAAAAAAGAAAAGAGTAGTTGAGCTCGAAAGTATATACTGATTATTATTTTCAAATCATCCAGAGATTCATGCACAAAAACTTGTCCTCCTTCGCGCTGGTACAGCTCTGCTCCCGCCGACTACTATTATCTCAAGATATCTAACCTTCGCTTACAGTAGTAACTCAGGGAAACGTTTAGGAGTGTTTGATCATAAGGCGGTTTCGTATCGTTTCTGTCTTGACTTGGTTGACACTAACCTGCACATTAGCAATAAAACTTGCTGCCGCAGGACCAACTTATTCTTCTGCAGGGAGAAAAAATCAACCAATCAGAGTTAGGTTCCAGTGTTCGTTTTTTTTAAATTTCTGTTATATTTTTTGACTTTACTCGCTCGTCATAACGAACACAGGTTAATATATTTAGAATTAAATTAAATATTACTCGGCGGGGCGAGCTAAATTGCAAGGACATACATCAGCTTAAAACGTTATAGACAAATTTTTCTCAATTTCTGTTATGTAACTGGCAAAGAGCTAAGTAGAGGAAAAATGTAAATCTTTTAACAAATAATATTTTTTGAGACAAAAAAGAACCCCATAATTTTAATATATCATTTCATAAATGTATACATTAATTCCATTGTTCATTCGCATAAACAATCATCATTTAATTAAATAATAATAAAAATTAAACAAAACATTATTTCATAATATAAATGTTGATTGTTTCATTAATTCTTTTCATATTAATTTTTCTTCATATTGAACATATTCATTATTCTAATTCAAACACATTTACAGTAGCAGACAACAGATGTTTCCAATATAAGAATCAATGAATGTACAATAGAATGCAAAATGTATTAGGCGAGTAAAGTTTGTTATCATCATGTTAAAAAATTACCTGTTGTTGATGCGCGAGAGTCTGCTTCATTAGAACCATTTTGATGCTCTGCTCCATTGCATATTTTTTTGCTCTATTTACTGTATCCTGTTGTTCTGATGTAATTTTTGGAAGACCCGCACCTAGAATGCCAGGTAATGTAAGATATTTAGCTCCAGGTCCTGTAACAAAATAGATATTATATGTAAAATAAAATATGCTTCATCAATACATGTTTTAAAAAAATAATATTCTATCAGATCTTATCAGCTATTTGTCCATTAAATTATTATCAACTCTCAATATAACTTCAATTGGAGCAGCAAATTTTAATTGTCACAATTATTTTATGTACATCATATATAAATATTAAATTATTTTAATAATTTAAAATAAGAAACTATATATTATACTATTACATACCAGCAACAACTTGTTTAATCTGATTAAGATCATATATAGGGCCTGGCAAGAACTCTGATGCATTTCCTACGAAAAAAGTTGGCATTAGACAATAATGAAACATAATACATATTACATTTAGTACTTCCACCATCACATACTCGTACAAACTTCTTGAAAAATATTATCCAACTTTTACTTTTTGCTTTGTGATGATAGGGATACCAGAACAGTTTATGGTTTCATAAGACATACAGATTTGATTTCTTAATTTTTAGTCTTATTATTCATTAAAATTAAACAGAATTTGAATTATATATATGACTAATATTCAATTCAAGAATATTTAATATTTGGTGCACAAGTATACTGTAAAATTTTATATAGTACAAGTTTTAAACATCTCTATAATCTTCAATATGGATAGAAAGTGAAAGAAATGACTTAAAACGAGACGGAAAAAGTAACGATGTCGTACAGCAATTCCCACTGCGGTAGAATCGTCCTCCAAACTGTAAGTTCAAAGAAATTAAAACAATCAAGAACAGTAACGTTATTCTTGTATATAAAGTAATATATGTACATAATTATATGTATATACTCGTTTAAATATAACATATACATGTAAATACATTTCTTTTTCTTTCATGTCATTAAAATAAAAACATTTTTATGTTTTGAAAGAGGAATAATGTCAAAATTGCACTAAAACAATAGCAAAATTTAAGAGAAATCACCGCAATTAATCAATTAATAGTGTTTTCACATCTAAATTTCATTACTGTTTACACTATCAGCCCCAAAAAAAGACTACCAATAATTAGATTAGGTTTCGTATGATCATAACCAATTTGGTCTGCTAGTCTCTGAAACAGAAATCAGAACACGTTGAAACGTTTCTCTTTCTCTTTTATGACTTTTGCAGTTTCACGAATTAATATTATTAGTTTTGTTCGATCATTTGATTAACAGCTAACCGTGTTCTGGGCTGAGCAATGATGGTTGTGCGCAAACTATCCGAGATTGAGGCGACGCACAAATCTGTAAGCACAAAGCAAAGGAGAATACTCTCAGTGCATTTTCTGCGCCATTTTCTTACAGTTTGCCTTCTCCAACCTACCACGTAATTAACCCTAACATTTTCTGTATAGCAATGGCGATCCTAATTAATAAAAAGATCTAATGCGATCGACCTTCACAAAAATATATTTTGTTTGCGTTGTGCACCCTACTCTAACAACTTTTTCATTTCTTTGCAATAGGTATGTCTCTTCTTTAATAAAAGAACAAATTACCTCATTTTTACATAATAATATAAATTTGACGAATTTTAAGAATATCTTAAAAAAGATATATCGCCATTGCATTTCCTATTTATAAGCCTCTTCCTTTGCATTTTGTATTTAAAAGTTAAATCCGAAATTAAAGACATTACTTGTTCAAATTTTTAAGAGGAAAAAGAAAGACATGAAATTAAAGAAAGACTTAGTCAATATTTTAGATAAAATATACTCAAATAATTATTTTGATTTTAATAAAATAAATTAGAAGCTTATAATTAGGATGAAAGAAAATTACCCTAAAATGCTGACCTATCTAAAATACGCATCACATTTGGTACTCGACAATAGATGCTGTGTCAGTGGGAGTTTGCAAAACTCTGATTTGTTCTGTTCAACGAATGTAGCGTTCTCTTTCTTTGTTTGGCGCACGCTCATGATCACAGCTCAGTCGTAGGCCACAGATTCTGTACTGTCTCTCCGCTGTAACATCTCAGAACAGAAGGACAACCATACATTAGTTTTATTGAGGGCCAACGATCACCTATCACCCTAGCCTACCAAAATATATTCTGAAACTGCAATAGACCACTCAACACTTATAGCTTGCCAGCAGTTTAATAGAAAGCTAGCACTTGATTGTCCTAAGTAAATAATATATGTTTTTCTTCACGATTTCCTTTGCTTAGAAATATATTATGCTTGCTGTTGCTTCTGTGTTCACCGTCTTTTCCAGTTGTACGCTTAATTGTGTAATTTATTAGTGTACATTAGGAATATACATTCATTTGGGAATATTAGCAATGTACCTTCAACTCTAGGTTTCTTGTTTGGAGGTTCCACATTATTCTGAGATGTTGGTGCCTAAAAACATACAAAAGATTTATTTATACAATTAAAGCAAGAAATATACAATAAAAACAAAAGATTACTAATAAAAAAGAACTTTTAAAATATTTATCAATTGAACTACTTTCCTAAGTAGTTCCACTTCCTTCAATAGTATAAGCTTACATAAAATTATGATTATTAGATATAATTATAATCTCCATTGTAATGGAAAAGAACATATTTTACGCAAAAAAATTTCAGAAAAAATATAAACACCTTGAATGAATCTAAAGCAATATAATATTAAAAATAAAACTTAAAGGAAAAAGAGTTAATAATTTTATTTATTTATTTTTAAAGACTGAATGTTGTTTAAATAATGTAAAATATATTGCTATTATGTTTTATTGAGTACTCTGAGTATATTAATCAGAAGTACGTTGGAAGCATTTTACAACCGCCATCATGATCCGAAAAATTTATTACTATGAGAAATTCAATTTTTTGCAGAAATAGTGATAACAATTAGCTTACCATGGCCATTGCTCCGTTCATTATCCTTTGTAATCCAACACGCTAAGACTAACTTCCCTTGGATCTATTTTACCAAGTAAATCTGAACCGAAACGGAACAATTAACTTAATGCAAAAAGATCCGAAGCTTGCCTTCACGGAAGTATCATAAGTACTATATAAGTCAATGATAATTCCACGTTGAATTGTATAATATTTCTTTGAATAAATAATAAAGATATTTCAGTTTCAACTTTAAATAAAAATATTATCACGCCGAAAATACTTTATTGCGAAATATTTTTAGGGCAACTCCTGACTGTGACTTCCACTAATTACTATTTGACTGCAGTAGTATAGTTGTGAAAGACAGATGTGCATTTAAAGGTTAGAAATTAATGTAATTTCTTTATTAAAGAATCAAATTACAATGAGTTCTAATGACTTTCAGATCAGATTAGTCAACAATGAGAAGGTATAATTCAGTATGTGCATAAGTGATCGTTATTTTATATAAAAACTTTTATATAATAGTAAATAAGAGACATATGAAACTTTGTTGCATTTATCAATATATCTAATTATTAATTATTATTAAAGGTGAAATAATTATATATGTTTTACAGGGCAAGGGTCTTTTCGCTATCCATTCATTTAAAGATGGGGACACAATTTTGGAAGAGAAACCTATAATTTGTTGTCAATTCTCATGGAATTTAGAATATGGATATTTAGCTTGTGACAATTGTTTAAAACCCTTAGAAACTGCTGAGGAGAATGTACGTAGATTGACTGGAAATTCAACAATTATTTTACCTCATCCAGAATGCTGCGAAACAAAGAAAGATTCAATTACAGAATGTCTTGAATGTGGCACGAAGTATTGTAGCATTGAATGCCAGAATGATGCTTATTTAAGGTAATATTACAATGTTACAAATTTAATACTAATGTTAATAAAATTGTATAACTGTATGAAATGTTAAAAAATTTAGATATCATAGTACAATATGTTTACACTCAAAAGAAAAGGATGAGTTTCATCCTTTGGTGCAATTAAATGAAACATGGAAGCAAATGCATTATCCACCAGAATCAGCAACAGTGATGCTATTAGTTAAAATGGTAGCTCTTGTTAATCAAGCCAGTGATAAAGAAGAAGTCCTTTCAACTTTCTCTCAATTTTGTCATCGTACAGTTAATGATACACATGAAATTGCACATAAACTTTTAGGAGAAAAATTTATTGGTCAGATTGATGTACTCAGACAAATGATGCAAAAAGCTGTCAATACAGAATTTACAGAACATGTATGTAGTGCAAATATAACTCAAAACATACTGTATGTCGTAAAGTAATTGTTTAAATTTCAATTTGCAGTGGTTTACACCAGAAGGTTTTAAAAGTCTATTAGCTTTAGTAGGTACAAATGGCCAAGGAATTGGAACTAGCGCATTTAGTCGTTGGGTTAAAAATGTATTTGCTTTGGAATTACCAAGAGATGAAAGAATTCAAGTTGATAAATTAATAGAACAAATTTATGATGATATGGAAGAAGGTAAACTCTTGTAGATTTTAATGTGAATTTGAACATGAACTGTAAGAGTATGAATTTTACTTTACTATCATTTTTATCTCTTTTAGCAGTGGCTTTCTTTTTGAATAATGAAGGTTCTGGTCTTTATGTTCTTCAGTCATCAATAAATCATAGTTGCGTACCAAATGCAGTTGTAGAATTTCCTTACTCAAACAATATATTGGTTCTGAAAGCTATACGTGATATTCATCCTGAAGAAGAAATATGCATAAGCTATCTTGATGAATGTTGTTTAGAAAGAAGTAGACATTCTCGACAAAAAGCTTTAAGCTCTTTATACTTATTCCATTGTTATTGTAATAAGTGCTTATCACAAGCTGACGATTTAGATTTGACATCAGAAGATGAATTAGATGATAATGATATGTCCAGCTGAAAACATAAATTTTTATAGTATATATACACATAAATAATTTTTTTAATGTAATAATATATGTCATAATTATTCAATTTACCTGTATTTATATATGTAATTTTATCATTGACTTGTGATATTGCTAATTAGGTACAAATATTAAGTACAAAATTAATACAAATTTTACAAATATAATTCTTTATCTGGTTTCATTTCATTTCTATAGAATTGTCTGTAACAATCAATGTATTTTGTCACAGATAACACAATCATATTTGTTGTAATAACTTATTTAACACAATATCTGACAATATTTCTATATAACTATCCTCTGTGGTAGTAAGACATTTAATATTTAACTTAAATAACGCTTATGTAATTAAAATACATATTATAATTATACATAAAATCGTTTGCTTATAAATCATTATATTGTAATAAAATACTAAATAAATTGTTCTATCATGTACATTGTAATATATACATGAAAATATTATTAGTATGTTAATTTTTACAATTTTTAACAGATTTTTTGTTATACAGTATATTTTTTATATAAACAAGATAAACGCATTTTTGTTAATTAATAAGAATAAAAAGATGTTTCTTCATTTTTAATTATATCAAAATTACATTTCATTATATTTAACAATTATTTTGAAATACAAAAATTTGAAACACTTAATATTAAAAACAGTAACAGTATAAATTATTTTACATTTTTACATATCACAATACTTTGTGTTAAATTTGTCTCTTATATAATTAATATAACAAGCAAGCTTTGCCTGCTTTAGTTTTATATGTTAAATATTAATTATTAATCACTTTTAAGTGTTAATTCATTTTTTCCTAATATCATTAAATTTGATATATAATGAGGCACAGGTGTAACAAGTATACGTCGTTCTATTAATTTTGATAAAAATGCGGCAATATTTTGACTACGAAATTCCCACCTGAAATAAATTTAATTTAATTGATAGATAAAAAATTAAAATTCTGTTAAAATTACATATTAAATCATATGTAAGTAATAATCATCGTGATTTCATTTAAAACTTACGTTGCTTGTATGTTTATATTTGGCAATTTTTTTGATATATCTTCATGTGATATAGGTCGAGTAGGCCCATTTACGACAACAACTTCTAAAATAGGAGGATTATCACCAAAGCATGCTCTCGCGTACTTTTTCCGCTGCTTTTGTTGAGTAAAATCTACACCTGTCTTCCTATGGAATGAATGTACGATTACTACTTTTTATAATTTTTAAGTTTTATTTTATTTAACAATTTGTAAAAGAAATATTACTTCCTATCAGGAGTATCATCTTCATATATCAAAGTTTTATTAATATTTTGAGCATTCATTGCCCCTTCTTTTCTTTTCCAACATAATACGCTCAAAGATTTAAGATCTCTACCCATTACTTTTAATCTTTTGACATCTTCATAACCCAAGCTTCTTGTTATTGCATTTAAGATATCAGACGGAATATTTTTTTTTGTAGAAAAGAAATATTTTTGACCCATAAATAAAGCACAAAAGAACATCGTATGTTGAACTTTATTTTTTTTATTTCTTTTTGTTTCTACTAAAGAGACATATGTAATATTATTATGTGTATATATTTTTAAATTAATTTTTATGTTTAATGAATTAAGATTATCTATCATGTTATTTTGAATCTCTCTGTTTATAAGATAATTTGCAGATTTATTAGAGCCTGTTAATGTATAACCATACCACATCTTTTTATTACTGTGCCAACTTATATCTAAAAAATATGAATTTCATTCTAAATCTGTAAAATAAATACAGTGCTGCAAATAAATTTCGTGCGTCTTACCAATTAAATGTAATGACAACAAGCGATCTGTTAAAATCTTTTCTTTAAGTCCTTTTTGCTAAAAAAAAAAAAAAATAAATAAGAAAGATAATATGTAACACAAAAAATAAAATAAATAAGATTATACAGTCGTGCATAAAACTCACAGTAATAATCATTTTAATAACTTGTCCTACATTAGCAGATGTAAAATTTTTATGATGTTTAATTAATTCAGATCTTACATTATCCCATGAAATTTCTGGAAAAATTGGCATTATCGATAACTCTAATTCCTCAAATTTAAATCTTTTAATAATGTTAATTATCTCTTGCTGTACAGATGTAAGCGTTGCTGAAAGATTTAAAAGAAATTATTAACACAATTTTAATCTAACATTTCGAACTAACCTTCTTTTTAATTTATTACGAAATACTAACTGTTCGACATTGTGTACAGGAAAATAAAAAAATTTAATAATAAAATAATTTTAATTCTTAATTTAGCGGCATCAAATCTTTTTTTAATATTGGGAGCCTAACGTCAAATATTTCATACACCAACAACACACGCAGAACTTACTATTTCCCGCCGAAACGGATAGACTATACACACCACGAATGAAGTATAAAATAGATTCAATCTTATTTGATGCATTTTGATATTCTACGTTGGAAACTTGCAAATTTTCCTCTTTAAATATCATTCGCAACATGTTATTCACGGGGCATTGACGATGATAGCCAATTTTAGTGTAATAATTAATTAAATCATTGGCTGAAATCAGTTTAAGAATTTTGATTATTTTACTTTGTTTTTGCTACTTTTAGCTTTTCCCGAAAACAGTGTGTCTGACTCATCTGAGATAACACTAAATTCTTATGATGTAAAATCTATGCTATAGTTAGTCTGTGGTATTACGCAAGCGTAATAGGAGGATGCGAGATTATAAATGCAGTACTAGATGAAGATTGTATGAAGTTGTCACGGTGCACTTGTCGCATGATGGCGCAACATGTTGTCTGCTCAAGCACACCGGCAGCTCTTTTATTACTTATTTTTGTGATATCCAATTTAGTAAGCGTTAATACATTTACGAAAGTGAAAGTATCTGATAATTTAAATGTCAAATCAGTGAACGTCTTCATTAAAAAGGACTCTGTCGCGGAAGAGAACGTGTCTTCTAGCTTTGGTTTCTTGATTGAAGTTTTTGGCACCGGCCTCGAGAATAATATATCATTACGTTGGTCACGTACGCTCGATAATTGCGAATCAAAAAATAAATTAAGTGCAATTTGGATCTCACCGAATGGCAGTCGGGCTATATATAAGTTCGACAAAGTTCCTAATTTTAAGGTTACCACGATCTATTTCTGTCTAAAAATTGTCAGCACATTCGGTGAAATATGGACCAATCTTGGAAGCAATTTTACTATCAGATCGCCAATACAATCAAAGTAAGTTAAATATCAGATAACTTGTCTTTATCCGAACATCATTAAAAAAATTTTTCTTTCTTTATAAGTAATAGATATTTATCGTATGACTTGACACCATTTTTTATGAAGGCGGAAATTGTGCCGATGTTATCGACAACAAAGAGCTTCTCTATAACGTTATAATTTATACATATATGAGATTTTTAATTTGTCTGTTACAATGTAACGTTACTTTTTGATTCTGTTCACAATTTTGCAACTAGACACTCAAATAAGTTTGCCTGAAAGTTAATTAATTAAAATTGAATATGAAATAAGTTTATCTCATTTTAACTTCTCTCTATCTGTGCTTATATATTATAACTCGTAATTTTTTTAATTAAAAACATTGATTTTACTCTAAAAAAAAAACAAGTAAACTTTGTAAATTTTATAAAACTTCTTGTTAATTTTAGAAATTCTTAATTTCCTTTCTTTTTTAATAAAGATTAATATTTGATCGATCTCTAATGATTTTTATTTCATTTTATTTTTTTTTATTTCAGAAAATATTTTCGTATGCGTCGTGCCAATTTGTTATCCAGTGTCAATGATGACCCCAAAAATCTATTGACTCAACAAATCCATACAGATGTGTTTATTGAGGGTCTGAGAATAGAGATATCAGAAAAGGACCCTAGTTATAGAGAGGATGGTATTCCAGAAATACTTGCTGGAAGTAAGACAGTTATAAGATTATTTGGCTTTGGTTTCACGGAAGATACTTGGATTACTTTTACTGATGAACCTGCCGAAAGGGGTAGTATTTGCGATAAGATTAAAAGCAATGCATTTTTAGTAAGTATTTCTACTTGTTTTTTAGCAAATATTTATACTATGAACGATATTGTATATAATTGAATATAATTGATACAGATGAAAAATGTAAGAAATAATACTGCAACTGTTGATGTGGTATTACCACTTGGTTCACCTTTTTACATATGTGTAAAACAAGTATATGGGGAAGAAGGTTCAAACCTTTTACTTTTTAAACATCAAGGCACTGAATCATGGAAAACTGTGAGTAATAAAATGTAATAAAAACAAAATACAATTAAAGAAATTTATTAAAAACATTCATTATTATAGATATATACATATGAAAAATTCTTACCACTTTGGCTTAGTATTTTAATTATTCTTATGTGTCTTACTTTTTCTGCCTTATTTTCTGGTTTGAATTTGGGATTAATGGCAATGGATAGAACTGAATTGAAGATTCTTTGTAATACTGGAACAGAAAAGGTACCTTGATTGAAATTTATGCCAATTTGTAATTTTACAAATAATTTAATTCAATTATTTATATACTAAAGGAAAAACAATATGCGAGAACAATACAACCAGTGCGAAATCATGGGAATTATTTGTTATGTTCAATTTTATTCTCCAATGTTTTGGTGAATTCAATTTTTACTATTTTGTTAGATGATTTAACTTCTGGATTAGTTGCTGTTATTTGCTCTACTCTAGCCATTGTAATTTTTGGTGAAATTTCACCACAGGTAAGTATATATTTATAAGAATACATGTTTTATTCAATAGAAGTATTGAATAGAAACATAATTTTTAAATTTACAAATAATTTATATACTTTATATTTTATTAGGCCATTTGCAGTAGACATGGATTGTGTATTGGAGCAAAAACTATTTATATCACAAAATTAACTATGATAATAACATTTCCATTGAGTTATCCTATTAGTAAACTTTTAGATTTCCTTCTTGGAGAAGAAATCGGCAATGTGTATAATCGTGAACGATTAAAGGAACTTGTAAGGGTAAGGAAAATAAAGTAATAATGTTATAATTCTTTTTTTAAACTTCCTATATTCCTAATATAGTCTTCTTTTCTGTTTGCAATTTAAAGTATATATTATCAAACACCTTTTCAAAGTTTTTACTGTTATGGATCTTATCAGAATGACTATGGATAGGGCAGATAATTATACTAACATCTAAATTCAATCATATGTAGGTAAGATATAGATCTACTGACGTCTGTTTGAAGTTTTTACACTCTTCAGCGTATATGTTAGATTTCTTATCATTATGAAACTTAAATAAGATAACCTTATACTCTTATATTGCGCTAATTTAAGTTGAATTTATCTTCAAAATGTATTTCCAATACATTTATTCATACACACACACACACACACACACACACACACACACACACACACACACACATATATATATATATATATATATATGTTTGTGTTAACATAAAGAAAAATATCTTATATAATTAATATAATAATTTTTTATCAAGTGTTTCACTCATATAATCTTTAATAACGTTATTAAAGATTTCATATCTATATATGTGAATTATATATAATATATAATTGTATGCAGGTAACAACAGGGTATAATGATTTAGAAAAGGATGAAGTGAATATTATTGCTGGAGCATTAGAATTGCGGAAAAAAACTGTTACAGATGTAATGACAAAAATTGAAGATGTATATATGTTGAATTACAATGCCATTTTAGATTTTGAAACAGTATCAGAAATTATGAAATCAGGTTTAAATTTTATTTTATTTATATGCTTACCAATAAAATATAGAATGTTTATTTATGAATACTTATTGTTATTACTTTTTAGGTTTCTCTCGTATACCAGTATATGAAGGTGTAAGAACAAATATTGTAACAATGCTTTATATCAAAGATCTTGCATTTGTAGATCCAGATGATAATATGCCACTAAAAACTTTATGTCAATTTTATCAAAATCCATGCAACTTCATTTTTGAAGATGTTACACTGGACATTATGTTTAAACAATTTAAAGAAGGTTCATATTTTTCAAAATTATCTACTTTCACTAAACTTGTTTGGTGTCCTTTAAAAGTGAACTATATTTATAGAAACATGCACTCGTTTTAGGTCATAAAGGTCACATGGCTTTTGTTCAAAGGGTTAATAACGAAGGTGAAGGCGATCCTTTTTATGAAGTAATAGGATTAGTTACATTAGAAGATGTTATAGAGGAATTAATTCAGGCTGAGATCATAGATGAAACTGATGTTTTTAGTAAGCCACCTTTATGACTCTTATATATGTATGAATGCAATTAATACTAATCATCTTTTCTTATAGCGGATAATAAAACTAAGCGCAGAAGACAAGCTAGGCATAAAATACAAGATTTTACCGTCTTTGCAGAGAAGAAAGAAAATCAACGAATTCATATATCGCCTCAATTAACATTGGCTATGTTTCAGTATTTGTCTACAAGTAGGAAGAAGTGTTTTGATTTAAGAAAATATGAAATTTATATAAAAAATTATTTTAGTACTCTTAAAATGTATCTGAGTCTAACATATGATCCACAGCTGTAGACGCTTTTAAGCCCGATACAATATCGGAAACTATTTTGCGTCGTTTACTTAAACAAGATATTATTTATCACATCAAAGTGAAATCACGCGAAAAAGCAAGAAATGATCCGGCAGCGGTAATATATCAACAAGGAAAAGCGGTTGACTACTTCGTTTTAATCCTAGAAGGTCGAGTTGAAGTTACAGTAGGAAAAGAGAATATGATGTTCGAAAGTGGCCCATTTACGTATTTTGGTTCTCAAGCACTTACTGTTAATGTTGGAATTGGTAAAATTTATATTAAGTTTATCCTTAATGTTTAGAATATTCAATGTTTTATAGACTTATACGTAGTCGAATTTTTCAGCCGAATCACCTACCAATACAAATCCTCAAACAGTGGGAAGCATACAGTCGATCAATTTAGATTCTATGTTACGATATACATTTGTTCCCGATTATACAGTACGAGCAGTGTCGGAAGTGTTCTATGTTAAAATTAAAAGATCTTTATATTTGGCTGCAAAACGAGCCACGCTTCTAGAGAGAAGTCAGAAAGATTCATTACCCGGTCAGGAACAATTTGACGACGAAGTAGAAAAGGTTAATTGCATAAAGTGTGCATAACATTAATGATCATGAAAATGTGACCAAATTTCTACTATATAATAATTTTATAATTCTTAGTTACTACATTCTTTGGATGAAGATGATCGTAGCATGCCAGAATCTCCAGTATTGCCTATTGACAAAGAAAAAGAAAGTAAAAACGAAAAGGAAAAAGAAAAAGATAACGTGCAATCACCTGTTCATAGTGCAACTGCTCCAACTTCACCTGCTCCAGTCAGCGCTAGTCCAGTTACGCATTCAAAATTTATCTCATCTTATAGTGATCATAATGGAAAACTTAAAAATTCGCCGGCAAAGGTGGACTTTTCATTATTACAATTTTATTATTTCAAGATTATAAAATACAAAAGAAATTAAAATTAGTAACTTTATACATATATTCTAGGCAACGATTGTAATCAGCCCCAGTCAAACACAAGCTAAATTAGATTTAAATACAGAGATTCTGGCTCGTCAAGAAGCAAATAGAGCCATATCAGCAAAAAAATTAATCGAAGACGAAGAAAGAACAAATCTCCTGCCTAAAAAAGAAGACTCTTAACGTTCGGAGAATAGTCGACAACATGTAAATGAGTCGACATTAACACTGCAGGTATCAAACAACGAAGAGCAGGAAAAACCTCTATGACATACAATGCTATCACGGCATTAGGTACTTAACAAATTACTTAAATATTTATCGCAAAAAAAATTGATAGTTGATCTTGTGTATTTTAAGTTTTAAATTCGTGGAAAGCATCCATGATATATATCCTAGTTCTATAAAGTTAGTACGCTCAGGGAAGATTGCCAAAATTTCAGATACTCATATATATTTAATTCTTTTTGTAGTTTACGTAAACAATTTAATACGTAATTAAAATTTAAACCCATGTTCAATTGATAAATGTTGCATAATTTTTTCTTTTATATATATTTTATATCTTAAAAGAGCGGAACACTTATTGAAGATCGTATATTCATTATTGTAGAAAACTTCATTTTTTATTATTTATCACAAAATGCATATATATTTTTCAACATATGATTCTTAAACATTTGTAAATATCACTCTACCATGCATTTTTTCATAAAAACAATACCTATGAAATGTGCATTTTATATCGATGAAATACACATTTACATGACATTTCTCAATGATTATATATGAACAATTGCCGTTGTTGTGCTTATATCCTATAAAGTAAAGGAAGTTTTAAAAAATTTAAACAAAATAATCAACAAAATTTGCAATTGTATAATTACAATTAGATTTTTTTTACATTTCTTACATTATTAAATTAAAAAAACTTTAGTCAAAAATATTATAATACATGTAATACAGTTAACAGCTTATAGCTTCAAATATAATTTTTTGAATATTAGAAATTGGAGGAGATTCTGCAAACTTTAATCAAAATTCAGCAATTCAATCATATCACTAAACAATTTTGTAGTTTTTTTCTCGCAGTTGTAACCATTACACTCTAGTATAATATGCTTGGTGAAAAATGGAATTGCATTGTTTGCAGATAGGGGATGATGACTGTTCAGTAAATAATGAATATGATAGCACTGTGTGGCCTATCCTAATTCTACTAATTAATTAAATTGAGCTGTGTGATTGAATATGCTTGAGAACATATGGGTTCATGTGTTCCATATTTTTTTTATATGTCTTCTGACTGTTTTGATGCTTTATTAGCTTGTTTATTCCCCTGAATACCAACATGTGATATTCAGATTATTTCATGTTTTTTTCTTTGGTTGAATTTGTCATATTGCTAATTTTCTTTTTTTCTTTTTTTCAAGAATCACCATAACTTTCTCGTCTTTAGAAAGAGCTCTATTATAAAGGATATGTTCTTGATACTAACTATAATTTCTCTAGAAGAAAGTGATTTTAATCTATCTCGTTGTTGGCCTGAGTGTCAAAACATCCAATTGTGTTTGGTCCTTAATCTCCTTCTAACAGTTTCCATCTTAGACTCTATTTTTTCAACACAGGACTAGACTGATTATAGAAATAGTAATTTCAGATCTTGCTTCTGTTAATTTTTGGATCTTTGGTTTAGTGAGGACAGGTAGGGGCTTTGATTCTTTTGCTGGGTCTGTTTTTTTATGTGTATAGAAAATTCCCTTAGAGAATTTTCTTTTTTAAAGATACCTCTGAAGGCCTCATCTATTGAATCATCTTCATCAATCACCATGAGTGATTTGTTCATCTATGTAGTCTAAGTGGATTCTATTCAAAGATGTAATTAAAATCTTGTTATAATAGAAGATTTAAAAAAAACTTTGAATGAATAATTCAACATATTTTTTAGATGCATATGAAACAATATGTTTTTCCTCAGTTATCTTGTATTTCTTAAATCATATTTCTTACACAAGTGTGAATAGTGTAAATAGAAGGAACAAATTGTCCCCATTTATAATGAATTATGAGACCTTCGATGTAAAAATACTATGTATTTTATTCAGTGCCTTAAAAGATTTATAAACTCTGTTTAATCGTGTTTAATAAATTGCATTTTAATAAGAAATAGATATAATTTTCATAGTAAATTCAAACTATACATTTATCTAAATTTATTTACTATGACAAAATTCAATTAAATTAAATTTCAACTTGAAATAGAATTCCTCCTTTTCATAAACTTTCATTCATTTATTACGTTTGTATAACATGAATAGTTGTGTGTATTTAGAAAAAAAAAAAAATGTTGAGCGATAACACAATGGTACAATCCCTACAGAAAAATAGCGAATTTCAAAGAGTTCGATATTTTAATAATATATGCCTAATATATGCTTTTATTCTATTTTTTTCTCAATTATTATATTTTTATTACTATACAAAAAAGTATATCAAATATAAAGTTTCATGTTCAACACTTGCACATATCTTCATATAAGTTCCATATAGATTGGTAGTTTGAAATATTTTATGAATAGAAATTTTTCTAAATTTTAAAGCGTCTATAATTTAATTAAACACTTAAATATCACAAAAAAATTTAATTTCTGTACTTAATTCAACAAGTCTATAATATAGAATTTCTAGAATAGACTTGTAATTTTAGAGTTAAATCATTACAATTTACTATTTTTTTTTTAAATTTAATAGATAAACTATTACTGCCATATTTTTTAACTTATAGATATTTCAATACTTGTTTTAAATAATTTTTAAAGATATGTATTACATTTAAAAACAGTTATTCTCATTACTTGTAAATATTAATTATTCAAAAATTGAATCAGATAATATAATTTCAAATTACAAAGCTGATACATTTTCTATACAAAAGAATATCCATTTTAGCATAACATAAGCTTCAAAAATAAATATTTAAAAAAATATTTTATTTTTTATATAAATATATATTTATTATTCAAGAAATTTTATGTAATATATATGTTTAAATGTTCTGGACAATTTCGTGGAATATTTTTCGTGAATATGATATATATTTAATCATTTTGAAGTCTATATACTCATATTAATATATTCTGTTACAATTAACATCAGACAATGCATACTTTTTAAATTACAATAAATAGATAATATAGTGTTATTGGATAGCATTTATTGTTCTTTTACTATTTGTTTTCTATTTTTCTCTATTAATCAGTTCTTTATTCTCAACATATTTTATAACATATAACATTTTTATAGTTCAAATAGTTTAATAATTATGCATTTTATTAGCAACAGTTTAAAGTACTTACTGTGACTTATTTATACTTAGTTTTTCTAGAAAGTACAGATATTACTAACAGTGTGTTACAAGTTTGTTCTTCTTACAATAAAAATTATATCTTATAACAAAGACCTAAATATTAATGAAATATGTGAAAAAAAGTAAAAGAATTATTTATGTGCTAACTGTACTTGTAAGATGATTTTAGTCGATTAACATTAAATAATAGTGTGCCTACAAATAAAAATAAGTGTATTATTTGCTTACATCAATAGCATAAAATTCTGTCAAAATCATTACTCCTTAATAAATCCAGAATATTCTTTAAAAAAAAAGCATACACATTGATACTAAATTAATATATTCTATATTGGTGTAATGCAGGGAAACAACATATTGCACATAATTTTAATATTGTATAATTATAGAATTAAAAATGGGTATCCAGAAAAAAAGTCAAATATTTATCAACATATTATTATATTCATAAAATAAAGATACAGTTTTGTTTTCAAATGGATTTTTTTATTGATCACCTATATTTAATTCCTACTATTTTCTATACAAATTCACGTCATAAAAATATAATATAAAATAAATATCAAGTTATAAAGTTTATTTCAAATATCATTTAAATTTAAATATCATTAAATTCTTTCCTTACACTTTTCTTAATTTCAGATAATTTTTTCATATCAATGTTTCCTTCTCGTATAAAAGCTTCGAGCTTGGCAATTTTAGAATTTATAAAATCATAATTTGATCTCTTTTTCTTTTGTTTTTCAATATAATCACTCATTACATAATTCCTTATTAGACACCAAGGATGTCCTTCATCTTTAAAAGTTATTAAATCCACTGCAATTTGCGAAAAATTTATCGCTAAATTTTCAGGTACATAAATATCGATTGTAATCTCTTGATTTACTACTTTTTTCATACAAAATAAATTTTGATATTTAAATTTCATATTAAGAATGACCCAACTATTTTTTGGAAAGACATCGTGAAAATTTGCAGATAAAAATAACCGATTCGCTACATAATTTGTTGTTATTTTCGGACAAAAGAGTACTTTATCTTTATGTGCGTATAAATTTATTCTTTTTAATTTATCTGTTTCTACTGTTAATGTTTCATTTAAAATTTGTAATTCTTGAGTTCCCTTATAAATCTTCTCCATTATAACTGTTGCAGTTTCTAACATGTTGGAATGCAGATTAATAAAAGTATCATTCTCTACCGGTAGGTTTCTTTCTATTGTATTTATAGAAATCTCTACTAATTGTTTATCCTGTGTCAAACCTAAAATCATCTTAGAATCATATGATTGTAAACAAACAAAGCTTTTATCTTCAACTCTTATTTGATGAACGTTATCAACGAGTAATTGTTTTTTTGCATAGTACAATTCAGATTCATATAAATAAACAATCCATAACATGTCATCTAAGGATTGACTAAAACCAGCACAAATGGCTTGTATTTCTGGCTTTAAATAAATTGTTTCAAAGATAAGTGTGTCATCTTTTGGATGCATTATAATAACAACATTTATGGTAGTAGCAAGAAGTAATGCTACAATCTTGTTATTTTTCCATACAGGTATTACATCTCTAATGGAGTAAATACTGCTATGTATTATTTGTACAGTCTCGTTAATTAATGTTAAAAGTTTTTGTCCGTTTGCAATTATACATAAATTTTCTACGGTAGAGTAATTATTTGTTAAGGCTTTCATAAAACATTCTGTAGTGGTTTCCACGTTTAACAGATGAACACATAGCTGACTGGAATTAATTTCTTTGGAAGAAAGTTTAAATAATAGTTTGTTTGACATTTTTTGTTTATTATCCAAATAAAGATATCCATTTCTTGGTATCAGTACCTCATAAAAAACAGTACCTATTCCAATCGCACTTTTGCTTAAAACGGCAAATTTCCAATCCCTCGAAAGTTTATAAACGCCTTGTGGAATGCAAATTAAAAAAATTCTACCGCTAAAACATTGTACAGTTTTTATTGGTGCTGGTGTTGTCAAAACTTCGACAGAGTCATTATTTCCGTATGGAAATATTACAAGTTCATTTTGATTCCAGCAGAAACAAGTCCTTTCACTATAAAATGTATGAACAATGAAATTTTTTGGTAAAAAGTGTGTGTTTGTATTGATATACATTATTATTATTGTACACGATATTTATTAAACACCACGTGTTGTTTATCGTGTAATTTAATAGTGGGTCAATATATACATGTATATACATTAACGGTAACTAAAAGAGATATTTTATAATAAAATTACTTTTGAAACTTTTACTTGTATAAAAATTACAAAAAAACGGTCAAATAGGTTAATTTTTCTACAGACGAGGTGCACCATCGTACGACAAGTTTAATAACTAAAGCTTTCTTCTTGCATTTTAATCATTTACGTATCTAATGCAAGTTCTAATTAGTTACTGTCAGTGAAATTTTAACCTTTTTATCTCGAAGTAATTATGTATTATGCATTTGACGTGAAAGCGATATAATTAATAATAGAGCGATAGAATCATATAATATTCGTTGATTCAAAAATTTCATTTGAAATTAAATGTCCCTTTCGCTGTTTTCTTTTTAAAATTACAGTAGTACATTTTTCGTTTTACTTTATATTTATCTCTATGTTTTAACAGACGATTTATTTGTTCTATTTGTTAATACAATATATCCACATATTTAATAGATTATGTGGAAGTCAGTGATTAGTGAACGTGATGAACCACACGTTAGAACTTATGCCGAGATATTAAAACAAAAACAGGATGACGAAGGATATCAAACCACAAGTTCAATACGACAAGTACGTTTTAAATATCAATAAATTAATTATGCTAATCAAATATGTGCTTTCTTTCTCTTTGATGTTAATATTTCCTAATATTTTAATTATAGGATCGTGTTGAAACCGATATACTAAAATTATACAAATTAAATAATGAACCAGTTTTAACAAGACAGAAGCATATTCAATTTTTAAAAAAATCTCTGTTTCACCTTAGTGAAGCTTACCAGGTAAATTGTGTTTTTCTATTGTACTTAAAATTGTTATGTATATTTTTTCATGTATTACTTTTCTTAGTGTTTAGATTCTAGCAGGCCATGGTTGTGTTACTGGAGCCTACATTCCCTTCAAATCCTAGGAGAACGTTTAGAATATGATGAATATTCTAGAATTATTGGTTTTTTGGCCAAATGTCAATCGCCAGAGGGTGGCTTTGGAGGAGGTCCAGGGCAACATCCTCATTTAGCCTCTACCTATGCAGCAATAAATGCTTTATGTACTATTGGTACTCCTCAAGCTTATCAAGTAATTGATAGGTATATATATATATACACACACACACACACACACACACACACACACATATAAAATATAAAGTTATGATTGAAAGTACATTTTAAGAGATTTTAAAAATATTAATTGTATGATTTTGTGATGTTAGAAAAGGACTTAAACAGTTTCTATCATCTCTACGCGAAGAGGATGGTTCTTTCAGTTTACACAAAGATGGAGAAACAGATATAAGAGGAATATATTGTGCTCTTTCTGTAGCAAAACTGACAAATGTATATACCCCTGAAATATTCAAAGGCAGTGAAAGTTGGATAGCTAAATGTCAAACGTGGGAAGGTGGTTTTGGTGGGTCTCCTGGCATGGAAGCTCATGGAGGATATGGATTTTGTGGGTTAGCAGCACTTATGCTTCTTGGCAAACCTCACTTCTGTTGTCTGAAATCATTTCTGGTATTCAGCTGATATAGTAAATTTTATACACACATTGAAGAATTCATTATTCATATCTATTTACTTTCAGAGATGGATAGTAAATAAACAAATGCGCTTAGAAGGTGGGTTTCAAGGACGCACGGAGAAACTAGTAGATGGTTGTTATTCATTTTGGCAAGGTGGAGCTTTTCCTCTGATTCATACAATTTTAACTATGGAAAACAAAGTATTTAATTCTTCATATTGGTTATTTAATCAAGAGGCCTTACAAGAATATCTGTTAATTTGTTGCCAACATCCTCATGGTAGTCTTGTGGACAAGCCTGGAAAGTATGCAACACTGTTATTATTTATTATAAAAGCAATTTTATAAATTATATTCATTTCAGAAGTCAAGATGTATATCATACATGTTATGCACTTAGTGGATTGTCAATTGCACAGAATTCCCCATGGCCATTGATCATTGGATCACCTAATACAAATTTAGTGAAAATAATTCATCCTTTGTATAATTTAGAAAATTCTTGTGCAGTTAATGCATTAAAATATTTTAATACACTGCCGATACCTGATTGAACATATATCTAATATTCAAACTACATTGGTAGAATATAAATACATTCATTTCATCTTAGCAAAAGTTCAAAGACAGATTCTATTTTACTTCACATTAAAATTGACCAAGAAATTGTAAATATGAAGTTATTGAATAATAAAAGTAATAATAATTATAAATTATTGTATTTGTATTTTCTTAATTGCAATATCAACCAATATTTAATTAATATTTATCTTGTGTATAACTGAATTTTAACCTAATAGTATTAACCTAATAATGTTCTTTAGAAATGAAAAGTTTTTAAGGGATATGTAATATAATACAAATAATTTATATATATATATATATGTTATAATACAGTATAAATTTTTCTTTATACTTTAATATAAATGTTCATTTAATTAAATCTTCATGTGCACATAGGTATCAATAACGGAAACGATCATATGTATACAATGAGCTATATCTATGGCGCGTTCTGAAATGGTGCAATACAAGTATGAGACATGCAACAAATAAATTATATAAAGAAATCGTCATAAAAATTAAAAAACAGTGGTATCGCTATTTGGATACTGTAAAAAACGAATTCTAGTATAAATATTCCCTGAAAATTAAACCGCAAGAAAAAGAAAATAGTACGTTCAAAATTATTTTGGCAATTATTTCCAATAAGAGAAGAGGTTATGGCAAAACACTTAGTACAAATAATTATAATGGGAACACAAGTTGTTGTTAAAGCATTTGCACGGGCATTACGACAAGAAATTGCAGCAAGTCAAGCTGCTGCACATAAAACAGGCGGTGGTGCACGAGGTACACAACATGTTGCTGCCAATTACAAAACCGGTATTTCTTTAGAAGAAGCACTACAGATTTTGAATGTTGAACGAGTGGATCAAGTAGATACTATTGAACGTAATTACAAGTACCTCATGGAAGTTAATGATAGATCAAAAGGTGGTTCTTTTTATATTCAGTCAAAAATTGTGCGTGCTAAAGAACGTATTGATGAAGAGTTAAAAACTATGAAGACTTCTCCTCCAAATAATAATTCCAAGCAACAAAATGCTTCAAAACAACTATAATACATTTTTATATAGTCTAAATTTAATTGATACATCTTTGAAGTCAGTATATATGAATGTAATGACATTTTAGTCACCAATAAATAATATGAAACGTCGGTTGATAAAATTGGTATACTTATACTTTAATGCTGATTAAAGTGTTGAAATAAAAGAAAACATTGTTTAAAGTATCACAAGTCTCTTTTTTTTTTATAAATTAAAGCAGTTTGTACAAATTGCAAATAATCTCACTTATAATAGGTATTGATTCTTATGTACATGTGTGTAAATATATAAATATGTATATGCTTGTATATATAAATATATGCACATAATTTATGTAACAGTCTTCTAATACAAGTACTCGCTCTTATACGAGTCCTTAGGTACGTAATATATAAAATTCAGTATGCCAAACCAGCTACTTTTGCATCTTCTGGTTCAATTCTGTTCTCTGATTGACGAATAGTTAATCTCTCTTGATTATGATGAACAGACCATAAATTTGGTAAATATTTTGGCTTCATAGTCAGAAGAAAATGCTCTCTCCACATACGTTCTAATTCTACCAATCCTCCTTCCCTTTCATGAAAATATTGAACAACCTGAAAAATACAATTTGTAATATTAATATAAATAAAAAAAAACTTTACAAATATTTCTATCATTCATTATTAATGATACCTTTAAACCATGAGGTTGGCATTTAGACTGGTCGTAGTTAGGTACTGAAATTTTTTTTTCTAACTCTTTACTTAATACATCAAGTAGAGTTGGAGTGATTTGCTTCTCTTTTGTGCATTCCAAAATATAATGTTCTAAATCTCTGCGTCGTGATTCGGGTAAAGTTGTTTTTTCTTTTAGAGCTTTAACGGCTGAATGTAACTTCCTTGAATCATTTACATGTTTACTACGTACATGCGTTAATGGACCAGCCAAAGGCGCATCACACATATCTGCTAGTTTTCTTCTGAATTGCTGATCATAATAATTACTTATTTCATGGCAGGATGGACATAATAATAATATATCGTGAGACTGATGAGCTTTCATCACCCCTAAGAAATATTTACAAATTTAAATTATTCATAATTTATCTTATTATATATATGTATATCAAATTATATTTCAACTTACATGGAAAATATTTACGATATTCTCGTGGTACGACATTTTTTCTAGTAAACATGTCTGACTTCCCACAAACTACGCATTGATTGACTTTAACTTGTGTATAATATTTTCCAACCTCTCCCAAAGCTCGTCCAGATGGTTCAAATTTTAACCTCACAGTAAATGGTTCCTTTTCAACTGTTTCTCCTAATCCTTTTGTAATATACCATTCTGCTTTTTTACGATCACATGTACATAATATTTCCCCATCTGGTGCTTGTAAGTAACAATTATGATATAATGGTTTCTTTCTTGTAGGTACATAACTTTTATGTATCATATTGTTATTTATCTTTAAATTTTTAGTAATCTTATCAAAATAATTGTTTTCACTATTTTTTTGATTAATAGTTGTGTGTTCATGTTTGCTCTTAAACCTGAAATACGAAATGTAGAAGTGATTTTCTGTAAATTAATATAGCAATAATCAAAGATAAGTACAATATATAAAATAATATATTAGGTTTATTACCTCACATCAATTACATCACTAGGTAGGTAATGAAAGTGCATATTTAAGTTTCTATTATACATGCTTTTTATATAATTTACTAACATTTCCCACAAAGAATATTTCTCTTTTATTTTTTGTATGATCTATAAAATATAAAATAATTTATTGCTATCTATATTCTCCATAGTATTATGATGGATAAATTGATGGATACTTTACTTGGTCATAAATAAGAACAGATGCAATTGTATCACAAACAGCATATGCCACTTGTTCGTCAGTAAGGGTGCCAGCGTTCCAATCGCTACACCTTATTTCCATTACTTTATCTATTTCCAAATCTAAGTATTGCAAACTCATTGCAGCTAAACTTTTCGGACTTGGTAAATCCACACGTGCTGCTAATGTTCTTAAATCAACAGTACTGCTAACTTTACATCCATAATCTGCTAATATCTTTTGTCCATCCTCATATGAAGCAACTCCTACTTTAAGAATATGTTTATTAGCTAGTAATTCCTAAAAGAATGTTTGTCACATTATATACATAAACGTCTAATTTACGTATTGATTTAAATTTGTAAAATATTATGTACTTTCAATTTTTGAGGAATATATCCAATTTTGCCAATGCGAAACAAGCCACACACTCCATTAAATGTAGCAAGTTGAAGTAAAGAAGCAGGTCCTTCATTAACCCATTCACAATCAAAACCCAACACATCATTAGACAAGTTGCTTTAACAAAACAAAATATATTTATTCCAAAATAAACAAATAAATAATGAAGATGTTTAAAAGTAAATGTAAAAATAATTTTTATATCTATATCTTATAGTGAAAAAATCTATATATTTAACATCACATTAATTATGGAATTCATTACTACTAAGATATATATCTTATAATTAAATATAACTAAAATATATGTATATACTCTTAAAGTCCTCATATAGAGAAGCTTATTGAAGTGATAAGTAATCAACTGAAAAAATATGTATCAACATAATTAACGTCCTGAAAGTCTGTAGTTAGAGATATAAAAAAAAATATAAATATAGTACTAGTGTATACTTTCTCTATATAGATAACATTTAGGACATATACAATGTAATATTGAGATAAAAATAATAGTATAACTTACCAGTGAATACGTTGAATAGCGTAATCACATTTTTCTGGAGTATCGGCCAAAATAATTTTGTCCAATGAGATTTTAAGATCTTTTTTCTTATTATCACCTTGCTTACAACTTTTACTTTTCATACATTGACAAAGATGTTTAACGCCTTGGAAAACATTTTTGTGGTATTTAGAAGCCAAAAGTACAAGGCCCACGGTTACACATACAAAAAACATGTTGCTTTTTACAGGATGCATTAATTTGCAAAGATAAATTTTTATTTTCGATTTAGAATCAAGATTAAAATTTCGTATGTACAATTTATTTTCCTTCCTTTATGTACACTTGCGTATACGTGTATTGAATATACATGTAGTTTTCTTTAGAATATAAATATTTACATTGATAATTGATAATTAAATACGTTAATTAAATTTATAACTAAATTAAATTATAAGAATTTCAAATTTATCAATCATGACAATTGGTACTTGAAAAACAATAATGGTAAAAAGTTCCGCGAAAAAAATGCTCGGATTATCGAATTATGCGAAATAGTTAAATAATAACACAAAAGGCACATCACGATATTAATTACGAAAAAATAAATTAAAATAAATTAATAATCGAGCGAGGTTCAAGGAAACCCGAAGCTCTCGGAGCAACGGCTTAAGCACGCGGGTACAAACATTACACACGTTATACGACACACGACTATGATTATTCTAACGTTATCTTCCTTGCTATTTCAACGGACTGTTCTTTACGCTGATTGGTTGATTTTCTCGACAATTTTTGTAACAAATTCTATATATTTTATTAATATTATTGTTAACACGATCGTTTGTTAAGTAAGCGAAAAATAAAGTTAGATTATTTTGTAAAGAATATCGTGCATTTTTCAGAATTTCAAATATATCTACAAAATTTACTTTTTTTTATACGTTTTCGATAAAATCATTAAATTTCAAACTTTTTAATTTTGTACCAAGTGTATTAGGGAAGGGTAGTGTGTGTATTATACATTTACTTTAAATTTCACGGGAAATTTATAATTATTTACCGATTTGAATCTCTGATTTGAAAGAAGACTACAAAATATGATTATCACTCTATTTGTATATGTTTTGTGGTCAAATTTATGAGTGCGTATTTATAAAATGTAAAGTAATTAATACATATATATATATAATTGAATATGCATTTTTTATATAAATGAAAAACTACAATTGTATCTACGTGTAAGCGTATAAAACAGTATAGAAAAAATTAAGTATGGCGTTAATCCTATCAGCTGATATCGTCTGCTGGAATAACGAATTGTAGTTATTAATTAGTTGTACAGTGCACCCTTAAGTTGTAAACATATGTTTTTATTCCATGGCTATTCTCATAAGTTAATAAATTTACAAAAATTCAGTGTTGCTGTTTTAATGACGTAATGATTGTTTTAGAGTTTGTAATGGCGAAAATACTTGCTAAACACGAATTCGATCGTTTGCGTCATTGACAGGTGGGACAAGAATGTGGGGAGGTAGATAGGGATTATCTGTGCAAGCAAGTTTTTAAACAATCGAGTGGTAAAAGAGTCTGCCAAATAACTAGCAGATTCGGTTGTAATGAGCGACTCAGAACAGCGGCAATTACACGTGCCTTATCGAGAATATCATAGTCAGAACAATACTAATACTTCTGTCTTAGTGGAAACTGATGCTTTGGTAGATCTGTCAATCACATCTAACAATTGTTTACCAGTAAACGAGTGTTCAGATTTAATACCGGACGTTGAATTTGTTCCCAACTTGAGTAACGAACAAACTATAGCCATTGATTCCCCTGGGATTGACCGGGAGAGCCAGCCTCTCCTTGGTCGATTAGAGCTTGATGTCACTTTTAATCGTTTTCCTGGTTTGTTATCTAATCTCGTAGACTTAGAATTAAATGTTACTCTTGTTATTTTTAATTGAATCTGTTGTACACTGTGTTATATTTTATAGATGATCCACAATTTTCTGAGTTAGTATGGCAAGCTGAATTTGCAATAGATAATGGAATCTTTCCTGAGAGAATATATCAAGGTTCTAGTGGCAGTTATTTTGTAAAAAATCCCGCAAGGGTAAGGTATAATTTCATTGTACATTTAAAAATTAAAAGTTTATTCAAAAACATAGACTGCTATGTATCATGACTTTGTAACAATAACAGAGTATTTTGTTTTACAGAAAATAATAGGCGTTTTTAAGCCAAAAGATGAAGAACCTTATGGAAGGTTAAATCCAAAATGGACAAAATGGATGCACAAGCTCTGCTGTCCTTGCTGTTTTGGGAGAAGTTGTTTAATTCCAAATCAAGGATACCTAAGCGAGGCAGGGGCGAGTTTAGTTGACCGTAAATTAGGTCTGGGCATAGTTCCAAATACTAGAGTAGTCAAACTTGTCAGTAAAACATTTAACTACCCACGCTTAGACCGTCAAAAAGCCCGTATGAAGCAAGCTATCATGGACCAGTTTCCTACAGTAGGCTCTCACTTCAATCGTATTGGCTTGCCGCCGAAAGTTGGTTCTTTTCAAATTTTTGTAGATGGTTATAAGGATGCCGATTATTGGTTAAGACGGTGGGAAAACGAACCTTTATCACCACGTCTTAGTAGAGAATTTCAACTTCAGTTCGAACGCTTAGTTATTTTGGACTATATAATTAGAAATACTGACAGAGGTATTTAATAATTTATAAGATTCTTGTGTTAATTATGTAAAAGGACAAGCCACTCAATAATATCGATTTTTTTAAAGGTAACGATAATTGGTTAATTAAATATGATAATAGTAAGGGAAAAAATGGATCAGAACAGGGTGAAGTAAAAATAGCCGCTATAGATAATGGTTTGGCTTTTCCTTTCAAACATCCTGATTCCTGGCGAGCTTATCCTTATCACTGGGCATGGTTAAGTCAAGCGAAACAACCATTTAGTGATGTAACACGAGAGCTTGTATTACCACAACTCTCGGATCAAAATTTTGTACAAGATCTTTGTGACGATTTATATCAATTGTTCAAAGTAAGTCGTGCAAAATTATAAAATTATAATTGTAAGATATAAATGGTATTTTATAATCAGAATTTGACATTAAAAAACATTTATTTTTCTAGCAAGACAAAGGTTTTGATCGACACCATTTTGATAAACAAATGAGTGTAATGCGCGGTCAGATTTTAAATTTACAACAAGCTTTAAAGGATGCCAAAAGCCCTGTGCAATTGGTTCAAATGCCTGCTGTGATCGTTGAAAAGTACTTATTTTATATTGTGCAGAGATGAGAAGTCCCTCGGAAGGAAAGCGGATCTTAGTTGTTTTTGGCAAATATTATATAACCCGAAAGACATTCTTAAATAGAAGAATATTTATTGATCAAAAGAAAAAGTTTTCATATATCACAAACAGCACTAGGTAACCTAATGTCTTGGTGAATGAGAAGACTACTCCCTTTATTCCTATGTCATCCCGTGAGATTTCTCATTTCTGTATTATACATACATTCTATAAATTACAAAAACATATATATGATCCACGATATAAATTGATCTTACGAATACTATTTTACAGAGCCAAGGGAAACGGAGCACCAAGACTATTTTCATTCTCTGATACATTTACACAGCGCTTCCAGAATAAAAGCCCTTTTTTTTCTTGGTGTTAAAAAAAAGCTTTCTTGTTGAATGTTTAAAAAACGGCATTAGTTTTGTGTGTTGACTGAAAAGAACAATTCAATGCATTACAGTTGTCACATCTTATTATTTGTGCTGTCTTAATTTTATTACGCATTACTACCTCCTTTTTTCAACGCTAGTTTCTAATCAACAATCTGCAGAGATTTATTGACAATTACATTTAATTTATCTTATGTCTATACCATTTTCTTTTAATTTGACTATATTAATTCGAACCATAGTATAATTATACTGTATACAGTAAATATATATAATGTTAACATAATATTTTTCGATATGCTTCGTAATGTAAAAATGTAAGGAAAATGATAAAACGAATGTAGGTAATGTTTCACGATTATGCATACAAATGACATCCCCTTAAAACAAAACGTGATCAATTACACGTAATCGCATTGTATATTTTCTATGTCTTCCATGTATTACTGTCTTGAAAACATCGATTTACATGCATTTTCGCTAGATACTATCGAGAAGGAACATCTGTCTAATCTTAAAAATTAACTGTGATCTAAAATAGTAAAAAGACATTCTTATTCTCTAAAATAAACATTTTACGTATTCATATTATATTTTTAACCGATACGTATGAGGAAATAAATTAGTAGCTAAGACAGAAATTTCTATTATAGTTATTAGTAGTAAATCACTTCGGTCTATAACTCTTATCTGCAGTTATTTAAATTTATGATTGATCCTCAATGCATCGATTTTATCATTGGCTTTATTTTGTTTTTGTTTAACTAACGGTAATTAACGTTGAAGTATTTTTCGCTAAATTAGTATGTCACTGAAGTCATAAAACGTTATGTAGAGGTTGACGTTTACAGCTACAATCTTATTGTTTTATATTGTTGTATTTTATATATTATAAATATTTTGAAAATCTAAATTTATTAATTACAAATATCTTCCTATTTTATTGATAAAAAGAAAAATAATTTTGAATTGGTATTATATATAATACTAAGTACTTAAGTAAAATGGAAATAGTGGAGACAAAGAAGCAATTTCGATTACCATGTCAAAAACCAGTGAAGTGTCCCTGTAACCTTAAAGTAACAAATCTATTTTTTATATTATTATTTATATTATATTTTCTACTAACAAAGTAATGATGGTTATCATTAATATTATTCATATCTAGTGCGCAAGGAAATATGTGCAACCATCTCGAGCAAAGTCATTTGCTCCTATGAGGATGTACAAACCTCCTTCGAAATTATTTGAAAGTAATACCACATATCACTTATCATATTTAAATGTGGATCATTCAGAAATGCGACGAAGTCGATCCCAACCCATCCGACCCAAACCTACTCTCACTAAATCTGATGCTCGATTTCTTGGTGAAACAACTAATCAATTAAGTTACAAATATATTGGAAGCATTCCTAAAACAAAACCAATTATACCTAAGCAAAGGTAAACAAGTTTAGAAAATTTACTCTTAATTTAGAAAATGAAATTAACAAATCTGTTACTTTTTCGTGTTAGGTCGATGATCGTATCTGGTCCAATGGAATCTGTTACCACGGTTCGTCAAGATTATTCACATAAATATATGGAGAAGCCAGAAATCATAATACCTTGTGGGAATATTCGCTTGAGTTCCGGCAAACTAGATGCCAATACTACAGCGAAACTTTCTTATGCGGATCCAGGTTGTATGGAACCAACGATTAATTTCAAACCCATAGTGGTTTATTGTCCACCCAGTGAACCGATTCTTCATGACACTACGCAAAAGTTGAGTTATCAGCCTGTTCACATTGGAGAAAAGGATACATACTCCTGGCAGCAGAAACCAATTTACAAGTATTACATTTCAAAACCACAAGGAAAAGATATGATAAGTCATGTTAATTTGTGTCTTACAAGGGAGAATTATTTATTAAAATATAATATTACAATATTTACTAAAATATTATATGCTGTTAATAGCCTTTATGAGTACCAAACTGTGTCTGGACATTTATTTTACTATTTTCTTAGACTAAATACATAACAGTGCTATACTTTGGATAGTTTGTATATTTTTTGAATTTTTTAATTTTCCATAAATGCATAAATATCTGTAGTTTAGCCTCAACATTAATAATATTTAGAAATATTTTTTCTTCTCCTATATTATGTCATTTTAATTATTCGCACATGCTCTATTTTAATTACTAAAATTGGAAAATTAATCAAACGTATGTTTATCATGTTTCATTTCTATGGTTTATTCATATATTTGATTTAAACAATTGAACTAGTTATATGATATTTCCATCACAATATAACGTTTATAGGCCTCCAGATGTTGCTATGTATGCAAAAACAACATATACCGAAAGTTTTTTAAAAAATGAGAAAAAATGTATGGAAAAACCTATAAGGCCATGTGCTGCTAATGTCTTTCCTAGCGGTGGTGAATTTTATGGAAATACTATTTATAATCAAAGTTATTTGCAATCGACCATTGTTGAACGCATGGAACCTATTATTCCTTGCAATGCTATCTCGAAACCTGATGGCAAAATATCGACAGATACAACAAACAAAGTATATGTATTTTTATGATATTTGAATGATTCGTAGCAATAAAAAGGAAATTCCAGTTTTTAAATTTTAAATATTTTCTATAGAAAAAAAATGTTTATATTAAAAAAATTTATTAATATAAATATTAGATAACTATGAATTTATAACACGTTTCAAAAAATTTTTATTGTTTTATTTGAAAATGGAACTGTCTTTTTATTGCAATTTCTTTATTTACTGAATAGCATTTGCTATTTTTCCTTTCTATGTTTTTAATTTTCTTTCTTCTGTTTTAATCCTTTTATAGTTAAGTTACCAACCGGTTTATAGCGAAAAACGTTTGCCAATATTTCCTCGCACCAGAAATATGATAGGCGATGGCCCGATACAATCTGAGACTACCAACCGCTGCGACTTTGTTAAAAAAATGACATTACGACCGGATCTTATTATTCCATGTGATAATCTTCGAAATCCAGATACACCGATCGATGATAGAACTACAACAAAATTATCTTACACGAAACCCGATCCAATAGAATGGATTCAAAGTTTCAAACCTGTCGTTCAATATCAGAGGTAGACTAGATATTCTTATTATTCACACATATACATAAGTACGTATTAGTAAGTTGCTGCTCAAAATCGTAAAACAGTTACTATTTCCAAAATTGGAAAAAATTTAAGTAATCATAAAATAATGTAATATTATTTAACTTAATACTTTTATTTCAAAGAAAGTAATTAATATATAAAATAATGGATTAAAAATTTTATTAAAAATGATATCTGACCTAAGATTTTGATAATCTAACTTATATATACAATATATATAGCTGTATATATGTATAGTTGCATGTAACTTATGTATAATTATAATACATAAATTAATGTAAATAATTTCAGAGTTTATAGTTGATAGAGTTACAGTTATAGTTAAGACATTTTTATTAATTCTTTAATAATCAAATATTCAAAAAGATTTTCATAATAATAAATTTGGTACAAATAGATTTCTTTTTTTCAAGTATTTATAGAACAGTTTTGATTAAATAAATTAAATAACTTTAAAATCGTAAGAAGTGTAGTAAATGTTCTTTCTTCAATTTTTAATTTGAAGATTTTTATAAAAGAGACATAATTATGCAGATGAATATTAAATTGAATTTACTCTGACAAACAAAATCTATGCATCAATCTATCTTTGATCAATTTAACTATTAATTAATTAATTTTTTACTAAATTGTTAGATCTGAAAAAATTGAATATGATACTATAAATAAACTGTCATATCAGCCTTGGACTCCAATTCCTAAGGAACATATACCATGGACATTTAAAGATAAATATCAACCGCCTACAAATCCTATGTGTGCTGATACTATTTATCAAGTTAGTTATCCTGCACCTGGATATTACGAAGATACTTGCGAGCCTAAAGATTGTGAATGTTTGGATTCCAAATGTGACAATTCCTGAAATTGTAACTGAATTGCAAATAAAAATGGATTTTTGAATATTTAATTTCTTGAATGACAAAACTTTTATATCACTTTATCATTATTCCACAAACAAATTTCTACCGTATATTATAATAAATATTTAAAGGAAAAAACATTGAATTGTTAAAATTTGAACGAAAATAATTTAAAAAATCGAATTAGAAGCTATTTTATTCGATACGTCAATTCAGCATCTTATTTTACATTTATATAATAATAATTATTATATATCGATGAATAAGAATAATAATGACGTATATCTTTCACAAACAGTAAAAATTGTTCTCAATAATAAAATAAATTCTAATCTTTGATGAAGGATAATAGACAATAGATTTAATAATAAACAATATTGACATACATTCTTTAGAAATTTAGCTATATCCATACATATACATGCATGTACGTATACGCATATACATGATCAGGTACATCCATGCACACTCATACATAAATATGTACGTATGTGAACTGATACGTACATATATATACATATAATATTTATATTAATAATATTTATATAGTAAATTTAATAGGAATAACTCTATTTTCAATCCTATCCCTATTTAAAGTGAAATTTAGCGTACATCGATGTTTTATATATGCGCAACAATTGAATTTTCAATAGAGAATATAAACTACAGGGGAGGGAACAATAGTTAAAAAATGAATTATCTATTTTAATCGACAATAGAAACTTCCTATGCTTAGAGATCTAAAAACTTTTAAAAAAATTTAATTTCGGTAATTGAAAAATTATCAAAATTTTAATTGAAAAATTAAAAATGTTATACACCAATGTTATATAAATGAAAATTTTCGATTTTTCCAAAAATTTTAAAAAATATTTTTGAACACAAAAATTTTGAATATAAAATTTTTGAACATAAATGATTTTTGAATATTTGAATATTTAAACGGAAATATGTTATTTCTTTATCAAAGTTAAATAGTGAGACGAAGACAAAATTTTTTTTACTAAAAATACATGCAACTTGTTTGTAAGAGCTCTCAAAAAATATAACGAGCATTAATTCGAAGATCATCATAAGGCACATATTTAGGTCACACTGTTTACATGTTATACACACTCTTTGTTAGCGTTGCACAAAATCCCGTTTTCTCATTTCGGCATACTATTCCATTAGTAAATTAAATTAAAATACTTATTTTCTGTAAATTCACTATATACATGACTGGACGTAGAAATGATTGTCTGTATTAGATTTCACGTATTATAATAGCAATTCTACTGTCAATTCACATCTAAATCTAATCATCATTTGCATCATTATCTCTTGTGCATTTTTCTTCAATTAATACATAGAAGTTTTACTAGATCATATATTATAAGTTATTTTTTGCATAAGATGCTTAAGAAAAAGACAAAGTTCATTCAATGTTATACCTGTAAAAAACTATCATTATTCTGTAAAAATATAGCATTTAAAATAACATATTATATAGTAACGTTTTATCATAAAATACATAATGTTCGACATTTTGTGCCAAACGGTATTTGTTTTCGAGTAAAACTTAAATGACAAAATATAAGACCAGTTTCTACAATCATGTATTCCAAACATTAAACGATACACCATCGTTAATGTAACAAGTACTGAATTGAAAACTAAGTATTAATTTTGTAAAACGGCACACACAGAGTACATGATACACTCAGACACGTAATTGCAACTCAACTAAGATCAATTTCAATTATTTGTTTATAACTAACTGATAATTGATTTTTCTTAAACATATTGCACTTTTATACTATCAAAATGAAAGATATGCCACGTTTTCTCGGGGACAAAAATCTATATATATATATTGCAGACAACGAAAACATTTTTACATCCCTCCCCTATAAAACAACAATAATAACAGACTACATCCGTCATGCAGACGATTAAAAATATCATTGCGATGAAAAACAAGAACAATTGATCGATAGGTAGATATAAGAAATATACCTATTGCGCCTGACATACCTATTGTGGCTTAGTGTTGTACGATTGTATGAATTCGGAGAAACTAAACTGATCCAAGTTGAGATTTTCGTCAATTGAGGGTAGTTCACCGTGACTCATCAGCTCCACATAGTCCATGTCTGAATTTGTTCGCCCAACGCTGGACTGGCCAAGGCCCGGAGCGTAGCTACCACAAATTAAAAACACAACTCCAATCACTGGCATAATAATGGGCAAAGGACTAAATTCAAACACATATTGTATATAATAAAAATACCGATTCAATTTAATCTTGTTCTTTTTTTCTTTCTTTTTCCTTCTCTCTTGTTTGTCTACTTTAAAATATTGAATTTTTCATTGATGGATTCGAACAACGAAAAAAATCTATTCTATTTATTTCATCGAAACGTGTGACCGATTAGCCTGATAGCCGGTACAACACGGCAAAGGAAATACGAACAACCACAAAAAATCCCCAACCTAATCGAAATTGATCGGTCACTTGAGATCCTCGATGTTTCTATTTTATTAAAGATACACGTACTATGGTATGACACTATTTAAATGAATTTTTAATAAAATTCTAGTGCTATTATTTTGTAACAGTATCGTAATGATATTTAAATACACTCGATTGCCAGTACTAGAATTGTAATTGTAATTGGAGTTGTGTTTTTATCAGGAGTAGCATTTATGCATTTAATTTTCCGTTGTTGTGGTTGTACCGGCTTGCTCCAGGCCTATGCCTTTAATTTTTCAGGATTTCGTATATTATTTTTACATATGATTACGTAGATTCGTAATACATTACTCTTTTACATAAATTTATATATATAAATATACACACACATGTATATATGCATACGTTATATCGTATATACATGTATATGTGTGTGCATACACACATCCAGGTATGCATACATATGTATTTATACATATAGAGTACTACTGCGATGCAGCAGCTTTTCACTTTTATTTATTTTGTTTCGTGTAATGCCATGGATAAGCCGTTTTTTTTTCAAAGAAAGATAGAGAGAAAAAAAAAGAATTTATAAAATTTGGCAGTTTGAAGAGAACGCACACATACATATATTATTGGCTCTTAAGCTGTTTTTTTTTATATGCACTACATACAAATTAACTTCATAACTTATAATAGAAACAGAAAAAAAAGCGAGAAACTTAAAGAGATTAACATTCAAATTATTTCATAGATTCCTTTCATTGCCCAGATTTCAAAAGTCCTCCATTCTATTATATCTACTTTATCCGTTGGACGGATTTCATTATAGTATGCTTTATAAGTAATTTTATAAAATATGAAACGTTATATAATTGTTGCAGTCCCCCTGTACTGGAGGATATCGCATCTTTGGAATGAATATAAAATTGTAAATATATTTATCAATATATATATTTATATATATATATATTTATCAATCATTCCATTTTTATTCTCTTTAAATTGTATAAAACTTTTCTATGGAGGACTTTGAAATTTGAATGACGTAATTATTGAATTATATTAAACTTAATGCCATTTAACGCTAAATATATTCATATTGATAAACATCTGTAATATCAGCACAGAGTACTGGATAACATCAAGATTAATTTAAAAGAAAAAAAACTAAATGATTACTCTTACAAAAAACTAATTAATTTTCATGAATATCGTGTATGTAATAAAATATACTTTTTATCAAAATTATCTTTATGCATCCAGTATTCTTCAGCGTACAATTTATTTAACTGTAAATAAAATTATTTAATATGACTTAACATTACTTATACTTCCATTTTACGATACAGTAATATAAAAATTTTCCAAATTTTTATTCAAAAAGTCTACAAAATGTGAAATATCAATATCGCTGTAAACTATAATAGTATTTATTAAACGTTCACAAAAAAAAAAAACATAAAAAACAATACTGACATTCGTCTGCACAAATAGGATATGAAAGACATGCAAAGTGTTATCAATTGTAGGAATGTGCTGTTTTTGTGCTTTTGGAAACTCTTCACTGATCTATTACTATTGATCAATCATTAAGTACTTAAACAGCGTGTCAACTCGTTATGTTATTAGCAAACAGTTCATACGATAGTCATATAATTACCAGAAATTATATTATGAATTAAAAAATTTAAACGCACTTTGATACTTATTTCATATTTAAATACATTGCACGAAAGTAAAAAAAGAACCTTGCATATCTTATATTCAAATTTCTTAAATGGCAGCTTATGTTAATAAAGAAATGTATATGTTTATTTTATTAATACTTTAAATCCAAGGAACTGACCTGGAAGCCACTGATGGAGTATCACGCGTTACAGAAGGATCTGGACTGTGTGCTTGAAATATAGTGGATGGTGTTGCAGGATAACTACTACCAGGACCACTTTGACCATTACTTCCTACTCCTACTACGGAAGAATGTGACGGTGTTTGACCACCAATACCAGGTCCACCCCAACCAGGCACATGCGTTACCAAAAATGGCTTCACATATCCATTCGCTGATGTAGACTGATTTTCTACAACAAAATACATTTCACATAATTTCAATTCAAAGTATTCTGTAAATGAATAAGAAAAAGAAGATGCAAGTATTTACCTGTAAATGGCGTATAATATTTAGAAAAGGCTTGATCTTTCGATATGTCTGGATATAGATAAAGTAGATGTTGCAAATCGGACACACGATCAGCTAAACTGCGTATTGTAAAATCTTTGCTCGTGAATGGTTGTAACATAAAAACTTCTGTCTGATCTACAAAATGTTTAAGTCCAAATATAGAAACATTAATTGAAAAGAAAAATAACGAATCTAGTATAAAATAATAAAATGCACAAATGTACCTCCAACCCAAGCAATTGTAACACCACCAAGTTCAGAATCTGAGAAACGCATTAGAAAAGTTCCTGATGCACAATTTGCTAACATTTCTTCTGCTTGCCTTTTTCTCACAAATCCAAGTATGTAACCATCCATCCATGGATTTTTTAAATGCTCCCTGGTTAATTTCATCACAGCATAAAACCATTCCCAAAACGTGAAATTTCTTTCTGGTAATGGTTCTTTACAAAATTGTGCCCAACTCAAAAATAAACTAGAGTAATCTTGTCCACTTGCGTTCCCACCGCGAAATGCTTTTTCCGCGAGAAAACGTAGATTATCTTCTGTTAATGAACGACCTGTTGCAGATCTAAATTTAACATTTAATGCTTCAGCTACTTGACCCCATGGAACTTTATCAGGTACTGCAAATGGTACTCTTCCTGGTTCAGCAAACGCGTTATCCCATGTAACTGTAGCCCAGGCATGTGGTTCTTGATTTCCATGTACAATTACTACAACTGGTAAACTTAATGTCCAAACTTGGAATACTAATTCACCTCCTCCAACACTAAATTGTGATTGAAAGAGAAGCGAAAATTTTTCATCCATTACAGATTCCGTTCCTTTTTTCTCTGCCCTTTTGATCTTTTTCAATTGCATATTACGAAAACTTACAGAAAGTTGTCTTGTCGCCTGAGAAATAAAAATAATTACATTTTTTATTTTAATAATATTGTGAATAATTTTAGCTATTACTTTCTTGCCCTTACTTGATGATATTCCATCGTCCCTGTATTATTTAAAATTTCACCGCTAGCTTCTCCATTCTTTGCCATTTTATCACTTTTTAATAAAGCATTTGCTTGAGCTTCACTGATAATGCTCACTTTTACTTGAGGAGGAGTCATATGAACATTCAGTTTTCCACCAACAAGCAAACGTACCGTACTTGTAAAACGAGTATTGGTTTTCATTACTTGCGGTGGTTGCTTTTCTATAATAAATGTACTTGTAACTAACGAACTAAGAAGCTGTGTAATTTGGGAATTTAAAGCAGGAAGAATATCTTGCATTCCTGGTGGTTCTAATGCAAATTTTTGTTTTAAACGTTCTGCTTCTTTAATTTGTTGACGATTAAGCCAAATTAATTCAGCTAAACTTTCACACCATTCTTGAATAGAGTCCAAATTGCTGTTAAATGGTGCACCGTTTCCTGCTAATTGCTGATCCCTTTTCCATCTAAATAATTATGTTTTATTATCTTTAGAGCTTGTAATATTATTGTAAAGAAAAAAAGAAAGAGGAAGAGATCAAATAAATTTTACCTAATAAGTTCATCATCTAAAACTCTAGATTGCAAACTATTTAATCTAGTAATAGTGTCTTTCAATTTATCAGCTAATGTTAGTCGTAATTGCATTAAACCTGCTACTTTATGATTTAATAATTGTTCTTGTTGCTCTTTTTGTCTGTAATATAATTTTAGTTATTTTAATAATTTTTGTTATTTTTCATTTATGATGTTATATATATCTATAGAGTGAAGCACATGATATTTTGATTTATGTCAATATTATTGTTGTTATAAATAGACGAATAAATTCAATTGAATATCAAATGCCTCATCCTAGATATAAATACATTATTATTAATGTATTTTCTTAAGATTTTTAAAATGTGTTGAATTACCTTCTAATTTTTTTCTCCATATCTAAATTTTGTTGATTTTGTGGCTGTGTTGCAAGATGTTGAAGATGTGCATTTAGTTTAGTACATTCATGATAACTAATAGCAAATGCTTCTTGTTCTTGTTCCATTTTTCGTAAATCCTCTCCAGTTTCTTGGGTTCTACGTCGCAGAGACTCAACATGTTGGGCTATTTCAGCAACAGCATCACTAATCAATCCTACTTTTCCTCCTGCCATACTCATTAATGCACCTCCCAAATTCTCCACTTGAGCTACTAATTTCATTTCTGTCCCTAGACAATGTCTAATTATTCTGAATAATGCTGTAGGATTATGTGTATATCTCTGCTGCATTGAAAAAACATATATTGCATTAAACAATGTGTTTCAAATCAACTATTAACATTTTATTATAAAACTTACACGAAAATTTTTTGCAGCCTCCATTAATTTTAATTTTGTTAAAAACATGTCATCTGTGTTTAATGATGCTGCCTTAGTTTCTAATTCTTGAATTAAAGATCTAACAAGAGTAGCTATATATTGTTCACATTGTGGGTTATCAGGCTCTACATCAGTCCTATAATAAAAATATTGTTTTAAGAAATCTATACATTATTATAGATTTTTATATTCTACATACATAAATTTTTTAAAAAACATAATAAACTTACCACATTTTTTCTTCTATCCAAGAAGATAAAAAGTGTCGAACCTCAATTGGAAAATGTTCTCCATAAACTGACCGTACTTCTTGCAATGCATCTTGTGGTAACTGTTGTGCTTTTGCCCACAGTGACATTTTGATTGCAATTAGGAATCCTTTACCTTAAATATATTCCATTTCTAGTTAAATTATTATTTTACATTCATTAACATTAATACTTTGGCATTACGAATGTTGTATTTCAAGTAAAATATATAGAACTAGTATTGCCTGATAAAAAAAAATGCTTAATATTACTAGGCATCACATATATACTTTTAAAATGTTACTTCTGAAACTCAGATAAGAAAAATTACGTTACTTTTGAAACTCAGATAAGAAAAATTGTATAAAAAAATTGAATTAACTGAGCTTCAATTTGATTTTTTTTAATTAAATTCGAATAAAAAGTATAGTACTGAAATTCAGAAATAACAGAACATGACGTATTGCAATAACGCGTAAATAGATAAAACGGGAGGGGCAAAAGAAAAAAATGTTCACTTTAAGAATCGCTTGGACTCACCTGCTTCTAGTCCGAAGACAGAAGCAACTAGGATTTGTGCTGTATGATTCTGTTACCTATCTTTTTCAGTTTGATTTAATTCGTTGAAGATGCAACCTTTGGACTGAACAAACTTAGTCTACCGCGCAATAATTGTAAACGTAATGATTGCCGAGACCGGTCGCACGCGCAAATCGCATCAATAATTCTCCCCCTTCTGTTACTCACATCAGCGCGGACAACGGAGTGCCGCGAACGAGGAATTCCGAGAATTTCTTACCGTAAATGGCGCGACGCAAAGGGGAAAGAGTATATCACGTGACCAAGCACCAATCACACAGACGTGAGATCATGATTTTCCTAGGGACGTATTGAATCGGAAAAAATATTTCTATCTTCCATTGTAATATTTTTCCTCACTAATATATGCATTAATTGCATTTATTACCTTAATTATTAATTATTACTTTTACTTCTTTTAATTTATCAGAGAAATCACAATATTACTAACATGATAATTGTTCAATAAATCGATAACTATTAAATATGATGGGTAAAAAGAAAACAGTAAGGAAGAAAATTTGTATATGGGAATATATTGCCTCACATTTTATATATGACACAATAAACGTATAAAGAATACTTTCTTAAATGTTTACATAACAAACATTATAAAACATATAAAAATACTGGTCAATATAAGTATACAATACTTATGTAAATACTTTCATTTCAAAATGATTTTATAGTTTGGAGAATAATGGGTGGGAAAAGAAGAAATACAGCACCAGTGAGATATGTTGCTTTACTACCCATGTACCAAAAAGCTGAAATAAAAATTCTTATCTTAGTTTAAATTAGTAAGTTAAATGATTCTAAACTTTCTCTTTACCTGAAGAAGCTACAATAGGTCCACAAGCTCGTGCCAATGCTCCAAGAGAACGAAAAACACCTGTTATTGCACCTTTTTGATGATCAGGCCCAATACGTGTCACAAGAGTCATCATACATGTAACAACCATTGCAGTAGCTATAACGAATAAAAAAATAATTGATGGATATTTATTGTATTTTATACATATAAATCATAAGTGTCATGTAAATTGTAAATGTCATAGTATACTCACAAATTGCAAACAGAAGTAATCCAATTGACAATGTCAATATATCACTTGCAAAACCTAGACAAATAAAAGCTGGAATGATCAACCACAAACCCTAAAATATTTATAGAATTATATAATTTAATTAAAATAAAATTAATTTTTATCAAATATATTATATAAAGTTTTCAAATATATATACCAATTCTGCAACAGATTTTGTTTTATTGGGTGGAATCGTTCGTACCCAACTTCCTTGCAAAATTGCCATAACTAATCCAATTCCTAAAAACATCCATCCCTGTTGCATGCTTGTAAATTTAAATAGATAATGAGTTAAGAAAGTTAAGGTGAACTCCAAACCACTATATATGAACAAATACATGAAATATACACAACCCAGTGTTCTTAAATTCTTTTTGTCTGAAATATATTATATATAATCTTGATTAATCATTATAGAATTTATAATATATTAATTTTCTCATATTCTAAATCTGCTATTTCACCTTGCAAATTTAAGCCAGATACCCCATTAAACTGGAATAGATCTATAGGATTAATGTAAGTAAAAATTTCACTGACACTAGATATGAGTGTATTATTTCTACGATTTAATGGTAGAGATTCTTTTAAGTAACAAATAATAAAGAACAAGTCACTTGTTGCTAAAAAAAGAGCAAATACTGCAGGTATTATATACCAAGCCTCTTTTCTATTATCACTAAAAACCCATGAAAAAAATGCTCCTATCATTGGGCCTACTACAAAGCCTATAGAAAATGCTATACCAACAAGTGCCTGAAAATAAAATAAAAATTCATTTATTTATTCACTATTTAAATTTGTCTATTTTCAATATGTACTGTACTTATCTATATGTTTATTTTAACAAACTCTACCATTGCTTTTCCCCTTGTTTTTGGAGATGTAACATCACTGATAATAGCCATTGATAAATTAATATTTCCTTTACTAATACCTCCAACAAATCTTGCTAATACAAATATAGTAAAGTTACAAGAAAGTGCCCACAACAGGTAAGATAATGCAATACCAGTTAAACAAAATATCATCAGTGGCTTTCTTCCATATATATCTGATAATGCTCCTACTATCGGAGAGCTCAAAAATTGTAAAAAAGAATACATAGAACCAAGAAAACCTATAAGACAAATTGGGCACCTATGTTAATACATATTAATATATTAATAATATAAATAAAAGAAAAAAAAGACTAACCTCCATAAAGTACCGTATTGACCTTATCAGGAGCATCAAAAAATGTTCTTACATTTTGTATGTAATATAAAATTTTAAAATATATGCCTCTATCATCTTCTATTTCTTTATAATAGTCTAATAAGGCAGGTAACAACGGTAATATCATAGTAAATGCTAAAAGGTCCAACAATAAAGAAATAAATACTACTTGGACGGTATTATCTTTTATTTGAACCATTATTAATAATGATGTATTATAAAAGCAAAAATACTTAGTATAAAAACTTGTAAATAATACTAAAATTTAAAATACAAACATGTCACCACTATATCAAATCGACTATTAATATTATTCAATATTTCGCATATTTAAGTTTCTTTTCATTAATTAACATAATTGATAGCTAAATAATTTCATTTTCTGCATTTCACACAATACTCTTTTTAATAGCAATTAATTCTTCCCAAAAGTTTGATTTAACTAATTTAACTATGATATTTTCTATTTGTGTCATCGTAAACACTTTGAAGAATTAATTTCAACGAGTGAAAGGATTTGACCTATTTTTCATTGTAGTCCATTTTGATAATTCCTTACCGACCGTTCATACGATCAATAAGAAAGAAATCTATTTTATTACCGGATTGAAATATTTTTATTGTTCTGTCATTCAAAATAATTTACAAAATTATTTATAACTATTTCATTATTTATGAAAAAACTATTAAAAGTTAAAAGTACTTATCAAAGTACAAAACTATTAAAAGTTAAAAGTATTTATCAAAGTACTAAAGAATAAACTTTATTATAATTAACACATTAACTACTGCAATAATTTATATTTATTATATTACAAGTAAAATTGATAAAGAATGTAATTATTTACAGATTATAATTTTCTGAAATATTTTCAATTTTAATATTATTCTCAAAGTATCTTTGAAAATTAGCGGAAATAGTAAAATATTTTTTATATAAATTGTATTGTATTAATATTATATTCGTCAAATCATGATTAATCAATACTTTGTTTTTATTTGTCAGTGAAGCGAAAAATAGCACAAACAGACGCGCCCAGAAACATTATGTATGTTCAACTTCCGGTTGTTATAGACGACATAAAGTATTCGTATACACGAACACGTTTGAATTCGATCACGGATTCACTTCCTCGATGCGAACAAAGATCTTTTGAAATTCGTCTCAAAGTGTCGTTCAGAATAACCGTTTGTTAACTCTATACATTATGGGTGCATATAGATATATTCCATTAAATGCAAATATAAATCAAATGATTCATAAGACATAGTATCATTTGTTTCATTCTCCTGTCTAATTATTAATAATCTTAAAATAATAGATAAAAAAATTAACAGATATATATAAGAAATTCTTAAATAACACAAGATACATGGTTGAGAATTATCTTAATTTACACATATGTACGTAGAAAGGTTGGAGAGTATGAGAAATTAACGGAAATAACATATTTTTTCCTTTTATCATAGACGCAATTAATCCATATCCGTATTTACATGTAATGGTGAAATTTCAGAAATAATTTCGAACTATGCATAGAACAGGTGGTCTAGAAAGCAGTAGTGTTATATCCTGATGAAAATTTAAGAAAGGGATTCAACGCTTACCATCTGGGCCCTATGGTGTGAAGCACATGCTGTACATCAATGCTATTCTCCGACATGTGTCAATATATTTCAAAACTTTCTTTATTATAGATAAGATAATAAAAATAACACTATAGAAAAGAAATTGTAATCTTCTAAAAAGTTGTAAAAGGTTAATTAACGAGATTAATATTACATTGTTAATGACATAAATTGATATGATAATATTATATAAACGATACAATAGTATTATGTTATTAACGAGATAAATATTAAAAATGTAAGAAATCAAGAGAGATTATAATACAAAATTCTAATTTTGCTTTTGTCTAGAAAAAAAATTATCGATGTAGTTTGCAATATTGAATATTGATAACAAACTTTTTAATACATTTTCTTTTCGTTCAGGAAAATAAATATAACAGATAAAACCAACGAATTTGGAGTGAAATTTAAACGGAGCGTCGATAACTATCGCATCGGTTCGTTTCAACGAGAGCAGGTATGCAAACGGACAAAAGAACTGAACTTAAAATCTCGTGAGAGTTTCTGTGAAGCACAAAGGGAAAAGAAAGAAAAAGGGAGATAGGTGCAGAACAAGGTAAGCAGATGGAAAAATCTTTCGATAGGGAAAATTGACAATTTTCAAGGAAACTTTAGCTGTCGTAAATGTGCAGTGAAAATTTCGTGAACAATGAGAACAAAGAAAATTTTCGGGTACCACCGGCCTAGATACCGGCTGTATGGCAAGCTGCATCGTGTGCTGTTACACACCGTAGAAAACCCTACTGCTGGTATTATGAACTAGGTGTACGGGCCTTTCAAAATCAGACAGCCATCGTATATGCCATAAACACGAGTAGACCCTCTCTTTCATGGATTATAAATCCTCACTCTGGATAGTATTAAAGGGAAGACGATGGTCCATCAACCCCCAATACAACGAGAAGACGCGTTTGCTAGACGGTATATTGAAAACGGGATTCGAATGCTGCGATGTCGCAGTTTGAAGGGTGAGAAAAAAAAACCAACTGAAATGAACGAAGGACACAGGTAGATAGGAGGGGAAAAAGGAGAGAATGAGAAGAAAGAGGGGGGAGGGGGGGGACAGCGAATGTTCGGACAAAAATAAGGAAAGAAAGGGAAAAAGAAAGAACTAGCGAAAAAAGGATGGAACAACACGGTGGAAATAAAGAGAACAGAGGAGTACCGTATGCGTTCGACCCGCGTACATCTATATAGAGTGTATAGTACCAACATAGGAATAAGGATATGTAAGCGCGCGTGCCCGCGCAACCGACAGCAGATGCGCTCGCTGCGGCAGCTGTCCTCCTACAAGTGGTTCTCAATCACTCTCTGTTTTCAATCTTCTTTCTTCTTTTACGTACCAATGTACGTCAATGTGAAACCAAACAATGACATTAAGATAACGACTTATTTGAAAACTTATAGCAACTCAGTCGATTATCAAAGTATACCCTTCCTAAATTAAGTGTATCGTGTATCGTGTATTCTAATTTTCAAATTTATCTTTATTTTGAGTCTTGTGTGTGTGTGTGTGTGTGTGTGTGTGTGTGTGTGTATTTTTATATATTTTTATAAAATGACAGAATCAAGTATTAAATCTAATTCAGTTAATTTATAATAGATACATGTGTCAGTCGATTTTATCAACTTGCCAAAAATTAAATTGCTGTGTCCTAAATCAGTATTATGTAGTTGGATTATGTACATTGGACTTAGAATTAATTTATAATTGATAGAAATGTTCATGCAATATCACTGTTATTTCATACATTAAGGCAGACAACTTGTCTTTACAATTTAAAAAGAATTATTAAATATATATACAATATAGAAAAAAATAATATTTCGTCAAGGAATAAAGATAATCTTCAATATCAATATTAATATTTTGGATCACATGTATACGTTCAACGATTGCACGTTTGATCATTTGTAATGTTTCATATTATAAACTATAAGCTATGATTTTTAAAATAAACACGGGACCGTTTTATTTAAAAATGTCTTTAACGTACGCATAAATTTTTATTATGGATGCTCGAGAAGTGTCACTGCGCAAATTGTAATAGTCTTACTATTGTAAGATTCGACTGACCCTTTTTTCCCATAGGACACCTAGCTAACAAAAAAGACAGAACAAGAAGAACCGTATACGTCATGTACTTGACAGGCGGAGCAAAATTCAAGACAGCTGATACAATTTTGGCGGGCTTTAACGATAGATCTGCACCACAAAGTGGCCTAAGAAGGACGAAGACAAAACATAAGGTAAAAAGAAAGAATAAAGCCATTTCGAATAAATAGGAGAAAGAGCTAGGTAGTAAGAAAGTAGAAGAAGCGTGACGGAAGGAAAAAGAAAGGGAGAAAGAGAAAGAGACAGTAAGCAGAAGAAAAAGGGGAGGAAGTTGAAAGAATTAAAGGTAGAAGCCGATGAAGAAAGACGGAGAATAAAAAGAGATCAGGAAAAGGACGCGGAAAGGAAAAAGAGGGAAGCTTTAAAGCTGGTTGTTGCTGGTGTTCCTGCTTCGTTGCTGTTAAATAAGAATAAGCCCCCACTACCGGCTCTAAGGGGTACCTATATAGCTGGGGGCTTTTATGTACTTGGGACCCAAAAGGAATAAAGAGAGGAGACACCTGGTCACGAGCAGCAGTTTGTTGAGAACTCTCTGGGTGGGATGTTGTCACGTCTTTCGTGTTTCTCTTCGGTTACCTCTTCAAGAAATACAATCTCAACGGAAGAAGTTTTCAAAGTTATCGTTGTAACCGTATCGTTTCGTCGTTGTTATCGTTAATGCATTGTAAAATGTACCGTGATATGTACGTAATATCTTGTCGATAGTGTCGTGCAGTGAACGAAAAACTGATGGTTTGGTTTTCTACGTCGATTTTTTGTAACGTTTACTTCGCACTTTCCAGCTATGAAACACAAGACGAATGGGACGGGACGGGATGAGACAGTGGACGTAGTGAGGGATAAGGAAGAAAGAAGATAACCGTTGCGCGGGATATTGCAACCGAAAAAACGTTGTATTTACTTTGATTTAGGGGTTAGGATTCGTACCGGTGATATTTGTCGAAATGTGTAGATTCCTATTACCATTTACATTTGTGATGATTGTAGAATAGATGAACAAATGTTCCTTACTCATCACTTTAGTATCGTGTTTGAAAATATAAATTCCAAGACTGAGGAAACTATCCGATTAAATTTGATCAAATGTGCATAGTAGATATTATTACTAGATAGGTGAAAATTAACCAAGAAAATTATAAGGACTTCTGTAAAATGTAATTTTTAATATTGAAGTATTGTTCGAATAATGTTTAATGTAAAATTATGCAATGCGTAACCTTTATGTTAATTGTACTTGATTACATTTACAATATTTGTGTTCGAAACAATAGTGGACTTGGATTCGTGTACAAAATAACTAGCACACGACATATCGTAATTCTATAAAAAAAAGAAAACGACATGTTCAAATGTTTAACATAAATATGTCAAAAGAATTCTCTTCGGTTTGGAAAGGATTTTGAAGTCCGAATCGAAGAGGGTACAAAAGTATACCTGGTCGCAGGATAGGAAACTTTCCAGAGAACACGTGTTTACTCGAAGACCTCTTTCTAGAAATTCATAGAAGCAATTTTTCTTTCTTTTTTTTTTAAGTGTAGTGTAACTTTCTTTTTGCATATAAAAATTTCGTTATTCAATTTAAATTTATTTTGTTAGAAATATAATTTATCGCGGCACGAGGAAAGTCTTTTATTTTGCATAGAAGGTAGGCCGAGATTTGTGTCAATGTTTCAAGTAATATAATTCTCAATATTGCACTTGTCCCGGCCTATCGAAATGCATTATACTTCATCATAGAAGACGGAAGACACAACGATCGATGGATATTGAAAAAAAGAAAGAACACACCAGAAGATGATGCTAATCATTTCAGTCGAATTCGTCGAGGATACTGGCAGGTTGGGATGTGGGCATTATTTGTTGCAAGGTTAGATCAAATTGCACTCGTCCCGGCCTGCTATATCTATTCGACCTATCATCTGTTGCGCTTTTGATAACGGACTAAAATATCCTTCAGATTATTTATTCTTCGAATAATCATTAGTGTATAGTATATCATATGCCAATATATTGTAAAAATATGTTATTAAGATGTGTACTGATGTCTATTTTGCGAAATAAAAGAAAAACAAAGAAATGTTTATCTAAATAAATACATAGAATATAAATATTTGAAATGACATGTGTCAATCTTTATCTTTTACAATTTATGTGCGAATAATAAAGAATATTTTAAAAGAAATTAAAAATTAAATTCGTTCTATTTTAAATTTATCATCCCAATCCGTATATTACAAAAATTTTTTTCTTTAGTTTTAACATTAATGTTAAATATTAAAATTATCGAAATTAAAAATCGGTAGATGAATTCGTATAGTTGTTTTGTTAACTGATTCAGATTCGATAAATTCAAACAAAATTCGATAATTCTCGAAACTTTAAATCTGCTAAAGCTTTACAGATTTATTGATAAGCAATCAGTAAATTATAACTATAAACGAAAAGAAAGGGACTTTTTTATAATTGTATTCATTAAATTTCCAGAAAATTGCGTAACGGAGGAAAGTGACAACAATAGAATATTATTTCTTTCTTCGTCTTACGAAGCAATATAAATGATACGATATATAATATAATATGAATTGTTGCTTGACAGTTTGCGCTGAAGTACCGTTCGATTTTTTTTTCTACTATAATATAATACAAAGAAAAAGGGAAATTGGTTGAAAGAAGGAGAAAAGAAAAACGAGAAAACTAGGGGTCAAGTTACGTTCGATTGAATAAGAAAATACAATGAAAGTAGTGAAGCTGATGTCGTTTCTCTTGTTAGTCGGTGAAATACGAATTTTGTTTTTCATTCATATTCTTTAAGTAGAAGACGTGGTGTAAGCATCCCCTTTTAAGAGTCCCACGGTTTGAAATAAAACACCTGGCTTCTTCCCTATGTGAGTACTATATAGTAAACGCACATATACGTACAATCACATGTTAACACGTTTACGCGCACGCATATTCTCACGGCAGAGAACTGCTTCTCTTCGCGGACTGGTTTTGGCTTCCTTATAAACTTTATTCAATTCTTTGTAATATGCCAAAGGGTATACTTCAACATCCATGCGTGTATATGCACACGAATACGTGTTCCTACTATTCATATGCTAAACAATAAATGCGCTGAAAGAAATGAATCTTTATCTTGTAGATATGACTGTGCAGCTGCCATATTCATTTATTATATACATATACGTGAACACATGAGTTCAATGATAAAAAATTTTTCAGTTATAATATAGTAATAAAGTTTCAGTAATATTTTTCTTAAGGAAACTTACCTTTCATTGTTTATGCGATATCAATTTTACGACTAACTTCGTTGTAGGATCGATTAGCTATTTTGTAAAAAAATTTCATTTGATTATAATTCTGCTTTTGACATGATATATTGTTATAATGTTTATGCATAATAATATTTTTACATATCAGCGAATTGTAAATTCTATTTTTTACATTTAAGCCTTTCAAGTTTTTTTAATCGAAGTACGTCACCATTTAAATCTCAAATTCAATTTAATATCAATTATTGCATTTAATATGAATACGAATATGATTATTCGATTTTCTTTTGAAAATAAATGCGACATTTAACTGATATTCGACTTTCTTTTAGAAATAAATGCGACATTTAATTGATATTCGACTTTCTTTTAGAAATAAATGCGACATTTAACATAAGAAAATTTAGAAGTATACGAATTGTTACTATAAAGAAATAAGTATGTATAAACTAATGTTTTGAAATCTACTTTCTAAGAAAAGTAAAATTTTTTAATAAATATATAATTTTTAATATTTATTTAATATTTATATTAAACTGTTTTTTTTAAACATTTAATTTATTTGTATAAAAAATTAAATTTGTGTAAAATATTAAAATCTTTATTTTGTAATGCATAATTTAATTCTATTAATATTCTGTAAATATTATATATTATATATCATATGTTTATAATTTAGTTAACTTTATACAAAAAAAGATAAGTCTGCATATAGGCAACCAAATACATAAATATAGAAATGAAAGCTTCGTGTTGCAAGTGTATGCATACTTATGTGAGCGAGTGTATGTAGTTCTACTGAAACAATTTAGATTGATGAAAGAAAGAAATTATATTAACAAATGTATATTCACGTTTTAACTTTTGCTAACTATAATATTTAAATAACAAGATTTTCATAATCTTGTATTTAATCAAAACATTCACAATGAATCGCTTGAGATGCCTTTTAGATAGGTTAGTTAACATGATGATACAATTTGAACTTAATAGAAAAATCGAGAATGTTATAATATTATTTATTACATATACCTTTTTTTTTAGTTCCTTTTATTTATTAGTTCTTTTTATTTATACCATGTTTTTTCTAATATTATTATTTGCTTTACAGAACTTCATGGTATGAGTTAAGAAGGTTACAATCTTCATCATCAGTATCAAATTCTAAGATTAAAATACCAGCTAGAATACAACGTGACTCTACTGATATTTTACACGTAAATATATGAAAAATTTATTTTTATTCGACTATTTATTTAATTTAACAATTTTGGTTTTTTGATTTTTTTTAAAGGCCCTTGAAAGTACTATACCAAAAGATTTTATAAATCTTAGTTATATATATCATGATGATCCTTATTTATATCCAGTAAGGAAACTTGATTATCGTAATCGTGCATTGTCATACGAGGCAGGCAAAAAAGCTGCAATATGGATTCATAAAGAACATGGAGATTTATTTCCGAAACATCTCTCAGATCCAGAAATTGAAGTAAATTTTATTTAATATAGATGTAATATATACTGTTTCACAGATTTAGACATAAGTAATTTGTATTTAAGGCATTTAAGCCACCTCTGATGTATACTGATAAAAGTCAAGTATCAGAAGAAATACTTTTACACGCCATATCCAAGCGTATGGTGTCTGACGCTTTGCATATTTATAAATTGTTAGACTCCAATGTTTCTAATGAAACAAAACAATTACTTTTAGAGTTATTGTGTTTTTATAACCATGAAACTGCTGCACAGAATAATTTACATTTAGAACAATGGTTTGTCATATCCCAAGATACACATATTTGGCAGTAAGTACTAAAAGAATAATAAAAGTAAAGAATTATACTTACATCATATTAGCTTCAATAGTTTTATATTTTAGGTACACATCAGAAATTAATGAATTGTTTGGGTTTTTAATTAAACAAGATTCTTTAACAGCAGCAGTGGCATATAATGTTATGATATGTGGTTTAACAAAACACTTAAGAGTATATCAACTTTAATTTTTGCACAACTTTATATTTTTTTTAATTTTATTAATTCTAATTTATATTTTTAGACAGCTGAAGCTTGGGCTCTATATCAAAAATGTGAAGAAGAAAATATTCCATTAAATATTACTACTTATAATTACATATTATGGCTAATTCCAGATATTTTTGGCCACAAGAATGAACTGAAAATAGAAAATTTATTTAATATTATTAATATAATAAATAAAAAAAGAGTTAAGCCAAATGTTAAAACATTGAATAATGCTCTTAATGTGATTAGAGTAACAAACACAGATAATAAGAGAGAGATTGCAAAACGTTTTCTTATGGAATTTAAACGATTAAATATAAAATTTTCACTGGCATCATATTATTATATTATGAATATATTTACAGGAAACAGTAATCATATCTCATTTATAATTTATTCGTTTTAATTATGTTTATTTATATTTACAATTACTTCTCGTTGCAGACAAGAAAGGACATGATAATTTTCTGCAAATTCTACATTCAGTAGAAAATGAAACTTTTATCATTCAAGATCCAATAGATTTAAAATTTTTTAAACATGCTATGTACTTAGCTTCTATATTCAATGATAGAGAAGCTGGTGATAAGATTCATAAATTTTTTCTGGCAAAAGATAATTATAAATTTATTGCAACTGCTGCTATAGTATGTATGATTTAATTTATTGCTTTTATTATTTATTGCTTTTTTTATCTAAATATTAAACTTTACTTTTTTTTATATAGGAAAACGCTTATTATAGCTCATATTTAATGTTGGTATTGTCAACAAGTACTATTGAGGAGTTTTTTAAATTTTATGAGAATTTAGTTCCAAACGTATTTGTGCCATCAAAACGGATTTTAACAGAAATTATAGAAGCTTTTAAATATAACTCATCACCTCACTTAATGAAATATATACCAAGACTATGGTCAGACATGAATACTTATTGTCTTATAGAACCTTCAACGAAATTTATTTTATTACGTTTAATACAAATAAATATTTTACCTGCTGATTCGGTTTTAAGAACAGATCTTGTGAATATAGCTTGGGATTGTTGGAATATCATTCAGGTTGGTTCATAGTAATAAATGAAAAATAAAAAAATAAAGTGAAAAATAAAAATAAAAGATTTGTTATTTACAGAAAGAAATCAAAAAGGAAAAATATACTGCAATTGAAAATGCTGTGACAGCTTGCATAGCAATAATATTGTTACATGGTAATCGCGTAGAAGAAAGTATTAAGGTTATGACATATACTGTTAAAGAATCAAATGTATTTCTTCCAACAATGAATGAAAAACAAGTGAATGAATTATTCAACAATTACATTTTTAAAAAATGTATCGAAGGAGCTTTTGTACGTATATTCATACTTGTAATCTCGTACGTTTATTTAAATTTAAAGTATAATTTTAAGGTATTTATTTTTTTATAGCTTATTCTTGAATATTCTGTAAATTCAGGATTTCCACATATCGTTGAAATGGCTACAAAATTACAGAATCTTTCAGAATTTACAAATGTAGATCGTCAGAGATTGATTGATTTAGTGGGCGTGGAAGCATTAAATTCCTTAGATACAGAAAAATCAAATTAAATTATAATTTTGTGAGAAAATGTTTATTTTCTCACAAAATATTATGTAATTATATATTCTCTTTCCTTTTTATTGTCTTTACAATTAATAAAACTCTTAAATTATAATAGATTAAGTTACATGAAATTTATAAACTTATACTCATATACTTTAATAACTTTTGATTTTATTGCTTTTATATTTTTTTTATATAATAGATTGCTATAGTTAATATTTTTGACTAATTCTAAGTATTTACATCATAGTTGTTTTTTGGCTTTATGTATATTTCTATATCTATTTTTACTTTGATTTAATGTTTTATGTTAGTCTTACCCTATTTATAAGAAATATGGCTATATTTTTTGGCTTTTACAATGTATCTTTCGTTTGATGATCTATAGTGCGAGTATCAATGTTAAGATGTTGCTCTTAAGATTAGTTCCAGCAATGAATGAAGTGGAAAATCATTTATTATTCACTTTCTGGAGAATTTGCTTGGCAAACTCAAGTTTATATATTCATACTTTATTTGCTTATAAGTTAGGAACAATATAAATCAGGTATCATTAGTCGGGAGTATAAGCTGTAATTAATGGGTTACCATCACATACAAATTAAATGAATCTGGCAATTCTTGGTAAACGTATAATGGAAGAAATGAACGAGTGGCAAAAACAGAGAAAACCCAGATATGCGAGGAATTGTTGAAAAGTTGAGGAATAGCTGTAGAATGGTATGTACAATGATGTAAGTTAAGATAACAACAATTGTATGCCGAAAATGATTTATGAAGGATACAATAATATTCAAGGTTTATGCAATGGTATCACACCAGAAATAGTTCATGATACTGTCAACAACAGCTGATCGTGATGCTTACAGAGGTCACATGTGACCGGTCCAGGAGTATACAATGATGTCTTAAGTCGCTTTATTACTGAGAGGTATGATGATACTGTGCTGTTGTATGTAACTACATATACAGGATATGTTGTCACAAGTTTGCAAATGGAGAAAATAAGCTGATATGCTTTTATTTAGACTGTCCAATTTTTTGTTTAATTTTCTTCATACTTTTATATTATGTTTGTTGTTTCTTCTCGTTTTTGCCAGCCCAATATTTCTGTATAATTGAGTTAATTAATATGTTTAATAAGCTAAAACCATCTGTCGAATTTCCTATTTTTTGTTCTTTTTACTGTATTCATATCGCGTTTAGTGCTTTCTATAATTTCTCTTGTATCTGTTTCCGCTTCCTGTGTCTATTTCTTGTAGTAAATGTATGTTGGTTGCTTATTATTTCAATTTCTTTTCTTTTTTTCTTAGATTGTGATTTTCATTATGTTTAATTCTTTCCTTTTGGTGTATGATTCTAGATTTTCTAACAGTTTTTTCAATCTCTTTGTAGCATCTGTCACTATTGCAATCATATCTTCTGCAAATTTTCTTGGGTCTCCATTCTTTTATTTTTCCCATATTCTCTATATCTTCTGTATTCTATGTTAAATAGAATAAGACTAAGTGGGCATCTCTTTCTTACTCCTTAAAAAATTGATATTATTCCTTTATTAAATTTGTGTTATATATACAAAAATTTCAATCAATTTGTCATTCAAAGAATAAAAATTACATGCATGATTGGTATGTATTAATGTCCTTGCCCCCCTAGCTAGGGTACTTACGTTTAATAAATTAAGCTCTGTGATAGTGGGAGCTACTATTCTCTCGTCACTCAAATACTTATTTCCTGCATTGTAACATCGTAACTCACTCGTTCACGTTCACGTTCAAAGGCTAAAGTGTTACGATATTTATTGATTCAAGAATCTTGCAGACACACGAAATTTTTCTTTTTAATTTCTTTTTTATAATTTTAAAAGTTGTAATTTCTGTCTTTAGTATCAAAGTGATGGATGAGGAAGGAGACGTGCGTCTTACGTTAGAATCTGTGCGTGAATTGATAACAAAAGATGAACCTAATGTGCAGATTACCAGCTTGGAAGAAGAACTTGGTTCAGGAAGAGGTGACAATTATACATCCATGCTATATCGTGTTCGAGCAAAAGGCCGTAAACAAATAAAAAATTGTGAATGGGTCAATTATGAACGTGCGATTATTTACAAAGTTTTACCTCGATCAAGAGAACATCGTGAGGCCTTTAAAAGCGAACTTCTATTTCAAAACGAAGTAGCATTTTATACGCATGTGTGGCCTGCTTTGAATGAATTACAAACAAATGGTAGAGAGGTTTTTAGCGGAGTCGCAAAAATATACACGGCGCGAATTGATCTTATTGCTATGGAAGATTTACGAGAAAGAGGCTTTAAAATGGCAGATAGGAGGAAAGGATTACAACTTGAACATTTGAAACGAGCGCTGAAAGCTTTAGCAGGTTTTCATGCGCTCAGTTTAACTCTTAGAGAAACAAGGCAAGTCAAATAATATTTCTTTTTCTGCGCTTCTTTTTATTATGTTACGTTATTATATTCGTATAAGTATGTATATTAACGTGTACGTATGGATGTACAAGGCCGGAAGAATTTGCAAGACTGACAGACCCAAGCAGTGGTCAAGGTATACAAGAAGTTCTTTTTCGGACAGAAAACGAGGATTGGTACCGTCAATATTATCAAGTTGCTGCTAAGAATGCTATCAGAATGGTATCTGATGGTCTTCCTACTCATATGGAATTCAAAAGAATCGAAATAATGGAAAAATTACGGTCATTTCTTAATGATGATGTATTTTTTCGTACTATGAGCGAAATAACAGCCATGCAAGGTCCCCTTACTGTTTTTTGTCATGGTGATTGTTGGACTAATAATATTTTATTTAAAGACGATTTGGTATTACCAAACGAAGAAGTAAGTCTTATGTATAGATAATGTTTATTATCATTTAATAACCAGGTAAAGAATATTTTCTTTACATGTATGATCGTATCAAAATATATAAAAAAGTGTGTAAACACGTGTTATACGATTCAACTATATAGGAATCGAAGAATCAAGAAATAGTGTTTCTCGGTATAATTTTATTATTCATTAATTTATATAAGATTTTTAGATACTAACTTTTTTTGCGTCTGTTACCAATTGTCTTATACAAGTACTATTTTTTTGAATTTCTCGTTAATAAGATTTTTAGATGCTATCTCTTTCCTGCTTCTTATCAATTGTTAATTGTGTGTCTCAATATTATAACAAATATTCGTATAGTTCATAAAAATAAAAATTATTCGAATTTAATTATCGACTTAATTTTATCCAGCATCAAGCATAGAATTCTTGATAAGTATAAATAAATCGTGTTTTCTTATCGAAATAGTTAGGATTTTTATAAATTCTATTCCCATACTTATTCAATTTATTGAAACAAGGAAAGAAAGAACAGATATAAGTATAGTGCAAAAATAGTTATTTTGGTTTTCTGTTTCATTCACAAAGTACAAATAATTTGAATATGAATATCAATACTGATTAAATTTCGATTAGATTAATTTAGGGAATAGAAATTGGAAATAGTAAAATCTAGTTGAATCAAATTTTAAATTACGATTAATGACTTTACAGGTTGTTTATTTAGTTGATTTTCAACTATCTCGAGTTGGTTCACTTGCTCTTGATCTTGCGAATTTGTTGTATTGTTGTGCAAACGGAGAAATTAGACGAACGCACATGACACAACTTCTTCAACATTATCATTTTCATCTAATGTCTTCGTTACAAACGCTTAATCCAAAACAGCCACCAAAAGATCCATCCGTAATGTGGGAACTGTAAGCAACACGTGTAATATAGTACTACATATAGTAATAACACATATAGTAACATATAATAATAATATTTAACATATGTTTGTAAGAGAAAAAAGATTATGGCTAAATTTTTTTAAATTCTTAGTACATTTTTTAATCTAGCGGCTCTCGTCATTTATAGATTAAACGAGGAAATGCGGCGATGCGGGCGATTCGGTATAGGACTTGCATTGGATATGTTGCCAATTGCCACATGCGAAAGCGAAGAGGCTCCAGATTTATATGAAAAATCAGAAACAAGTGAAGGAAAACAAAATACACGAGCACCACCGCGAGGAGGAGCTGAATGTGCGCGACTTATGACTGATCTAGTTTTGGAACTCGTCCATAATCATGCTTTATAGGTTGAATTATATAAAATCTTTATGACGACTATTTGAATATCTTTCTTGTATCGCAACAAAACAAATCAAATGTAATTGTAAAATTATCGCGTAAACTATGTATATGTTTATACGCGATTAAATTATGTAAATTTCTATAAGATCTGACATTTACATGATATAAAAGTTTGTTGAAAATGTCTAGTTACATTAAATAAGAGCAAATAATAAAACGAATATTATTCTATGTTGCAAAAATACTATACTTGATACTAAAAATTTCAGTCACAATTTTTCCTGTCGCTAAAGACCTCGTAGTCAATGCGACGCTAAACCCCCATTAAAAAAAAAAAAAAAAAATTTTTCCTCCTACATTCATACTTTCTGTCAACATATAATAACACATTGTTATACTGATTAATAATTGGAATTTATAAATATGATATATACCTTACAAAAAAATTATGTTTGTTGGGGAGGTGTGTGCGATGGTGGTTGTTGACCTGGTGGTTGTGGACTTGGCGGTTGTTGTTGCTGTTGTTGTTGTGCAGCAGGTTGCCATGTAGGATGTTGATTTTGTTGCTGTTGCTGCTGCTCTTGAGCTAAACGCCCAAGTGCCTGTTGTCTAGCTCTAAATTCCGCAGCTTTCAACTGTTCCAAATGAAACTGTTGTCTTTCTGTAATGAGTTGTTGTCGCTGATATTCAAGACCTTCACGTTCTCGTTCCATTGTAGTTTCCAGTTCTTCAAAGTGACGTAATTTAATTTCCAATTTTTTCATTTGCGTTTCAACGAGCAATGCCACTAAAGATTTAATTTTACGTTCTTCTACAGCTGCCAAATGCTTTGCTTTAACAGCAGCTGCCGCTAATGCTGCTGCAGCTGCAGACTGCAGTTGAGCGTCTCGTACCACCTATAGTTCAGTGAAAAAAAAAATAAATAAATCATATAAATGACAACAGAGATGAATAATATTTAATAAAGATAATAATTTACCTTATCTTTCTTTTCTTTCGCTTCCATAGACTCAGCATCCACAGTTGATTTTGTATCTTCTTCGGTTTCTTTTAGTTCATCTTCTTTCTTTGTTATATCTAATTGACTTTGGTCAATCTCAGATTCTTTAGGTTTTTCTTGTTCCTCTTTTTTCATTTCTATAGAAGCTGTTGTTGCCGAATGTGGAGATGTAGCCACTGTTGTTGGTACGTTTCCAGTAGTTGAAGCTGGTGTATCATCTGGAGGTTCGGGTGGTCCTGTCCCAGCTATACCCGATTGTGCTAGCCCCGCGGCTGGATCAAATTTGCCTAAATAATTGGAAAATAATTAATATGACAAGGTATTATTCAAAATTATCATTTAATGCTCTAATATAATAAGAAGAAAATAAAAAAGAAAGGTAAAAGGTAAAATAAAGGTTAATTACCATCAGAATTGGCACTAGCTTGAACATTTCTCAAGTGTTGGTCCAATAAGGCTGCTGGTACTTGATCCTTAATGGCCGCAAATTCTTCCATAGCAGCTTTGGCTGCACTTGCAGCAACTCTAGGATCAACGACCGAGGCCAAAAATGCCACAGTACTCATAACTGGATTGCCAGCTTTAGAAAATGGTACTGGTTGATAAGCTAATGGACCTAAACCTTCTGGACCGCCTTCTTCTAAATATGGATCTTCTATGGGAAGCCGCAAGAAATGTAAGATACATTCATCTTGCGTTCTCGAACCAACATGTTCGCAAACTTTATTCCAATCATCTTTGTGTAATTCTAGTCCTTCTAACAGTAAAAGCGTTTCTTGTTCTGTCCAATCACGAGTAGCACCAGCAGCTTGTTTGTTTTTCAAAACCGCTGGTTTTCTCGAATACTGATCGATTTTTAATCCAAAGTTTGCCATCACCCCGGCCGTAGCTTTCTCCTCTGTTGCTAGGCTAGATGATTTTTTCTCTAAATCGAGCAATGTTTTCGCGGCAGAAGGCTGTGGTGTTTTTGGAGGATTTGGATTAACTGGGGCCAAACCTGACGGAGTATCTGACAACACATGGAAATGTGATGTCGGAGGTGGTCCCATAGGTGTCGGTCTTGATTCTGCATCCACTTGGTAGTTAATAAGTCCCCATTGTTCCAAAAACGCATGTACACGCATAATTGCACAGACATCACCTGCTAAGTTACGTCTACAAGCAGTCGATGTAATATATTCCGTAGGATTTAATCTGTAGGTGTCGATCATAAAATTTCTGTATGCGAGATAAATTTCCGGTGTTTTAGATTTATTTTTACCATTAAAAAATTCGGATAAAGCTCTCTTTTCTATGGTATGAATCGAATTGTAATCAAACCAAGCTGAGTAACTAGGAACAACAATATGATGCGTTTGCTCAGTAACATTATCTTCCGGTTCGTCTCCTTTATTCCCTTCTCCTCTTTCTTTGCTTGCGTCTCGTTCCTCCCTATCTTGAGTGCTTTGAGAACTTCCCTTATCCCCTTCCATAGGTTCATCCAAATCTGCCATATTACCAGATTTGAGCGGTTGAAGTTCGTTATCTTGTTTTTTACTGCCTGTTGTGGTCAAAGTAGAGCCACTTGTTGGAATGTTACCTTGACCAGTAACAGGAGGATTCGTAGGAGTAGCAACTACTTCTACGATCCGAGGTTCCGCCGGTGGATCTTCCATTCCTTGAGTGAGATCATCTTCCTCTTCTCCTCCGCCACGTGATTTTTTTGGAGTCGTAAGTGATGACGAAGATGAAGTACTTTGAACACCTGATGGTGCTCTCGCGCTTTTACGTTTTCCTGGTTTCGGTGACGGACTAGGAGATCGTTTTCTTTTTGGTTTTTTTGCTGAAGGTGGAGGATGAGACGGCTGAGCCATTAAATCTTCTACCGAAAGTCGGTATTTATGTATTTTCTTTTGACCGTTCTCATCTATTTCGTAGTCTTCTTCGTTCATCCATTCGTTATATTGATCTAAGTCTAACGCCCACGTTGCCGATACTTTGTATACCGATTTCATATTTGTATTTGTAAGTGTACCTTCTGGAAAGTCCCAGGGTAGATCTAATGTAGTCCAAGAATCATAACTATCCGGGAAATAATACCAATGAAGAAGGACAGATCTTTCTCGTCTCATACAAGGTCGTGCATACTCTTCTTCCATAGGATCAACTGGAGGGTAAATTATGTGTGTTGCATCTGTTTCATTTTCAACAATACTACCTTGATGTCGCCGAACTGCTTCTTTTACTTTTGCAGCTGTTGATTTATCTACATCAGGTCTAACATATACATTTGGTATAATCATACAACGATTCTGTACCAAAGCTCGTTCAGCTGCCATTAACATTTCTACTGTTCTGTCCATACGAGATCCTGACTAAAAGCCAATATTTATTTATTATGTAATTATTAAATTATGTTTATGTCATGCTTACTTTTCCAACAGGGAAATCAAATCGACGCCATCCTTGTTCTTGTTTAAAACGATATGCTGTAGCAAGAATATGACATAAGCCACCACCAGGTTTAAAATCTAAGAAACATTTCATCTACAAATTTCATAAATGTATTAGTTTCCAAAGAAATATTTTACATTCTAACAATCGAAGAATACATACAGGAAGTCTTGTCATTGGAGGTTTCGAAACATTCTTCCCTAAATTATCTTCTTGAAATTGCAATAATTGTACTACCAACGTAGCTAAACTTTTATTTGTGGGAGGATCCGTTTGGACATACTAAAAAATATTTGATAGAGGTATAAGAAAAATATTTTAAAATGTCAAAATAATTAGACAAAATTCAATACATTTCTGTGCAATGTAATTTATAAAATAAAATATTCATATGCTATATAATGAAATTATTATTTGAATGTATAAAAGCAACATTTTATCAGAAAAGAGACATAACAAATGATTAATTTACATATTACTAATGTTTATAATATCTACATTAACTTAAAAATAAAGTTATGATCTTAATAAATTACAGAGTAACAATTAGACAGAGCAACAAAACAATTGAAAAAAATATGAAGAAACTAATTCGTGTCAGAATATAGCATATAAACTAGTGAACAATTGATCATATACATATCTCGAAGCCAAACGTTTTGATGTACCTTTTTGCAGGTTTTCAACAGCCATTGTTTAATTCCATCTAATTGTGTGAGGATCTCCTGGGACTCAAAAAATTTCGTATTGGGTCCACCGTCTTTTTTAGGTCCTAACGCGAGCATTCTTTACGAAATGTTAACTTAAAAAATTGTTGGATACGCTACGTGAAAGGACAGCGCGTTTGTTGCAAACATGACACACCTCTGAAGTTGGTTCTAGCCATGTTATTCCAATACAAATATATTCCGATCTACGATTGTAAATTTCTTCGAAATCAATGATATTTCTACAACCTTATGTATGACAATTTCTAATAAAAAAAAAAAAAAGAAATATATATATTTGTTTTTCGTACGGACTTATAACCTTAACTGAATATTCATTATTAACTATGAACGAAGCAGATAATGGTTTTAACCATTGGCAAACATGTTTGTACTTAAATATAGTAACTCGAAATTATTTGATATTTGCTTGTTTCGTAGCTACTGATAATCTGGAATGGTTAAAATTAGATTTTTAAATTAAATTAGATTATTCGATGTATACGTAACGGTAATTATGTCTGATGAAGAAGATATAGATATAAATAAGAAGTTCGAAGATTTACTACTCGCTGAAGAAAATGCCCAAGATATAGGTTACAAAGAAGGTTTCGAATTTGGCAAAAAACATTTTGTAACTGCATTTCATTATGGACACCATAAAGGCAGTTCGTTAGGTGCACAATTGGGGTATTACAGTGGTATTTTGGAACAATACTTGAGTACTAACGAATGTAACACAGAGAAGAGTGTTTCCATTGCACGAAAGCTTTTGCAGGATATTTATAATGTTCCCAAATTTAATGACGAGACGGTGGATATGTTGAAAACCATAGATAATATTAAATCTCAATATGCCAAATTTTGTGCACTAGCGAAAATATGTTCGTCATACCCAGAAACGGATAAACTGAATTTTTAATTACACAAGAATATACTTAAATGAACAAAAACCAAAATAATATTACTAATGTTTTGGCTTCATATTTTTTGTTTCTCATAGTCATATTAAGTATATTATTATTATCTGTCTGAAAAAATTTATAATAAATAAATATTGTACTAAGTTCAATGTTATAAATATTGTAGTTATGTATGATGAACATTTCGACAAAGTTATATATTTCATTAATACGTATCACAAGTTGATAAATTGTCATATAGTTGATTTTGTTACTGAAAACTTATGGATGACATGTTTACCAGAAACTTTAAGATCGGAATTAGAGAAGAACGAATTAAATTGGATGAATTGGACAGAAAATGACGATTATCCTATGTTAAATAATTTTATGAAATTGGCAAAATCTTTATCTTTGCAATCATGTTCTATGGAAATAAATTCAAAAGATTTCTCAAATACATTGCCACATATTAACAATGAAAATAAATGTATGTATGAAAGTATTAAGGTAGAATTTATAAATGCAAAAAAATTACACGAGGTTGAATCCCTTGGTAATATCATTGGGGAAATTGCTGCAAAAACAAATAATTTAGTAATTGATGCTGGTGCTGGGAAAGCATATCTATCAACATTCTTAGCAGAAAATCATCAAGTTCCCGTACTTGCAATAGATTCTTCACAATTATGTAGCAATGGAGCAATTTGTAGACAGAAGAAATTACAAAAGAAACTAATACTTTCTCCTGTGCTGGTAGTTATAATAGTTAAATGTGTATTAAGTTTTTATAACATACAAATAAATCACACTTTGTTTTAGGTACGCTATGTAGTTGAAGAAATAAATGATAGAACCGATTATATAAAAATGATAAAACAAAATTTTTGCAATTGGGATATAAATAAAAATCTTATATTAACTGGTTTACATACATGTGGTTCTCTCACTGATTCAGTTATTAGAACATTTTTAGCTACGAAAGACATTAATATTTTATGCATAGTGCCTTGTTGTTATCATTTGTCAAATGAAACATTTAATAAAAAAATTAGTTTTTCTAAGAATGCTAGAATGTTAGCACAACAATCTATTGAAAGGAGCATGAAAAATAAGTTTGTACCTTCGTCATTGTTCTATAGAGCAATTTTACAAGTGACTTTTCATTCCTTGGGTATATTTGTTTTTACATTAATTTCACTCTATTTCATATAGTATACGTTATTATTTTTTTCTTTCTTAATAGGTATTTATAATGCTAAAGTAGGTCGCGGAGGACCTTTACACGATTTTCCAAGTTACGCTCAATGGGCATTTTCAAAAATTGGAATAGATTTGGAGAAGGTATAACAACATCATTATAAATATTACAGTTGTACATTTTTTTTTTTTTTAAAGAATACTTACATTCCTAGATACCATCACGGGAAACATTAACAAATACATTTCAACTTTATGCACATTTAACGAAGAAGTTTTATATATTTCAAATGTTAAGGGTACATGTTGGTCTTGTATTAGAAGCAGCCATTATGTTGGATAGAATAATATTTTTACAGAACAGTAATCAGTGTTCTAAAATTGCGATATTACGTTTATTTGATCCTATGTTATCTCCACGACGTTATGGCATCATTGCAGTAAAATAACAATGGAAAAGAAAATTAAAAACAAAGAAGAAACAATATAAATATATAAAAAATTATGCTTATAAAAAATAATTGTAAAAAAAAATAAAAAATGTTACAGTCAGTAAAAAATATTCATCAAGATTCAATTATAAATTTTGTAACATTCCAAATTATGTATCGTCTGTGTCGGCAAATTGTAGGTAATCCATAACTGAGCAGTATCCTTCTTCCTTTGCCACTGGAACTAATTTTCCAGTTGGAGATAAACCACTTTTTGTTCTACATATACTACAATTACATAAACCACGGCAAGGTGGGCAAGCCCAGTCCTGTAAAAATAATAATTATAAGAAAAAATAAATAAATAAATTATATATATATATATGAAAATATAAAACATACAGGATCTTTTAATGCAGTAACAATGTCTTCACCATATCTGCCTTTTAAACAAACTCCGCAAAATTGTCCTTTAAGTCCAATACATTCTCCTGAACGACATACAGTTTTTGTATCTAAAGTTTTCTGTCTACATTGATGACAGGTTGATCCATTGATGCTGCAATACTCTTTTAAAGAAAATTTAGTTGCAACATTAGCTAGCATTTCATCCGTAATTTCATCGACAGATGGTATGTTATTTGAGTTATAAGTAACTTTGTTCATATTGTAAATTCGTTTTTTAATTTTAACTTTGGTTTCAGACAAATTATCATTGTACTGCTCTTCGTCCGCATCGCATTCTATTTTCATTAAATCGATTGATCGTTGGAATGGTTTTGCCCACGGAAATAAAACTAACCATTTACGTTTAGCTTTTTCGGATTTAGTCAAATTGTTTTCCTTTTCTTCTCCCTTATCTTCATAAACATTCCTCGATCTACTTCTAGTATTATACCTCTTACATGAATCAAGTTCCGAGCGTTTAATTTTAAACTTGTTAATAGATCGAATTTTACGGCTTTTTGTGGATGTAGATTTTTTTGCATCTTTCGCGTCATTGTATTTTTCTTCAAGTTCCTTTATTTCGTTTGTTTTCTTTTCTAAATCATTGAAAATCTCGGCAAACTAAAAAGTTAAATACACATATACCGGTCGCTTATAGGTTAGAAATTTAAATCAGAAGTACTTACGATAGCATTTTTTTCGGCTATATTTCTTTTACGTAAATCATCATAATCATTTTCGCTCATTTTTATCAAAAATTTAATCTTCAAGGAACGTATAATAACGATAATCGAATTTTAAGGAGACGAATAAATAATAAATAATATTTTATGCTTCAATCGTATCACAAATTCTAAGAACTAACAAACATGGCCATAAATTTGGCGGGTAATATCGACCCGACATCTATAAGCATGTACCTATAGGCATAGGAAGTTATATCAGGTTGTTACTTGTAACGCAATGCACGATTTTTTTACCCACTTACAGCCATCTGACAAAAAAAAGTTTACAACAAAAGTTGAACGGTACAGGATGTACAGTAGGTGTCAATAAAAAAAATTTCGAAAACTGTTTGTTTTCATAGCTAAATCAAGGTCATTTTGGATTAAACAAATAGGAAACACATCATTTTTTTCCCACCGTATTGTAGAGAACATCGAGACGAATTTAAAACATATTTCTATTGACATGTTACTCCATTTATAATAGTGGCTGTTATCACGTGGTAAAATCTCATAGAAATCTACTTTATCGACATGGAAAAAAATAAAAAAATGTTTTAATAAAAAAAAAGTGTCTTAATTATTAAGTTTCAAAAAGTTTTTTTTGCAATCTTCATTCTTATTGAAAAGGAACCTATTTCTAAAATTTCAGCCAATTCGGTGCATGGAGTTTTCGAAAATACAGTTAAAATAAGAAGAAAGAGAAAGATCGTCAAGTTATATAATTTATCAATACAATTCTCTGTTTATCATGTAGTGATGAAAGGAACTATCTACTGTGATATTCATCACTATCCAATGCAGTTCCTGAATCTTTCGTAAAATACAAAATTGCCTTATACTGAAATGGATGATGATTCGATGTCATTTGGAGAAGAATATCACATTTATTTTCCAACTGAGACTTTTGGGCTTAAATAATAAGACGTGGTACTTTTACCGCTAATAGAGTACAATTATATCGTTTTTCTTATCTCCGATATGAATACGAATGTACGTACAATGGATAAAAATAAATATTAAGCTATGCGATAAGATTAACTATGTAGAGATGTATTTGATATATCGTATCTTCTAGAATTTGACAGTCTTGGAAAAACCTAATGTAGAACAAATATTGTTAGAGGAGGAAAACAGAAAGAGAGAAAGAGAGAGAGAAAAAGAAAAAGAGAGGATATTTCGGAGGATAGTTCGGAATAAATTCAAGAGCACAGAAGGAGAAGAGGTTCCGACTAGTCAGTCGGTCGTTGCATTCATCGATCACTGGTAGCAACGCGTAGATCCCGCTAATACGAACAATCATTTGCAAAGGTAAAGACTTACCTATAATTTAAACAAACACCGTGTTGATAGTCTGTTTTGCCACACCGATAACACGGGGGGAGGGGTACAATTGTGATAATTTTTCTGGCAAATATTAATACCTGCGGTGATAATGTCTCCTATTTCTTTTAATTTTTTTGCACTGAAGAAAAATCAAAGGGCTTTAAACTACTTTTTCAAGTGACATCAAGTGATGCAGAAGAATTGTTTTTCTTTTTAATCAGAATGATACGAAACTTGAAATATCAATAAAAAAATATCGTATTTTTGCACTGAGATACTCATACACGCAATGTCGATTTTATGAATTAAATTCTACTGATTAATGCGAGATTTCGATTAAACGATTTGTTTTTATAGAAGTACGTGAGCGGAAAGATACAAATATGATGTTCAGAAAAATTGGTGTGATATCTAGAAGGAAGGAATATCTTTTGAATCTGGTTTGCCAGGTAATAAGAAATGTCAAATCTAAAGTATGCGAAGACACAATGTATTGCGGTGCTTATAATAAAAACGTTCTTTGTCGAATTTCTCAACCTTTTAAATAATAATAATAATAATAATCGTAGGCTGAGAGAAATCGTCGATCTATAACGTCACAAGAAGTTTTCGAACGTGAATCAAAATATGGCGCTCACAACTATCATCCCCTTCCCGTTGCGTTATGCAAAGCGGAAGGAGTTTTCATGTGGGACGTTGAGGGCAAGCGCTATTATGATTTTCTGAGTGCTTATTCTGCCGTTAATCAAGGTCATTGCCACCCAAGAATTTACAAGGTTTTGATCGAACAAGCGAAGGTTTTAACATTAACTTCTCGTGCTTTTTACTCGGATGCATTAGGAGAATTCGAAGAATATGTTACGAAACTTTTCGGGTAAGCATATTCTCCTTCTCTTTCCTTTTGTTTGCATCTTTGCAATTTGCGGAGATATGCTCTCACATGTTTACACAATGTCTGCTCTCGCACCTCGCACCAGATAATCGGCCTAATTCCGCATATAACGATATACCGTTTCGTGCAATACATAAATGTTAGTAAAATATACAAATCAATGATTTGCAACTGATGATCAAAATTAATATTTATTGTTTTTCAAAAAAATTCATTTTCAGAAATCTATACGTGAAAATCTGTTATAGGAATGAAAAATAATAGACAGCAAAAAAAAATTTTAAATTTATACCATATGAATTTAAAATATAGTATTTTTCAAATTAATAACAATGTTTATTACCTTCTTAAATGTAAATTTTGTTTAAAAAGCATTACTATATTCGCTTATATCTATTTAAAATAATGTCGACAGTTTCTGTGTCAGTAGAAGGGGAATATTTTTTATCTAATTTTGTTTCTTTCCGCAAATTTATTGATTGAATTATATTTTATGAAAGATAAACAAGTGTTTGAACTCTTTTGAGCATTAATGTATATAAACTGTTTGTTTTTCAAATTCAGGTAATTTGATATATAGTGTAATTAGTATTTAGTATATAGTACATAGTAGAAATCTCTCGCAACAGAGTGGATAAAATATCTCCTATGTTTTTAATAATCAATGTTAAACGTTAAATATTTTTAAATATTTTTAAACGTTAAATATTTTTAGATAATTAAACGAAATTTCAATAATCGAATGAAATATCAAATGTTTAGATATGAGAAATGGCTTCCGATGAACACAGGAGTAGAAGGCGGAGAAACTGCTTGTAAACTAGCACGCAAATGGGCTTACACGTGTAAAGGTATACCACAATATCAAGCGAAAATTGTTTTTGCGGAAGGTAATTTTTGGGGTAGAACAATGAGTGCGATATCCTCAAGCACGGATCCTAGTAGTTATGGTGGATTTGGTCCATTCATGCCTGGATTCGAGGTGGTGCCGTACAACGATCTCGCAGCGCTTCAACAAACTTTGGCCGATCCTCATGTTTGTGCTTTCATGGTGGAACCCATCCAAGGAGAAGCTGGTGTCGTCGTACCAAAGGTATCATGATTCTATATAAAAATATTATTTTTGAATCATAAAGTGACTCGGAAAAATTAATAAGAATGTACTTAGCGTGTTCTTCTTTTCCGTAGCCTTTATATATGAAAGATTATTTCTTATTTTGATATAATATATTTAAGGATGGCTATCTGAAGGGTGTGAGAGAATTATGTACGAAGTACAACGTTTTGTGGATTGCCGACGAAGTACAAACTGGTTTAGCAAGGACAGGAAAACGATTGGCCGTAGATCATGAAAATGTAAAACCTGACATTTTGATCCTTGGAAAGGCTCTGTCCGGTGGTTTCTATCCTGTTTCTGGTGTATTAGCCAATGATTCTGTAATGTTGACTATAAAGCCTGGTGAACATGGCTCGACTTATGGTGGCAACCCTCTAGGATGCAGAGTTGCCCTTGAAGCGCTTCGCGTGCTAGAAGAAGAAAAATTAGCGGAAAATGCCGAAAAGCTCGGACATATTCTCCGAAACGAGCTTAACAAATTACCAAAGAATGTAGTTACTCTTATTCGTGGGAAGGGTCTACTTAATGCTATTGTCATCAAAGAAGATATCGATGCCATGGATGTGTGTTTAAAAATGAAAGACGAAGGTTTACTCGCGAAACCAACGCATGGTCATATAATCAGATTAGCTCCGCCGTTAGTCATCACTGAATCGCAAATAAAAGAATGCGCTGATATCATTTCTCGAGTTATTTCCCGGTATGCTAAGTAATAAATTGTATTATAAAAAAATTCTTTGAAATTTTATATTATATAATTATATCGACGAAATAGAAAGAATATGTGCTTAGTACAAAATTAATACATAGCAAAATTTTCGTTTTTGCCAATACCAGCAGACTTTCATTCTTTTTTTCATTATAGAATAGTTTACATGAGAAAGATTAAGCAGTTTTAAGAAAAACATGCAATGAATTTTTTTTTCAATGATAAATTCGAAAATTTTTATAAAAAGACCAGATATTTTACATCTTCTCCGATTTCAATACCTTACCGTTCATAAATATTGGAACATTATAGTAAATTTATTAAAACACTATGATTCTCAATCCTCTATATAATCTGGATGGATTGTAAATTAATGAAGTTAAATTCGATGAAGTTAAACTAAGGACAGGTTTAGTAAGAAAACATCGTTCGACTAGAAAGCTGTCGAAGCTGTTATCTTCCACATGCAGAGAGAAAACAATTATCCGAGTTACATACTGGTTATTAATAGCTATATGTGATATGGTTCTATCCTGTACCGTCACGAGATCAATGTTTATTCTGACGTTTGTCAGACGTTGGATCTTGGCTTAAACTTAAATGCTAATATCGCATTTGAACATTATAGGTCAACGTTGACAATTGCTTCTTTTAAGACATGCTTAACTTGTGCATTTGTCATATATAATCAATTTCCTATCGGATATTTGAAAGACGAAAACAAAAAAAAACATTAATATATTAATAATATATATTTTAATATATTAATCAAATAATCCTTTTTTTACTTGAAAGCTTCGTAATCTTTGTTGTTAGCAATTGTACACACTATAATTATAAATTTTGTTTCTCCGTTTTAGAAGAGTATGAAGCAAATAAGAAAAAATAGAAAGTTTGTGTGTATATACATATATGTATATATATATATATATATATATATATATATATAATTTCCCGCTTACGCAAGTAAATAAGTACATCTATAAGTATTTGGACATTTTTAAATTGTCGCAACTATATAAAATTTATTTTCTAATAAAATTTATTACAATATTTTTTAGTAAACCAGGATTACTCCAAATACTTACAGAGAGTTTCAGATACATCGTTTCGCGATCAGATTATTATGATATATGTATTGTTTGCAGTTTCTCGTTTGGTTTAGCATGATGGCGCCATAACGATATTTTATCAGATATGAATTCTTCAGTTACACTGTAACCTTTATTATTTTAAATCCCCCCGATACATATATCAATTATATACAAAAACATCCCGTGTAAATAAGCAATACACGTCTCCCCTACTCTTTCCGTTTTTCTCCATATAAATGTAAGACAGACTCTGAAAACACAGTAACAGGAGGTTTCTTCTCCGAATGATTCTACAACTTCAAAATTAGTTAGAATATTACACTTGAAAGTTAAAATGCAGCCGATTATAACGTCACGAATCTTTAATTTAACGAAAAGAATGAATTTAAAAAGATCTCTGAGTTCGCAAGAACTGATCGATCGTGATATGAAATATGGCGGTAGACATTTCAAACAACTTCCGGTGGTCCTCGCGAGGGGCGAAGGCGTTTATTTGTGGGACGTCGAAGGAAAACGGTATCTCGATTTTTTAGCGGGTTTCTCAACGGTCAGTCAAGGTCATTGTCATCCACGCTTGGTGAAAATAATGAGAGAACAAGTGGGGAAGCTCGCTCACACGTCCAGAGCTTTTTATTCGGAGCCTCATGGTGCATTAGCAGAATATTTGACGAAGCTTTTGGGTTGGGATAAATTCTTGCCGATGAATACTGGTATGAGAAAAAAAAGAAAAATGGAAAATAAATTGAAAGTGTTATATATAATTATTTGAACAACACATATTCCTTTTAGGTATACTTTACACTTTACTTCTAACAACAAGTTCTTTGTTATCTATTGTTAACACATATGATTCTTTAATTTAATTGAGGCAATTTAAATTATTTACGCAGCGTCCACCGACATTTTCAAAGTCGTTCGAATGGTTATGAGCAGCAGTATAATTATAATGATTATAAAAATTAAAGTCACTGTAGTAAAGTAAATGAGTGTTCGAATTTTTTGAGTGACAATGCATGTGCGCATAGCGAGTAAAATTAAAAAAATTAAAAATTAAAATACATAAATATATTTATTACAGGAGTTGAGGCAGCTGAAACCGCTGTTAAGGTGGCTAGGCGTTGGGGTTATAGAATAAAGAAGATACCTTCAGAACAGGCAACCGTTGTCTTTGCAAAAAATAACTTTTGGGGACGTTCTATAGCTGCGTTGTCTGCATCTACAGACCCAAATTGCTATATCGATTTCGGACCTTATGTTCCCCGCTTCGACAAAGTGCCATATAATGATCTTAAAGCTTTGGAAGAAAAATTTGAACAAGATCCAACCATTTGCGCGTACATGATGGAACCAATTCAAGGAGAAGCTGGTGTCGTGATACCTGATGTAAGTTATTTTCATTTTTAACAAAATTTGTATAGAATGATAGTAAAAAATTATCGTAAAATTAATTGCAGTAGAATTTCATTTATTTAAACTCATCGGGGAACAAACAATTCAAATAAGGAAAATATATATTCGAATAAAATCGACTGGAATTCATTTAACTTTGTTATTCTCCTGACTTTTCTCACGCTTGTGTATCTTCAGATATACATTGTCTTTTCAAATTTTGAAAAATTTTATTCATAAAAAGCACAGTATGACAAAAGGTAATAAAATTTAAACGTATATAATTAACTTATTTCGAATTATATAGACCAGAGAACAATAATTTCAATAATTGGAGTTCGGATGAATGGAGTTCTATTTTTATTGTAAAATTTTTTGAAAGAACATTTCTTGATCTTTCCAAATCCTAAACTTTCATATGCAGGATGGTTACTTGAAAGGTGTACGAGATCTGTGCAACAAATACAACGTATTATGGATTGCTGACGAAATCCAAACTGGTTTATGTAGAACAGGCAAACGATTGGCGGTAAATCACGAAAATCAACGACCAGATATTCTCGTATTAGGAAAAGCATTGTCTGGAGGGTTATATCCTGTTTCTGGTATTTTAGCGGACGAACAGGTAAGTGCAATTTTCAAGATCGAATCTTTTCCTAGTCTGAGAGAAAAGTTGTTTTTTTATTACTTACTAATAACGAAAACACATTTTTCTGAGAATTTGATAAGATTTATGATCAGTTTTATCGAAAATCTGATTCCAACCCTATTTCAATTATTTCATTAAAATGAAAATGTAAATTATTCTAATAACGATATGTTAAAGTACAATGTCGCATGTATGTATATCATTGAATGTGAAAAGATTAAAAATTCGCATAAACAAGTATTAAACATAACGTAACATTAATTCAATCTAAATCTACCATTTTGTCAGATAATTATGTGCTTAGAAACCGGGTCCCACGGTAGCACTTTCGGTGGAAGTCCACTTGGTAATAGAGTCGCTCTAGAAGCAGTTAAAATTTTGGAAGAAGAAAATCTTGCAGAGAACGCGTACAAGCTTGGAGAAATTCTACGAAAGGAATTACAAAAACTTCCGAAAGACATAGTGGTAGAATTTCGAGGTCGAGGCCTGTTGGCTGGTTTAGTGATCAATAAAGGTATTTCTTTAAGTCTGTGATGATATACATTGCTTACTTCGCTTAATTTCTAATATTCTTCAGATTTTGCCGAAGGATGGGATATTTGTTTGAAATTGAAAGAAGCAGGTTTGCTGTCTAGACCCGCACATAGTCAAATAATAAGAATATCACCTCCACTCACGATCACAAAAGAACAACTTCAAGAAGGTCTTCACATACTCACCACTGTCCTTAAAAACTACAAATGAATTAGTTATCATTATACAGGTAACTCTCTTATAGGTTTATACAAATCTATCATCTTGCAATGAAAAATCATAACTCTTAATCTTCCTGCCTTAAAAAAAGTATATAATAATATAAAGTATCATCTATTTTTGTAAATAAATAATTGATTTCTAAAAAATAAATTTACTTTTAAGTTGCTCCTATTTGACATTGATAAGACAACGAACTAATTATACGAATTATATTTAATATGATAGTATGATGTCAATATAAAATATCTTTAATTAAGATAGAGGAAATAAGTGATTGACGACAATATTAAAAAGTTATATACATAGAACTGTATATTTGTAAGATGATATGTACATACGAAAGTCGTATACATATCAATTAAGTATGCGATTCGTGTCTTTTTAAGTGCCTCGTGAGGCTAAACGCTTGAGAAAACAATTGATTACATTGATGGCATTTGTACGATTTCGTACCATTGTGCAAAATCAGATGTCTCTTCAAATGATTCGCGAGTTTAAATCGTTTCCCACACAATCGACACTGATGTTGCCTAACGGTAGTGTGAGATACTTCATGATTTTTCAAATGGCTCGACTGCGAGAAGCGCTTTCCACATACTTTGCATTCGAAAGGTTTTACTTTCGTGTGAATTCTCATATGTTCCGCGAGATTGCCTTTTTGTACGAAACATTTATTGCAATACTCGCACTTGTGTGGCCTCGTTGCTTTGTGCGTTCGCAAGTGAATCTTCAGATTGTAATTTCGGCTAAATGTCTTATCGCATATTTCGCATCGTACCAGACCTTTTCCAGTGTGAAGTCGTTCGTGAGCTTTCAGATTTTTTAGTAGACGGAATTTTTTCTTGCAGTTGACGCATTCGAAAGTTTTGTTCTCTTCGATTTTCGCGTTGTTGTTACTGCTTCGTTTGTGTGTTTTCAAGTGTTCCCGTAGATAAGATGGATATGCAAATATTTTATCGCACATTTTACATGGATGTACATTAGTTTTCGTGTGTAGACGCATATGAGCATTTAGTTTGCTCTTTGACGAGTAACCTTTCTCGCAACTGAGACATTTGAAAGGTTGTTGGCCAGAGTGAGAGAATCGATGTGTTAACAATTTTGATTTTTGAGAAAATGACTTGGAGCATACATCACATTTGTACTTTTTCATCTGTACAGTTACAGAATGTCCGTTTTCGATTTGCTGCTTGCTATAATTAAGATTTGAAGAGTATGACTGATATCTATCGATGCTTTCTCTGTTGTCCGTACGTTCGAAACTTTTCACAAATTTTGCAGCACGACAGTTATCTATGTTGTACGAATCTGAATCAGGTATCGTTGTATTTCTTATTCGAGAGCTACATTCTCGAACTTCGTCTCCTAGATCCATATTTTCTGGAAATCCCAAGGTTTGCATCTCGTTATTGTCGTTTGTCGTTGACCTGTGATAAGACAAGTTCTGAATAGAATTCCCAACAGAATTAATCGATCTCTCGTAACTTAGGTTTTGTGGAATTTGATTTGAATTCTCACAGATATCTATATTCTCGTTATCGCAGGGCATTTCAATGCTTTCCGAAGTGTGAGTAATACTATGACTAATTAATTGAGTCCTATTGGTGAACGTGCGATTGCACAGAGAACAGTGTAGCGCGCAAGCAGCTCGAGTAGGATTTTCTCCATTTGTTGGAATCATTTGCATCACGTTCGATCTAATTAATGGAGATAGCTGCGTATGTTGAATGCTCTCATGAGTTAAATTAGAGCTTAGGTGACCAAAGTTAAAATTGAAGTATGGATTCTGCGATTCTACTATGTGCATATGTTGCATTGGTATATCATCTTGAACAAAAGGCAAATGTGATCTGCTGTGGGCACAGAGATCCTGGTAGTTTGTAAATACTGCTCCACATTCTATGCATTTCAAAGTCTTATGGGAGTTTTGAATAGGCATAAAACCTTGATTTTGTTGGTATAATTTGTAACCTGCAGCATATGATGTTAGACCTGAAACCTGTATTTCAAAAGTTCATATTCTTTTCTAAATGAGATGCGCATGTGGTCATGAATAGACTGTGAATGTTTATGCAATTTTATACTTTTATAAAGATAATTTAAGTGAAACCTAAGTGAAAAATTATTTTATTTACATAGTATTATAAGAAATATTATATTTTGAATATTTTATATATTTTTTGTATATTACATGCATTATGCTTGTGTTTGCATTTTCAAATTTTTCATAAATGCATAAAAATCCTCAGTCTAATGATGAATAAAAGTATAGACATATAGCACCAGATTTTCTTATAAAACTATACATATATAGAAAGTAAGACTCAATATAGATACTTGTACAAAATTCAGGTTGAAACATTCAATCAAGTCTATTTAGAATGCGATTTGAACAAAAATAATGAAGAAAGTGATGTGATTCTTACTTCAGGCAAGATCTTAAAAGAAGATTTGATCTATATCAGACATCGTGGTAAATCCTATTACCTTTAAAACAGCTTGTCTTAATGCTCTGTCAGCTGCACGACATTGTTCTCTGTACAATAGAGCTGATTCCGCTCTGGTTACACAACGGTCGCACATTTTCTCTGGAAGACCATCGCCTTGCCAAACCTGATTTCAGATGTAGAAAAATCAAGTTTCATATTCGTTCTAATCAAACAATCACGAGTTTGAAAATGTGTATTACTTCGAGACAGGAGAGAGATCGTAATTTAGCAGCAAGAGACGACTCGGCCGGACCCACGAATAAACAAACCATTTTGTCGCCATCCTCTCTTAGACATGTACGACATAATTTACCAATATTTTCGCTGTCAATTTCTTTCGTAACGATAAACATCTTTATGCTTTGACAGCTAACCTCAAAAGTTGACTGACGCGAACTTCTCGCGACTCATAGGTTAGGATTTTGTTTTGACGTTTATAAATTGCGTAACAGTAGATGTCACTGATGAAGCCGTTCGATTATTATAAAACAGAATTTGTAAATATTTATACATCATAGAAAAACAAGAGCGAGAAGTCATATCTGTTAAAATGTTTGTTAAATTAAATATATAGTTTTTTGCTATTAGCAAGCCTAGAGAAATTGAAATGTTAGCACTGCATAGGAGTGGAAGGGTGGAATTAATCTTTATTGCTGTCTTTATCGAACAATAATAAAAATAAATATTTTTGAACGAAATAAACTCAAGTTTGTTAAAGTGGAGACTTCACTCATTAAAACAAAATCAAGTTAATTATTCTACATTTTTTTTCTCGAAATTATAACAGTTTAAAGTATCGATCATTTTTCATCTAGTGTATGAATATTTTCGAAGTATAAAAATATTTTTTTTAAGAATTTCTCATGAATTTTGTGTATTTAGATCAGAATTTTTTATTTTTAGTCTCATTGTCAGTTAACATATCGTGTGAAATGCGCGCGTGTCAGGTTAAATTAATTAGAGATTACAGCGCCCCAGTGCTGAGTATACTTCTCGAACATATCGATATTTCTCACGATCGATTTTTAAACGGAAAGAATGGCGGAAGGTAGCACATTTCGTTTCTAAAGAAGAAAGTGTTATCCAAAAAAGTCATTCAGAAGGAAGTGTCATTCAGAAATTCTCAGGTAAAAATTTAAATCAATAGTTATTAGATTTGTATTTGTGTTGTGTATTTTTTTTAAGATAAAACGTGCATTTATACGTTATTAATAGTATCATTTAATTAATACGCGTATATTTAACAATTAATTGAGCATTACGGTAACGAAATCGTGTAATACTTTGAAACTTTTCGTGTCGATTTTATTTCAATCGTCGATTTCACTCGTACGGTTACCGGTAGCTTATCTCGTACATTTCTTTAGTAGAATTTGAGGTGATTATCGTTTCATTTTTACATATTTGCCTTCATTTGATATATTTGTTCTAACTTTTGGTTTATTTTTGTGCAGGTTATTCCTTGATTCCAGAGATAAGATAGAACACATAGACGCCACAATTTAATGGACACTCTGATATTGTTTGACGGAAATTTGGTAACATTTCATTTATTTTTGGTATACACAAACGATTAATGCGTAATTAATTATTCAAAGCAAAATTTTTCACGCGTTTTTCATAATACTATTTTTTAAGTACATTTGATTTGTGAAACATTTTTGGATACTTATAACATTTGACGTGATATATTATTAATGTGCATACTTCTTACTCTAATAATGAACATTTAGAATACAATACTCGTCTTTCATTTACAGTATTCAGTATTGAGATATACTCTATTAATTTACAACTAATATCTTTAATACATATTCAAGTTTCATCATCATGTTTACAATCATGTTCTAGAAAAATAGCAGTATTTTCTAAATGAACTTATCCTCTGCCCTCCTCCAACTAATCCAACTTTATTTTCAGAAAATTTTAGTGACCGCGCGCAATGCGGTCGGTAGAGTCAGTGTTTGTTGCGAAATATTTTTATATTTTTCTGAGCAAAATGGCTCTCATTAGATTAAATAATCAATTCATTTAAATTATAATTCGTGAGATTGGAGTCAGTGAGTTCGTCGATTATTACTTAAACGCGCGCATTGATAGTCTTTTATTTTTCTTTTTTTGTATTTTTTCTTGTTCAGTGTTCGTTTTCGAGATATAGAGTCAGTGCTCAAGAGGATAAGGCCTCTCCAGGACATCAAGATTGTAAGTTATATATTGTACTTTAATTTACTCAATTTTTCAAATTTAACAACGGAGTATAATGTTTGATGTTTTGTTACAGATCTTCTACACTTCCCCTAATCTTCCAAGAATCACATGATGCTTCAAAAGCTAAAAATGTAAGTACTTTAGCACGGTGTATTTAAATTCTTCATAGTTTTCTTTCTACTGAAATCGAATGTAAAATTAAAATTATAAAATAAAAGCACTTAAAATTATTAGTCCCAATTTTTATCATTATTAAAATTTAAATTTTCACAAATATTGTATTTTTAAAAACAAAATATTTTATGTTTTTTAAGAAATTTTTCACGGCGTTCTCCATGGAATTCTCAGTGGTATTTACTTGATGAGAGTCTTTACGATAACTTTCCCTGCTCCAGTGCAGCATCGATGACAACGTTCTTCACATCTATCGCGTGAGTCGCATGCATTTATGTTCCTCCGGTCACTCAATCATGTCGTAGGACGAAAGGTCCGAATCGGCACGGGTGACTGGTTGTATACGTAGAGTTTTTGATGAGCATAGTGACCGCGGGTATATTTTATACCCGTGAGTAGTAACATTTTTTTCAGGTTTTTTCATGTATTAGATCAGGATAGGGCTTCTTGCACATCGCGATTTTAACAATTAGGATATATACATTTATTGTAATTGCTTATAAAATCAAAATATCTTCAGTATAAATATTTCCAAAAGTAAAATATCCATATGAATAGATAAATTATAAATATTTATAAATAATTATTATTAAAACGACTCCGTTTGAGCATTTCATAGTAGAAAAGACGAATATCCTCCTTCGTAGCTTTGAAAGATGCAGTTATTACTTGATACTGCTGATATATTTTGTTATAGTAATTAATAATTAATAATTTTCAATTTCATCTACCCTTTTATAATGCTATTAAATGATTTAATTAATTAAGTTTTATAATCATGAACTTTAATAGAATTTGAAACATAATAGATTGGGATTTTTTCCGCAAAAATATGTATGAAATTTTATGTGCAAGAAGCTATTTCGTGATAGACAGATTTTTGAATCAAAGCAACAAGTTTGGATACTGCTTTCGAAAATGTGCTTTGATGAAGAAGTCGTCTGAGATTATTTCTATCAATATTTAATTTAGAGTCAATTGTTAGATTGTTCATGGTATTTTTTTTTTTTAACAAATTATTCATTGTCTTTATTCTCTTGCAATTTGAATAATTTCTGAAAGAGTAGAGTCATTACAGTTTGAAATAAAATAATACAATAGTCCGTTAGATACAAATTATATAAATTAATCATTTTTTCAGTTCAGGATTTTCAGGTTTAATCCCTTCCGTGTCCATTGTCAGGATCTCACTCACGTGCCCAGGTGCTACTTGGGTGGGTGAAAGACATTGAGCACGATGACCATAGTTTGTAATTTTATAAAAAATTTCTCAGCGACTGACAATATGTTAGCGTATCGTGCACGACGTATTTTCTTCATGTGTGTGTGGTTAGGATGTGGAATTGCGTCGTTTCTATTGTTTCATTCATTACAAATATTTGATGTATGAATTTATTATAATAATACCTATTAAATACACTACAATTACATTAATAATTATACAATCAATTATAATAATAATTCCATGTCAACTTGGACATGTAATTTCTATAAAAATTATATGTATTCTATCTCAGTTATTAATATCTCACATATAGTTGTAAACGTGTTTCAATCACGTTTTACGCAATGATTGCTAGCCATTGTCAGTCGATTTCAGGAAAATGGTACGTAAATTAGAGTGTGAAAGTTGTATGTTAAGCTCGGGTGTCGGAGACGTCCCGGGACGTTCTCCCTAGTTTAGGTCTGCGCCCGAGTGGTATGTGTGAGAATCGTGGTATGAGTGTGTTGGTGTGCCTGTTTTGTTATTTTTTAAATATAGAGCGACTGATTAGGATAGGTAGCTTACTTTCTGGAGTGCCTGTGTTTAATTATAAGTAGGTAGGGCCGGGCAGGTTGGCACAGTCTTTGGTCGCGTGTCCAACCTGTTTCAGGAAATCTAATTTGAAAAATCGACAATGAAATTGGTACAATGGAACATGCCACTTGTTTCTGGTTTTACTCTTCGATTTTTCGAATTTAGTATCGCGGTCGCGGTCGCGAATAGGTCGCGAGTAGGTCCCGAAACGAACGTTTATGTAGGTATTGCTCGAGTACGCACGTACGAACGGACAACGATCACTACGATCGATGACCGTCCATGTGCATTGAGGTCAGCTTTTGCGATTTATATTATTATCTCACTTTTATAAGTTATATTTTAGTTTGCGATTAGAAAGACTCGAGCTAGATGTAAGTTTCAGCGGGCATTGCGCTCGAAGAAAGAAGTGGCTAGATGCCGAAGAGGCCCGGCAAACTGCCACGAAGAGGGTCACAACAAATGGCTTCTTATCTTCTGGATCATTTAAATGATTCCATAGCATGGGAAGTCATTCTCGTTACTACTTTGTCACTGTGCTCTTTTAGTATTTGTAGTTGTATTTTTTTTCTTCTCCATCATTGTTCATCTTCTTTGGGCAAATCGCGTTTTTTCTTGCTAGTGTTGCGAGAAATCGTTTACAGGTTGAATTAGAGTTACGAAATAGTTCCGCGCCTGTTTATTAGTGTTGCGAGAAATTTGATTACGGTTTAAATTAGAGTTGCGAAAAAATGATAATCGTGTTTGTTTTAGAGTTGCGAATTATGATTTCGCGATTGGTTTGAATTTTTGTAGTATTAATAGTAAAATTTATCTTGCTTTATTGTTTTAAATTAAATTATAGAGTCATTGCTTTTAATTAATTTTAGAGTGTTAAAATATTTGAAATAGCTTTTTGTTCATACAGTTTTGTATTGTTCATAATAATTTTCATTGAATTTAGTTTTAGAGTTAGTGTTGCGGCATTATTTCATCGCGATTTCCAATTACTTTTACTCTTAATTTGCGATATTGTTCAAATTAGTTTTTCTCTTATATTAATGTTGCGATAATGAATGATCGCGTTTCTTGAAGTAGCGTTGCGTTTATAAAATTCTTCCACTGGATTCGTGGAAAGTTGTTCCTGCTTTTAGATCATCTGATGCAATTACAAGAGCTGTACAGAGATGGCCATTCATCAGTAACCTCCAATATCATTGTACTGGACACGTCGCAATTAGTATTGCATATTTTTAAACATGAGTACATAGATAGCGTAGTTATTTTCGAGAATTTTAAATATAACGAAGCACTTTTCGCGTTTGATTTTGAAAATTTCCTACCTCACAATTAGTAAAGTAATGTTACGAAACAAGATGAAGTTTGTTGCTCGGGTTTGTAATGTAGATAATCCCTTTAGTTATTGTATTGTTGAGAAGGAACTGTTTTTTAGTAACTCTTCTGACTACTGTATCGGTTTTTTTTTCAGTGGTTCTTCTGATTACTGTGTCGCAATTCTCTTTTCAGTAATACTTTTGGCTCTTGTTTTAGATTCGCAGCACCTCCACGTGGTGCAATCGATATTATTTGATATATAATTACTAATTGCATTATTATATGGCTAAACAATTAATTGCATAACTGATACAATTATGTGGCACGAACTGATTGGCTGCGATCTCGGTTAGGTGTTTATGTAAATATACACATCCATTAGATTAATGAAAAATAAATAATATGTAGTTTTGATATATGGGTAACTAATTTGTAAGCGTATGAAAAATATTTCATCTGAATGTATATGTTTTTCGTACAAAAATATTTTAGAAAGTCTAGGATTAATTATTTCTTCTACAATGAGGGTTGTTCTTTCTTTTTTTTTTAATTTCTCTCATATTATATCGAATTTTTGATAAAATTTATTTGAGCTGGCAGGCTCTTTAATATTTTATTAATAACGTTAAAATTTTAATTTACTATATGAAAGAAAATCATCTTAATACCTTAAAACATGGATAGAGCTCTTTCTGATATATGATAGAATGATTTCGGTTAATTATTAGCTTCACATTTTGATATTAAAAATTTAATAGCACTGTAATGGATTTTAAAAATCATGTTTCTGACGCATTTATTACTTGATCAACTTTGATCGGTTTATTTTATATAGTTTCCCAACTTACTGCTATTTAAGCATAGAGTGCGCTAAAAAACCAATGATTTTTTATTACATATATTGATATTCCAGAGTATGAGACACGAAATCCCATAAAATGCTTGATCTAGTCATATATCTCGTCTGTGTCTTCAATATAAGGGACACGAAAAAACATTGAATATTTGGTCTATCCTAGTTAGTTAATAGTGATAGGCGAAGTTAAGCAGTGTTTAGACGGTAGCACCATCAGACAAGGGGCACAATAGATTAGGGGATAAGGACAGAGATAAATTTTTAGTTCCACGAGATTCGTTTCATGATTTGATTGACTAAATTTTTATTTGTAAAAGAACTACTTCAAAGAATTAATTTATGAACTTTTACAGTTGTATCTTTGTTTTTAGATTCTCAACTTTCTTTTATATTTGTTCTAAGAAATGCTTTTATAAGGATTTGAAATTTCTATTCAGATTGAAGGAGCGCAATGTGTAATTAATACATTGACTGCCATGTGAAATGTGTTTCACAGAATTTAATTTTTATTTAAATATTGTTACAGAAAAAAATGGAATTTACAATAAAATCGCATTTTTTATTTTTAATAATTAATTATTTTTACTTCAAATTTTTATTGTGGCAGTCAAAGTATTAATTTAAGATAAAAAATAATTTTAAATAAACTTTAAGATAAAAAATAATTTTAAATAAAAGATAGTAAAGCATTGAAAAAATTTTATGTAACTATAAAAGAAAAGGAATTATAATGCAATTTGTATTCTTAAAAAAAAAATAGAATTATCCTTTTATGAAAATTATACTATATAGATAATATTTAGTAATATACTAAATGTTTTTTATTATTAGTACTAATAAATGTAATATTTACATTTTTTTATTATTAGTACTATAAATAGAATATTTTACTACATTTTATAGTTTATTTATCGATACAGATAATCTGCGTGAATATTACTTGCGATTTCCGATTCCCATCTGTCTCCGTTATTTAACAATTTTTCTTTATTATATAATAATTCTTCATGTGTTTCTGTCGAATATTCAAAGTTTGGACCCTAAAAAAATCTTTTATTAATTTTTAAATCTCAAGAACAAACAAATAAGTATAATTTTTTATTTTTCATTTTCGTGTTATTTAAAATAAATATAAAAAAAGAAAATATATTAGTGTTCGTTCAAATTTCAATTATGGAGATAGAATTATAATTTTTGCAGAACATATAGCAATTTTGTTCTAAAAGTACTTTCAGATCTTTGAGAAAGGAAAAGAATTTAATCTAGGAAGAACAAGTGATAAAGACATTATTTTTTGCTTTTATATACTTATTATTATTATATTATTATATTTGGATTTTTAGGTCACTTTCAAAAGAAATAAAAAAAACTGTCCAATGATGGAGCTAGATTATTAAATTTGGAAAAAATAACTATATTGAAATTTATTCAAGCTCTATTACCTCCACGATTGCATCCACAGGACAAGCTTCCTGACAGAATCCACAATATATACACTTTGTCATGTCTATATCATATCTTGTTGTACGACGAGACCCATCTGCTCTTTCCTCTGCCTCAATAGTGATTGCTTGTGCTGGACAAATTGCTTCACACAATTTACATGCAATACATCTCTCTTCACCTGAAGGATATCTAAATAAAATTAATATTCACAATAAAATTAATATTATTTATATATACAATTACTCTTAAACACTTACAGTTAAGAATAATCAAACAAATTATTAATTTTACTTATACATAAATATTACGTTAATTGAATTAAAAAATTTAAATTTTATATATTATAGATAAAATGATATTTAAAAGAACATATTCTTCGCTAAATTGTGAATATTTATATTTTTAGAGATTAATTAATAAAAAAAATTGATTAGTACCTTCTTAATGCATGTTCACCTCTAAATCTTGGACTCAATGGACCTTTCTCAAAAGGATAGTTTATTGTTGCAGGCTCAGTCAATGCGTGAGTTAGAGTAATTCCCATGCCACGAATGATTTCTAATAAGAATGTTCTCTGTGTATGATTATGAATAGGGTCTGTTGCAATACTGAAATATTTAGTTCGTACAGGTACATACAAGATTTTTGTAGAAATTTGAAGTAATTGTAAACCTGCAAAAATTATACTTTTATAAAATTAAGCATACAACTAAGATAAAATATAGATTTGTAGGTTACATATTATCAAGTACCTAAAAAATACTAGCAAATAAAAAATCTTTATTAAATTTACCTGGTTGTATAGTTTTCAGAAATGTCATGTTGGAATTTTAAATTAATTTCACTTCATGCAATCACTTTTCACAATATACACACTATTCAGTTACGGTTAGAATTACCACTATTACAATATCTTATAGTTATCCTCAAACTAAGAATACTTTTTTTCGCATTCAAAATTGATTTGCACAATATTGGACTACAGAGTATACATCTTATTCTATTCTTACATAAGGCTAATATAGGAGTTTTCCCTATATTCGTCAGCGACATCTAGGTTACTAATAATGTTCAGTTTCATTCATAATGAGTTAAGGCGAATACATAAGACTATAACTATGATTGTGATACACTATAATTTTATTTTCATTGTTTACTTGCTGCTCAAATGACTTCATCCACGACATGGATTATGATCGTTTGTAATTGTAATAATAAATGTGCTACACTTCAGTCAAGATAGTTTCTTATATAAATAGAATATGTAACACATATTTTTGTGTATGCTAGAAGCATACATAAAATGTTTAAATGTTACACAATAAATCATAAATTATTCATACTGATAAGAAATGTTGATAAAGAGATTACAAATCAGTGAAAATGGCAGAATTAATAGCGAATTTAAAAGTAGTACGGGATAAAATTAATGTTGCTTCTGCTAGAAGACCATTAGTATGTTATAAGTATCACATTTTATATAGTAATGATTAGTTTAGAATTGTATAAATATGTCAGATACATCGTATAAAAATACAAACAAGCTAGAGATAAAAACAGTAATAACTTATGTTTTTAACCTTTTTTTTGTAGGAATACAAGTATTTTGAGCCTCGTTTAGTAGCTGTGAGTAAATTTAAACCAGTTGAATTAATTGTCGATGCATATAAAGCTGGTCAAAGACATTTTGGAGAGAATTATGTCAATGAATTAGCAGAAAAGGGGAATCATTCAAGTATTTTGGAAATGTGTACAGATATATGTTGGCATTTTATTGGTCATCTTCAACGTAATAAAATAAACAAACTATTAACTACTCCAAATTTGTATATTATTGAAACAGTAGATACTGAAAAAATTGCATCAGCATTAAATGCTGCTTGGTCTAAATGTAGAACACATGAAAATTTGAAATTAAAAATAATGGTACAGGTCAATACTAGCAACGAGCAAGGTATTATATATTGTAATTTTAACTATTGGTTAATTTTAATCATTCTGATTTTACAACTTAATCAATTAAATATATTATATTTTTAGAGAAGAGTGGTTGTGAAAGAACACAAGTTTGTTCTCTTGTTCAATATATTATTGATAACTGTACAAGCTTAGAATTTGTAGGTCTTATGACAATAGGTATGTTTGGATATGATGTCACTAAAGGACCAAATCCTGACTTTTTGTGTCTGAAAGAATGTAGGGAAGAAGTATCAAAAGAATTAGGTATTGATTCAAAGAAGATAGAATTATCAATGGGAATGTCAAGTGATTATGAACATGCGGTAATTTCAATAAGAATTGTTTTTGTGCTTTCATAAAAATGTCAAAAATATATTAAAATATAATACTATATTATGCAGGTTGAATTGGGAAGTACCAATGTTAGAGTTGGTACTGCTATATTTGGAGAAAGGCCAAAAAAGGATATCTCATAAAATACATATTCCTTGTGTAATTACAAATATATTGTTTAATATTATTATATATTAAACATTAAAAACATGTCTATATGATATTGGAACATTATTGCAGATACGTTATGATGATGATAAGTTGGCCTCTATTTGTTAGTTTTTTGTTGTCATATAAAGAAATGATACGATATTCAGTTAAACTAATTTGGACGAAGTGCGTATCATTGTTTGCTTGTTTCTATCATGAATGCTCGAAAGTTTGAATTATTTCCATTGTTATTTAATGGGTACAGGCGATTGATTTCCTACCGAGTTTTTATTTAGAGCTAATAAATTTGGATTGAATATAATTGACCGATTGTTAATTGTGCGAATCATGTAATAGTTCTTATGATGGTTGGAGAAAAATTGATTTAGATTTAAGAAGAACGCGATGATTTTAAGAAAGAGAGTAGGAATGGAAATAATCGAATAAGGTTTGGAAGGCTGATAATGACATTGTTTGTTTCTAAAAATTGCAGTTTAAGCATATTTGTAACTTGATGCTAGTTTATTTTGTAGGAGCACTTTGTGTTGTAAGATGATTATATAACATTTTATTAAAAATATTACGTTACATTAAATTTGCCTATTCATTAAAATCTTAAATTTTTCTGAATTTAATAAATAACATGTCAATATATTAATACTGGCATAGATTATTCTGTTTCTGAATTATCGGCAAATTTCTTCAATATTTCTAGTCCGCCATTGGCTTTACGATAACCTGGTGCGGATGATTTTATTTTATCCATCCATTTAGCAACATTTGTGTATTTGTCGATTTCGAAACCGAAAACCTACAATCAATAATCATCGTTCAAATCTCTAATTAACTTTTCATTTTCCTAATAATTTACATTTACCTCTGATGTTGATACAGTGGCTGCTATTGCCAGATCAGCAATGGTCAAATTGCGTCCAGCGACGTAATCTTGCCCATCTAGAAATTTATCGAGTATATTAAATGCGTTTTCCAGTACCTTGTAGTGTTCTGGATTGTAATTCTTTGCTCCTCTAAACACAACTGGATACTGTAACAAATTTATTTATTAGGTATCAAAAGAATTTTAGGGTGCAGTATGTATTGTCCATTAACATGATTATGAGTTATTCTTATCATTTCCCGAAATTATTCATTTAAAAACAGTTCGGCGCGGTGTTATCTACGATTGATATTGGAAATTACCTAATAATTTTTGAATCTTATGATACTGTCTCTTTTATTTTACCTTATGAACTATAGTTTTTTTATTTAAAAAAAAAAGAAACAAGAAAAGAGAAATATGAAAATAAGAAAATAATTCATTTTGAATACTTACATAATAGTTTTTCATGCCTTTATACAAAGTACCAATGTCAAAATGTAATCGATGATTGACTAAGGCTCGACCACTCGGTGTTTGTGGATTTAAATGAACGTTTTTACTGTATTGATCAGTTAAATATGACATGATGGCGCGACTGTAATCGTTTATTAAAAGAGGCGATAAAGTACAAAAATAAGTACGATTATATTCTATTTTATGTTACATTGTTCAAACGAAATGTGCAATGTGTATTAGTTAATTGCAAACCTTTCACTCAGTTTGTAATCACCATCTACAAGAAACGGAATAGTTTTCTGTGGATTCAGCTGTAATAGAGATATCGAATGTTATTTTGACTGTTTAACATTAGAATTATATAGTTACAATCAAGTAAAATTGCATTTTGATATTGCATTAACTTAGGTGAGAATCGATTGAATAAAATGAACACAAAGAACTAAAGAAAGAAAGCCGAATAAATGCAATTTAATTTAATTACCGCGTTTTATTAATTACTTTCAGTTAATTGTTCGAAATGATGTACAATTGAGGAACCGTTTATAATGTTTCATTAATTTTTGATATTTATTTAATTTTTGATTTTTGTAATATTATCTATAATATTTCCTATATTGATCATAATAAATATTATAGAAATACATAAATTTCATACATTTCATACAATATTATATAAATATTATATATATATATATATATATATTAATAATATTATATATATATATATATTATCTCGATAATAGATATTTAATCCAATAAACTTTGTAAAGGATTTTTAATCATGCTCACCTGTTCATATTCTGGCTTTAGCTGTTCACCAGAAAATAAATCTATTTCTTTCAAATTTAAAGAAATACCAATTGCCTCAGCAGTCAAAAGTACCGCTCTGCAAGGTGAGCTTATTGGCGTGTAATACAAATCCACTGACATGATTGTTTGTTAACTAAAGGAATATATTTAATATTAGTGAATCAGTGAATCGGTTTACAACCAATGTCATATAGTATAATTAAAATTCAAGGTGGTAAAACATAATAACTAAATTATAATAAAACTCACAAAAAACCGCTGTTTTTAAAATTATTATCGCGATACTTTTTTTTGTTGTTGTCGAATAGCGTTTCATTTCCAACGAAAAAAATATTTTGCTTTCAAACTTTTGATATAGCTAGCGAAAAGTATTGAAATATTCCATTACAGACATTCTTCTTTTGAGCGTCGCCGCTTTCGTTCACAACGATTTTCGATAGAATCAATATCACTGACTAAATGAATATACACATATACGAAAGTTACAGAACTATCCTGTGTGCCTTCCTTCGCATTTAATGCGTCTCACATCACACTCCCTTCATTATTCATCAATGCCAAGAGTTATTGTGAGCGATTTTGCATTGTTTGCGTTATGAATATTCGATTTTTCTCAAGCTTTAATAAAGATTGAGAATTTGCATAGAGAAAAAATGAAGCAAAAATGAGACAGAAAAAAAAATGATGTAGCTAAAATCGAAAACAAACAAAATAAAATTTGCTTGTTGTTGTGATGAATAAAACAAGCGATGCTTAACTGAAATTTAATGGGTTTCAAACCTGCGACAAGCACAAATATGAATTTCATTTACATTTACGTATGAATTTTATCTCTTGGCCAATCGAAATGTATTTCAGTAGTTTAATTTTTTTTTCAATTAATGTAATCGATAGAGTTCTACTTTTTATATAACAAACTTAAGTACGTAGCTAAACTATGTGACAGCTTATTATCTGCTATTAACGAGCATACATGCGAAATGTGTACAAGTACAAGTAAAGTTCAAAAATATAAATAATGTAAAGAAGAAAAATGGAATATGTAATATAATAAATTGTAAATTACATTTCTTACCTGTCTTAATTGGCGTTCGTTCTAATCGCACGAAACAGTAAACGATCACGACATGCAAAGAAATAATTAATATTTTTTATAATAATGTAGTAATAATTTGTAGTATAATTTGTAATAATTTTGTAATAATGAATACAATTAGCGTGCGCTGTTAACGATTGCAACTATTATTCTTTGAGAGATATAAGTGTGATGCTTTTTTTGCGAATGATAAAAAGAAAGTACAGTACAGTTCTTCGTACGGGTGAATTGATTGTGTGTAGAACTTATGCGCTGGCACATTCGATATATATACTATATAATAGATACATTACCTATAATAGGGAGGGCAATTCCATCGCTTGGTTATAACCACAGTTAATTTTTTTGTTTTTCACTTCTGATAAATATCATTGATACAAAAATGTCATATTTTAAAATTGACACAATGACTGGAAATAGTTTCATTTACTGACTCTGTCTTTCATTTTTATTAAAGTCAGTTTCAATTCTTTTAATGAATATTGTTATTTTCGTGAGGAACATTCGTGAGGAATATTTAAATTATATTTTTCTTCAGACGAAATATTACTATCAGAATTATGTATAATAATATTAGTTTTGAAAGGGAATAAAAATGTAAGTTTCTATATGTAAATATATAGAAATCTATACATAAATTATATATGTACATAAATGTAAATATTCTACATATAAATTGTAAAATAAAAATAAAATAAATGAATAAAAAAATTAAATAATAAAAATTCTCTAAGATCTATTAAGAATATTTATTCTTGTTTGATGATGCTTTATTCATTAGGAAATGTTTAACGTAGGATTCAAAGTTTCTTCGCGAAAACAGAAAGATCTTCCTTGTTTGGCTACATCAATAAGAGAATATAAAGTATTGATTAAAAAGAATTTTTCTGATCATTGTAGTGTAATTAAAACGTACATAAAACCGTGGTCGAAGATAATTAGCAAATGAACTTCAAAAGGATGGTCACTGTTAAAGTAAATTGGCCGCATTGCGAACAGCAAGTGGCTACTATAATTACAAGGTTCATTAATTCGTATTCGATGCTGATGGCACTATTTACCATATCCTACGTGATAATACTAATTGCACCTTAAATGAGTTCGAAACAGGTTTTTCTTCTTATGTCAGTCAGTTTGACATTAATTATACTGTGCTTTTAGTTTATCTTGAAAAGCATCGGGAGTTTATTTTAAATCTTTAAGTTTATTCTTAAATTAGATTTTATTTTTAATATTTTAAGTTTCATTCTTATTTTCTTTAGCTAAGTTAAATTTTCTTACTTAACCCTTTGGACGCTTAAAACTACTAGAATACTACTAACTTAGTTAAATTTAATACTAATTGAGGAATATACGACAAAATTAAAAAACACATTTATTTTTAAACATGCATTTTTTGATATGATATTTATTCAATATATTGCAATATGTCATACTTTTTGAGACAAGTAAACTAATTATCAAGTAAACTAATTATTTTATTATTGTTGATTATGAAATTATTTGTACAATATTCAAGTACGGACTAAACACTTAAAGAGTTAATATCCCATTGCAAAATTTAGTATTCGCATACATGTTTATTATTATGTATTAATATTTCTAAAATTTAGTTTTTGCACCGAATTTCTAGAATTTATATGTTTATTATCATGTATTAATATTTCTAAAGTTTAGTTTTTAAAATCGAACTTTTACAATTTTTGAGAAAACGTAAATTTCACAGACTATATTATACGCATCGACATTTTGTTATAACGCCTTTACTACAGTGTGTATTTACGAGCGTGTTGAGGGTGGACTTGACGAACGTGGATGAGCACGAACGAACATGAACGATCAAAATGTGAATAGTGCTGTGAACATGAACGAGCATCGACGAATGCGATCTGTCACTTGTCAGTATGTTAAAGAAAAATATTCATTTGTGTTCATATAGTATGAACGAAACAATTGAACGAAACAATTGGACATTTGTATCACGTACTGCTTCATTCTCACTTATTCTCTTGCAATAACTTCTAAACGTAATATTCATTTTTTAAATTTTGTTTATTAATAGTTTACGAAATATATATTTAATGTCACAATTTTGCACGTGTTATAATACTTAGCGTATGCATACGTTAAAAATGTGTTTTTTAATTACTACTGTCAGTAATTACTACTTACATTTTTTTTCGCTAATAATAACTAAACGACAGTAATTTCGGGATCGAACATCTATTTTGAAATGACTTTATGAACTTGTGATATATTGATCTTTCGAGGTCATACATGGTCATTTATAATATCGTTCAATGTCTTCCCTCGTTGAATAGAGAGTGTTCTTTACTGTTAGAAAGGACAACTTTCGGGATTAATATTAATCTTGTGGCTGAATGATAGTTAGTTGAACCCTGTCAAAAGTTACATAGTATATAATTTATGTACCTGTGTGCATCATCACAAGTAATGAGGCTTCTTTAAATTCAAGCAGAACTTTTTAAAAATGAAAAGAATTAAAAGCACGATTCCAATGTTAATTTCTAACATTTAAATTATCTTGTGTAACGTTGTTCAATTTTTCATCACACCTTCCGACCATTGTTTAAGAACCTTTGCTCCAACATCGTTGTCTTCATATTTTGGAGCTTCTGATTTGATCCTCGCAAACCATCTTATCACGTTCTTATATTTGCTGAGATCGTAGCTGGAGACCTGTTATCAAAATAATACAACGAATGAATGTGGCTTTGCATGAATAAAGAATAGTTTCAGTTCATTTCAAGAACTTATACTTTTTTTGTTTCCAACTTTTAGAGTAGAGTTTCAATAAGGCAATGTTTTCAAGAGAATTACCTCTAATGTAGAAACAGTGACGACAATTGCTAGATCAGCGAGAGTCATGGTTTTCCCTGCCACGTAGTCTTGTCCTTCGAGGAATTTTTCAAGAAACGACAAAGCCGTGCCAATAGCTACATATTTCGTTGGATCTCTAGGGGCCTTATATATAAATATAGGGTACTATAACAAAGATTTTACGATTAACTATCTATTTGCTTCACATGTGTATATTTTAAAGTACAGTATATTACTGTTCACTTACATAGAACTAAATGAATTATTTAGAAATAATAATACTTAGTAATAGAGAAATACTAAAACTAATAATAGAGAAATTGACGTTAAAAATTATTAAGTAATGTGAAACTTACGTAATAATCTATGAAAGCTTTGTACAACGTGCATGCATCGAAATATAATCTCTGATCAACGAGCGCACGTTTCTTCGGATCCTTTGGATATAGTGAGTCGTCTTTGCCGTATTGATTTGCCAAGTATGTTATAATAGCTCGGCTAATGAAAACATGTATAATGTTTCTATTTTTATTCTATTAGTCCTATGTTTGTACACGTGTAGAATAAATGTAAAGTAAGTGTTACAAACTAAAGCAAGCCTATTACAAAATCGCGTTGGAATAATAATATAATTCTAATTCGAACAAGATTTCTATTTTTCTTTAATTTCTTTTTTACGAATCGTTATTTGAAATATTATCACGTGGCTGTATACGTCAATTTAATTGCATAAACTAAATCTAATCTAAATCGAATCTAAAAACATTTATAAAACTGCTAAATAATATTTATATATAAATTAATAAAAATATTTATACGTACAATAGCAAGTTAATGTATCAAAAAAGAAACAAGAAAAAATGTTAGATATTAAATATTGAAGTTTACATAAATTTTACCTTTCACACATGATGAAACCGTCATCATCAATTGTAGGTACCATGTGTTGTGGATTCATCTACATACATAAAGACATTAATTATATTACCAAAAGTATTGAATATAAATAAATATAATTATTTTGTGTTTTAATATCGAATTTGAATTGAAGTGTAATAGAATAACCTTCAATTTACATGAAATACTGTTGTATCATCTATGTACCTTCAAATATTCGGGTGTTAGATGTTCTAGATTCTCGAAAGAGATTTTTTTGAGATTCAGTGTGACACCAAGCGCGGCAGCTGCCAATCTAACGAGACGGCATGGAGGACTTCCTGTAGTTTCATAACTAATAATCGGCATTTTGATTTCTGTAACCACGTGCGATTCATTGTTTAAAGAATTGTTATCTCTCAATTAAATACACTCGAATGAAGCCGTTTTTTGTAAATTGTTTTTAAAATGAAAGTAACAGTTCAGATGAAACGTGATTTATTCCTTCGAATAATAATTTTTTTCTAATCTCAAAAGTAAAGATTATCTATTTATAGAGTAATAAAAAAAATGAAAAGTTAAAAATGGACTTACAAAAAAGAGTCAAATGATTGAAAAATGTCAAGCTGATATTTGTGTAACTTGGACTTGAACGTGAAATAAATCATTGCTTTTTTTATCGCGGCATATATTTATTTATGTAATATGTATTTATTTAAATAATATGACTCAACAGAGTTCTAGATAATTTTTGGAATATACTAATATAATATTATTTTAATATATTACGTAAACATTGGTTTAAATACACACGAAAAAAGAATCGAAACATGTCATCTCTGTTATACTAATAAAATAAATTGCATTATGAATTAAATTTCTTTTCATTACAACGTTAAATTATATTTATTATATTTAATTTTTGGAAGCTGCGAACGTTTTTCGTAAAACAGTATATTAATTCGCTCATTCGCAAATATTAATTATACAGCGAGAAACAGATTTTGTTTCTTATATTCAATAAAGACATAAAATGAACGATTAAAATGACATCAGAAAACACAATATATAGGAAACTCCATACCGTTTATATGTAATTGACGACGAAAACAAAAATGATTTGTGACAGATAAGTAGGGACACGCAAAGCAAATTTAAATACAAGCTTCCCAATTATGTGCCAGGAAAATTGCGTACAGTCTAAAGAAGTTAGCTCTCCAGTCTCTTTATAAATGCCAGCATATCTACTATAAATCCCCCAGCAAGAGAGCATGCGCATGTCCGATCGGTTTCAACCTGTTACGAATACGTAGTTCACCGCCATCGTCTATGCTTTTTCCCTTTGATCTTTTCCCATCTTTTTTAAATTTTCAGATCGTTAAATTTATTAGAGCTTAGATATGTTAGTAAAATGAATGAATGATATTTGTCGAAAGATATAGAATAGATTATTTCAAATCAAGTGTTTACGAGCTGTGTAAGAGACTCAAAAAAAAAAAAAAAAATCTATAAAAATATCGTACAATATCGTAAAAAATATCTTATCGTAAAAAGTAAGTGTTGATGCAAATAGTATTAAGAAGTTTTATGACTTAAAGTATTGATAGCAATGAAGATATATTAAACGTTTAAATAATTTAAGTTAAATAATTCGCGATGTTTCTCTACACTAGTACTATAAAGGATATTTGCAAGTAAGCTTAGAATTTTGAAAAACAAGTTGAGTACAGTGTGTGTAGTAATCTTTACAGAAAATTATTTGATTCCACGGTATTTTCAAACGTTTTAAAAACATGTCCTTAAAAATTAAACTTTTGTAAAAATGAGTGCACATATAGATTCATATTAGCAAGTTATAATAAATTGTAAACTAGCAATGACTAGCTTACATTAGCGAAGTGCGTCAACAACATTACAAGTTACTTGTTTTAAATTTTTAATTATTGAGCGACCTTTGATGTTACGTAAGTGACTGAGACTTAAAATTTGCACTTTATCATAACATATTCAAGCTGTTTTACATTTGCATTTACTCGTCGTATCTGTATTTTGCGTAATAATCGCGAACATTTAAACAAAATAATTGTCAAACATTTCGTGCGTATAAATAAATATTTCGTTCGTTTTGCCACGTGTAATGGGCTGCACGAGGTTCATAGACGATTGCATCGTTTTTGAGAAAGCAGTTCGATACACGGCACAATGCCAGTGCGTTCACGGGCTACGCGAATCGATCACGAGCTTGTAAACGGGCTGACCCACTTTTCCTTCGTTACCCAGCCGATTCTCGCGATGCATGCACCGTGGAAATACCGAGAGATCCAAGAAGACCGCAAATCCTTCGATTTAACGTCGCCGCGCACGTCCACGCCACCGGAAATGTAGCTCTAATCAGTTGCGGTTACAGCCATACCGTGGATGCGGAACGCTCTTTTGGAAGACGCGGATTAATTACGAATAGCACGGCAAAATTGAATTCACCCATGTAGATCGAATCGTGCGGAAAATTCACCCAGGAAAGATTCATAAGCTCCGTCTGCAATTTCGAGTCTGATACAAGCGACACCATGACGGCAGATTGAATGCACGTTACTCGGTATTAAACGATGAATCGAGATCGTTTCATTGTCTTGTAGCGGCCTATAGTCCCTCAAGTACGAATCTCGAACACCAACTTGTACAAGCCGCAAAAGTGGCTGTGCGCCTAGCGTCGAAGTCCAGCGATCTTTGACGTTAATCGTTCCGTGACGTTAATCGTTCCAGAATTCATTGTAATTTTTGATTTTGCTTTTGGTCGAAAGTAAGTTATAAGAATTGAGAGGAAATGCAATTTTACTAATTACTAATTTAATTCTTGCAAATCAATGAGCATCTACGCGAATATTCCAATTTCCTTCTGAATATTCTTTGTTCTGAATGTTCTTTGTCGAATTGCTTTTACAATATACATAAGTCTCAAGTGTTGCTAATTTTATATTACAATTAGATTTGTTTAGGAATGATTTAATCATCGAAATGATGAACCGACTGATGATTCACGATATTACAATATTTTTTTAAAATAAAATTTCAGATGTCGACAAATGATAATTAAGAAATGTTTCGTATTTATGTTATTTGATAAACTATATCGTTCAATAAACGAAACAAATTTTCTTTATCTATTAACATCAATTCCTTTACATAGTTATTATTTCATTGCAATAATAATGTGATTAAATTGTGAGATAGATAGTAAGACAGTCTTTGACGTTGTCAAGGAAAAAATGAGAATTCGATTTTTCATTTAATAGAGTAAAATTACGTTGAGAAACTATGCAGTTGTAATTTCTTAAATATTTGCTTCCCTTTCGAGAACGAGGATGAATCATTATTAAAATACTTGGCAAACTTTTCTTATAATGAAACAACTATAATATACGTAGCGATAGTTATGTATTGAATAAAATCATACCTGGTGAAAACCTTTTAGAAACATTAATTTTCTTAGTTTATTTTAAATTTATTTTCTTTTAATAAAATATCAGTAATAATATCAGTAATTTTCTTAGTTTATTTTAAATTTATTTTCTTTTAATAAAATATCAGTAATAATAAATATTGAATATTAACATTAGCAACATATATATTATGTCAAATAACTGTTTACACTACGAATGTATAAAACATGTACAAAAACTTCTATTTCAAAGATATGCACGAGATTCCGAATTATTTCTTAAACTACTTGATTTGTAAAACATTTCTAATAATTCTTCTTAATGATTCACTATTATTACGCATTCTCTTAAGGTCGTAATCATCCTTTGCGGTTTGTGATTTATTTTTACAATGGACCTACAAAATTCTTGTTTGGATATCGGATCTGCTAGAGTAAAATCGCTGTCCAATCACATAAGGTCACAATGATTAATTGCGTTTTGTTTTATTTTGCGTAATAATAACTTGTATCAAAGTGAACATCTATATATGGAAGTCTCTCTCAGACTCTGTTTTGGTAGCTAGAAGAAGAATTGACTTTGAGCGCCGTCGAGAATACGAAAGAATTTTCACACGTTGCAAGAAGTTTTCCTAACCGACCGATCGATGGGGTTAAAAATCAGAAGAAAAAATAACAACGGGCGGGAAAGCGCGGAGGAAACGGTTTGTGAAGAGAGCGAGAGTACCGAGCGATTGTGAGGCGGTTGATTTTCCGTGCAGCGGCGGCGGCGGCGGCTGCGGAAGTTTCTTCGCGGGCGTTCTCAATTTCACCGGTAAAAACATTACCTTCCCTTCAATGATTCCTCGAGGGCGATCCGCGCGGCCGCATTCGCGAAATGGACCGTGAGTTAATTAAATTCAGGAACAGGAGAATGCTATGGACCGTCGAACAGGAATTCCGGGAACGGAAGCGCAACGGGTTTTTCAGCCGGCATGCTCGGCCAGGATTCCGCAGTTTCTGCCGCATCATCGTCGAATCGTCCGCCGAAATTATTGTCCGTGTTGCGTAATTCTCGGCACGTAGCCTCACGCATGATCGGTCAACGCATGTGAAAAAAATAAAAGGGAAAAAGAAACATCTTCGATGGAAGGCGAACGAGAAAGGAAAGAAAAAGAGAGATGAGAAAGAAACATGGGAACAACAATAGAGTTTCCCTTTTATTTTCAAAGGGATTCGGAGTAACTTTGTTTTTTATTCTCTCGCGATTGGTTTATCGACGTTTGTCCGTGGTCGTTTAATTTTTTTTAGATAGGTAACATGTTATATTATATTAGGAATCGTAGAAGTGACAAATATTTGAAAATGTCACGTGCATAAATATTGCCATTGACACTAATATTACTATCCGTAAGTTTTTGTTGTTAATCGTAGCAAGTAATGTGACGAGGCTCAAGGCTGAATAATCATATTTTCGAAATAAAAAGTGCAAAGTTACAGATGACTATGCACGTGTAAAAGATCGCGATAACTGTAGATTGCACTAGTTCTTTTTTTCTCTTTTATCGATTTATTGAAAGTAGCCAATCTATAAAAAAAATCTCAGTAATAATTACAAAAGTAATTAGTAATAAAATAAGTAAAATAAAAGTGACCATACAATCAGAACCTAAGTCGTTTTCTACTTTTTGAATTTTTTTAAATATTTCAATTTCTTTGAATGATAAAAATTTTTTTGACCTTGATATAATAAATAATTTTTTTCAAAAGCCAATATAATTATTCCATACTTGTAAATACTATTCCATATTTCATAATGTTTTGTGCATGTTTTATGATAGCCAGATAAAAGTTATGCTTGTAATAATACAATATTTATTTGAGTTTAAATTTTAAACGTAATTTCATCGATTTGGTAAATGAACGCAATAGCTCATTTATTGTTATTATTGTGTAACAACTTAGTTATTCGGGACGAGTAATATATATTTTTTAATTTTTTTTACAAAAGATTTGAATTACACCAAAGTTTATTTCTATCTATAAATAAGACAAGATAACATTATATATAAAATATATAAATTATATATTTATGTCATAAATTATATATTTATATAACCGATATATTTTTATGAAATCAGATTACGTAATCTCGATGAAAACGTTTGAACATGTAATAAATTAAAAAAAAGACAATGTTTTATTTATTTAATTTAAATTAAAATTTTCACGTTAAAATTCTAAATATTGTAGATGTTTAATTTTACATAGTTAATAACGTAGATAAGTACAGTTGACTTAGGCTTTGGGAAGTGAACATCGTTCAATAGAATGACTATCGCTGACATAAATTGTCTGCATTGAACGCAGCCAATTTCATAATTTCAATGATCATTTCAATGAACGATTTTGCTTCGATTATAATTATTTCAATATTCACACGTGTCTGTCGAAATTAAGAAAAATTTTTTCTTTTTCCTTTTTTCCTTTTTATTTTTTTTTAACTTTTTTAAAGTTAATATTTACGAGTTTTACTAATTACATAAACCTTTCGCTTCAAAAAGGTGAAATGAATTACTTAGAATATGAATGATAGGTTATTTATATTTCATGTTTGCATCATTAGTGTATCCAAAATTGTACAACACTGCACGCGGAGGAATTCAAACTTAACTTTGTATAAAATGGATCTTACATCGAACATATGATACTATCTATAGTGTAACTTTATGATTAGATAAATGATAGATAACTATTTTATTTAATTTACAGATATTTATATTTACACATAATTTCAATCTTCTACATATATAAAGTCCGTTCCTGAAAAACGAGAAAAAATTAAATATTTTATAATTAATTAATATTAACTAATATTAACTATTAACAATATTAACTAATAACTAATAGATACTAATAACTGACATATTTTCTACATCGATGTTTAATCTTTTAAAAACTTTATTTATCCGTACTAACTGCGGATTGAGTTCGGCTGGAATTATATAAATGTTTTAGCATAAATGTATGTATGTTTCATACAAGAACGAACGATTCTTCGCTACGAATCGAATAAATTTCGCGTCGAGTATCTATGTAATAATTTTCGCTGAAAACAATATTTAGACACGATTGATAAATGGATTCTACTATAAAACGAAAGTCGTTGAAATGTACCGAAACTCTCTGTTTGAAACTTTGGTCGCTTGATTTGCGACAGATAATCGGAATAGGGATAAAGGAGTTGGCTGGAACACGCAAAGCAAATCTAACTGTGTACTTTTCGAGAGCTCGCGACGAGATAATTACAAACTATGTAAACGAGTTAGTTATCGAGTCTCCTTATAAATGGGATGCCGATACAACATCATTTTCAAAAGATCGATACCACAAACGTGCAAATACGTATTGAAATGATTTTATTTCATCTAACATCCTTTGTTTGTGAAGAAGTAACAATATACAGTGTGTATATTGCTATGACTACAAATTGAACATGTATATAACTAATAACATATATAATTGTGCAAACTATCAAAGTCCATTTACGAATAACATCGGTAAACTATAAAACAAATTGAAAATAGCTAAATGTTTGTACTCTATACGCAAATCCATCGCCTCACTTTCTTTCACTTTCTTTTCTATTCAACAAGACGAGGTTCTCGTTAAAGTGAAACGATGATTTACGAAACGATCTAATAGGTTTCATGTCTAATCTCGATGATCGGTGCACTGGCAACCGAGTTCACGGTTCTACCATCCTGTTGTACGACCTCAGTGTTAACTAGATTCTTGTAAATTCGATCGATACAATTCGGTAAACAATTTTGTTCCAGGCGAGTGCACATCCTCAAAACCGAATTTATCCAGAAGTTGCTTGCAACGATTGTACCAGGCTTCTACGTTGTCGTATCGGCCAATATCAAAGTCGAAGCACTGTTGACAAAGTACATATATTACACTCTGCTGATAATATCTCACCTTTTAACATTTTTTTTATTATAATATCGTTCGCTCACTGTTTCTATAATTAGGAGAGTAAGAAGGAGAATAATATTTCGTAAAACGATGATCACGATATTTTTAACAGACCAATTAGGAACAAAATGACTTTATTAATTGAAAAAGAATTAAAAGTAGTATACTTTTTTTTTTATATCAAATTGCATTGCGAAACTCAAATTTAGAATTTTAAATTTTATAAATTGAAAAGGTAAATTTTGTAAAATGTTCGATTGTTTCTTACACTGTAATATACAAGTATTGACAAGTTATAAATTACAAATCTCCAGCTCTTCAAGCCACTCTCTGTTATAACGGTTTTAATGAGGCTCGAGATAAAGATTGATGTACTCGTATCGTTAAACGATCAAAGAAAGAATATTATGTCCCGTTTTTTTTTCCCGCTGTGTTTTATCCTAACTTTGACGTCAATCTGACGTGAAATGTTTCATGTCAAGAGTTATTTTTAACCCTGAAAGCCGCTTTTTCTTGAGACATTCTTTTTTTCCTTCGTTTTACTTGTTACTTGTTACAGCATTTAAATTCACCATTGCTCCAAGTTGATAGTCCATAAAAAGTTACGTCAACGTCTCGTTTTGCAAGTTATTTAAATATCGAATGTCACTTTCGTTTTCTATTTAAATTTATATACATGCTATGTACAAATAAATATCTAATTACTGTTTATGTGCGAGAGAAATTCTAATTTTTGTACCTTCTCGAAATGCACACTTACCAATAAAACGCAAATAGTCGTGTGGATGGCAAAATCAGCGATGGTTAGAGTGTCACCAGCAACGAACTCCTTATCAGCGAGATACGTGTTTAACAAATCGCATGATTTTTCCACAGCTTGTACGTTTTCTTCGTTTAGGGAATGTGCTCCAAAGAATACTACAGGATACTAATGTATCAAGGATAAATAACTGTCGATTATGTACTATAATATAATTACTATAATTGCTATAATTAATCCGTAAATCAACGCGTATTTCTTGTGATGATTTAATTATATTAAATTTGCTATAAAACAAACATACACACAATGTGTTTCAGTTTCAAACGATCAAACTTCATGTTTGTTCTGTGATTAATGTTAAATAAATGTAGGTTTGCGAGCGCTGTACAAGAAAATTAGAAGAAAATGGAAATTAACCAACGTATATACATATACATATTTGCTGTGAGCAAAAAATAGCGTCAGCGTACTTTTTGTTCGACGCTTTGGAAATGATCGCTAGCTCGCTATCATTATTGCTAATTGAAACTCGTTGCAACAGCATATTCCATATGAACACCTTTATATTATTAAATTATTTTGAGATATTGTTAAATTATCTTGTAACGTGACAACAATGAACTCGTGTTTCATATTTCTTTTTCTTGTTTCTACTCATAGAACAAACTGATGAAATTTGATCGTCTAATCTAAAACTGTGACACCCTGTATAAACGTTGGTTCCAATCCAAATTTTTTTCATATTTAAAATTCATTAATAATAAAGTAGAATTGTTATCATACTGTCGACATCGATGCATACACATACACGCATGCTGCTATTAACAGCGAATGTTACATCACTTATTAAAGCTGTTTTTACAACAATAAGAGTATTAGAATACATACGTAACAATTAATCATGTTCTCGTGAAGCGAGCCGGCATCAAAATATAGCATTTGATCCACGATGCCTCTCTTTTTCGGATCTTTCGGATACAAAGAGTCATTCTTGGCGTACTTGCTTACTAAATATCCCATAATTGGTCGACTGTAAGCGCGTGATAATATTATGAAAGAGTAGGTTTGCTTCTGACGATAAATCATTATTTCATACCTTTCGCATAAAATAAATCCGTCGTCGTCTATCGTAGGTATTACATGCTGTGGATTTAGCTAAGGAACGTAATTATAGTATATCATTGTTTATCAACTGCATTTAATTAAAACATTCAATGTCATATTACCCTTATGTGGATTTAATTTTTTTTTTTTTTAATTTTTGAATGTACACATGCATGAAATTTTTACACGAGTAATTCATCTTTACGCTCAGAATACAATATATGTACATATATGCGTAAAAGAATATTTATTTTTTACTATCTTTGGTGAATTTGTTAGCCAAAAATTATTAGACTTACAATTGTTACATTTTTTTTTTTTTTTGAATTTCCAGCATTTAGTATAGAAATATTTTTCGACTAATTTCTTAAAAAAACTACGCACGCGTCTCTCCTTTAATTTTTCAGCAGCGGGTGTATTAATTTTTTGAGCTTGTTCATACCGCAATGTTTTTACGTTGTATAAATAGGTGCGACGTTTTAAACATTACTGTCATTCATTTATACACATTGTAATTTTTATACGAATTAATCCATTAAGGATTAACGAGTAAATTTTGTGTTAACATTTCACTTGCAATTATTTTTTCAAGGACTTATGAAATTCTGTTTTTCAACATCGTGGCTGTGAAAGAGGATTCCGACGATTCGTTTATTGACTTTTTCATTGCTATTTCTTTTACCTTCTAGATTTTACAATCGTGTAAAATTTAACCACTGGAATGATCAATTTGTAATTTTTGTTAGAATGATCAATTTGTAATTTTTGTTAGAAATTTTATAAATTTAAAACAGTGTAGAGATTTAAAAAGATTTTAAAAAGATTTTAAAGATTTAAACGATTTTTCTGATATACAAATACAAGCTTATATTTATAATTATAATATTTTATTGTATTATAAAACTTTTCCATTTTTTTTACTTTAATGTCTTTGATGGAAATTTTGTGTCTTAATCGTAGTATTAGAGGAATCGATGTGTTTCGTCTTTAATGTAAAACATCGTTATAAAACACTAATTTAATATTTTAGGAGAAACTTTTTTACAAAAATTGTAGATACTGTCATGTTTGGACTGCAGAGTTTTATGCATTTATGGGAAATTTAAGAGCGCGAAAAAAAAAAAAAGAAAAGAAAAATAGAGAACGTGCGTAATATTTAGAAATATATAAAATATCGAAATTTAATACTCGTTATAGCACTAAAGAATGGAAACAAAGCTATAGTAAGTAGATTCTATTCGTTTAATTATCTTTATGAAAGTACGAAATTGCATAAAAAATTAGTCCAAATAAAAGAGTCTAGTTATGATAATATGAAATGAAAACGAACCTTCACGAATTCAGGCTTCATGTGTTCTCCCTTTAAGGGTGAAATCGTTTTCAAGTTCAAGTGGACACCGATTGCTTTCGCCAGTAGTAGTACCGACCGGCATGGCGGGCTACACACGAAGTAGTATAAATCAATCGGCATCTTTTCAGGCCTTTCTCGTGTCAGCGGGATTCTATTCCGTCCTTTCTTTCGTTTCTGAAACGAACGTGATTACGCAAACGAGATTTTTATACGGTAGATCCGGAATAAAGAATCTTACGAATCTTTACGTTTTGCATTCGCATGTACCTCGGCTCGCATACAAATATACGTGATTACTGTGACTCAGATCCTACGGATCGGAAGGTTACTGACTGGGTCGCGCGAAATCTTATGGAAATCTTTTACGAACGTATAAGTATAATCGACGAGCGATTGTCAGACAAATTACATTTTAGATAGACAAACTCTATTATTTCTTATTACTTTGTTGTTCAGAATTCATTGAAATATCATGATATTTTTTATTCTACTCTCATGCATGTTATTGTAACACATAGAATGTGATGGTGTTATTAAAAAGCATGAGTAGAAGTGCAAGAGAAGTATCAGAGTGACTCTGGAATGTCAGAATCTAGACACTTCTCGATATTAATTTAACGAAATTACCAAAATTAAACAAGAAATGAAATTAACGCCAATTAGTATCACGAAATACTTTCCTTTATCCCTGTACTGTTTCTCCTTCAGGCGACGCATTTTCAACTCCCTCGCGACACTTTCGTTCGCGTCCGATTTAGCACGCCCGAGCGGAATGGATTTCTCTCTGGATTTCATTCGCGCGCGCGTGTTAACGATTTTCTAATTGATTGCCCGGATAACTGACTGACAAAATAACGTACCAAAACGACACGAGTCGGTTGGTCGGCTACGCCGCGGAAAATCGCATGAACAGAACGCGAATAAAGAGAGAGAGAGAGAAAGAGAGAAAGAGAGAGAGAGAGAGAGAGAGAGAGAGAGAGAGAGAGAGAGAGCAGCGAAGCAAAGCAAATACAAAAGCGTCGTCGAATGGTTGCACCGAGTTGCCATAGCGATGTCGTAATGCCAAACATAAGCGTCGAAGTGTAACGGGCGACATCGTGGGATGCGTTTCGAAGGCTGAATCGGCACGATCGATATGAAAACAAGCCTCCGGGTGGTCGCGATTGAAACTGAAAAGTAATCGCGTCGGATCGGGACAGGTTGACGGGTAGTGCCGGCTATTGTGGAAGATGGTGTAGAGGAAGGGAGGTGGGTTGGCACGGATATGGCCACGAGAGTATCGGATACGGGGATACAGGGCGCAGGTACTACCGGCTATGGTTACGAACGTCGGAACGTTGTCGGGCAACGTTGACGGTCCAGGACAGGGAAAATCGTATTAATCTGCGAACAAGCGTTTCGCCGGGCTGCAGGCGGTTACGATTGAAACCCAAAACAGCCGCGGTGTGTTTTACGATAAACGGGAACTGGGGGGTGGTGTAACAAATCCTAGGCGAAACGTTTGCAGCGAATTGTTCTATCAATTGTTTTACATACATCGGGGACCACTTGGGACAGGGTATTATTTATAGCTTGTTTCAAACCGGTGCAAAGTAATGTACAAATTAGTAGCTGCGCGTTCGTAGAGCTCGTTTCGGCGGCACGTATTTTGTCAAACGTTGGATAACATTTGCGAACCTTTGGAAAATTCTACACGACTGGAGACGAACGATTCTGTGATTTGCAATCGTTTAGGACGCAGTTCGGTTGAGATCAAACTCGCTTGTTTGGTAAGAAAATTTCGAAAATCTGCAGCAGGTGTTAGAATGTTTCGATATTTCTTCTTTTTATGTATGTAAATTTCATTCAAGTTGAAATATTTAATAAAATATCGGATGTTTGAGAAGATAACGAAGACTCATAGGCAAAGACGTTAGATTGTGCAATGTCACTTTGCTGCATAGGCTTCTGTTAAGTACCCTGTCACGGTACAGGTGTTATAAGTTAATGCTCCATCTTACCGGTAAATTTCATATAAATTCCATGAAATGCTGATATCATTCACTTGCATCACACTGCAGCATCATTTAAGATGCTACAGCGTACTTGGGAAGAAATATGGGAAGATGAAGCACGTATCAAGAGTTTCATTTCACGTGTTGATGCCACGTTATTTGAATCAATTACATATTCTATTGCTCGTAAAGATCTAATTCATATGTTTGCAAAATTGTACGAACGAAACACGTGCTATTCTGTCCTTGCTTTGGCAAATTATCGACTACCAAATTCATGTGATTATTATGCTCTCCTCGCAAATTATCAATGTCCACAAGCATGACCGTATAATAAAACTCTAGCGAAATACTAATTTCTTGTTTAAAACAAAGTGGATTTTTAGGATTAGGTTTCCCAATTTTGTTTCGAACACTGTACAAACAAGACGCTTGATACTCGCGAATCAAAGATCGTTACACGTAAAGCAACCACGGTGAATCCATTCTCGTTCATAAATTTCTTCTCGGTCGTCGTCGATCGTATTGCGTGCAAGGAGGAAAAAAGGCCAAACGAAGAGGAACGAAGAAAAATGAAGACGTAATACCATCGTGGCTGCGTCGTGTTCGAGCCGCTTTGCGAGAGATAACTCTTATAAGGATACTGGTTGTCTGGCTGGTGGCACGCGATACACGGAATTGTCGCCAGCGCTTGGGCGAACGTTTGCGTTGGCTCGTTCATCTCAATAAATTTTCTTTCATTACCGTCGTCACCTGGGGAGGCCGGGCCGCGATCTCATTTTACCGGACAATTACACGTGACTTGTTACCGCGATATAATTTTAATTGGCTGCGAGAACACATTCGGCGTCTGCGCGACTAAGAATAAACTGGCGCCGGCCATTGTAACGCACCGTGTGCGCTGTAGGCTGTCCATAAATTCATACGGTGGGATACGCGGGCTCATTGCCGCGCGCCAATTATTTCTCCGCCGGAGCATCAGCAAAACGTGTCGTTTTAACGATGTCACGGACAACTAGAAACATCGATTATTCGGCGAACGAGCATGTAATTTGGTCGCGAATGAATGCGTCCACGTGCGGCCGCGCCCTCGTTCAATTTATTCGCGTACTGCCTCGGCGACGAGTTTTCGTTTTAATCGCCATTTAAACGATTATCAACCGATGCCCGGCCCGGTAAATAAAGACCACGTCGGTCCACGGTTAACGAACTTCACGATATTTTCTGTTAACGGAGGCAACGATCGATTTATGTCCGTTACGTTAATCGATCGATCCACTTTTTCGTTCACTCTCAGTCCATCGAGTATACAGTTCGACCTGTAGATTAGGAACGAGAAGGAATTTTTTTTCTACATTTGCTATAGAATGAACTTTCGCAGAGTTTGTATGGGGATAAATTTCCTCGAATTTTTGAACATATCAATCGTTTTGACCCCGTGGTTCTCAACGTGGCGACAATTATGATTTTTTTAGAGTTTTAGGGGAGTAAGTCGAGAATGAGAAAGAATTTTTTGCATTTCTTTCTAAATGAAAATTAAATTTTCTAATTTTTTTTTTCTTTCCTGGATGTTCTTTGGAAGTTTGTTTAGACCTTGAAGTTGTAATGGCCCTTTAGGCTTCCTCCACGTCGAAAATTCACTTTTTGAATAATAAGAATTATGTGTCACATGGGTGGAGCATCAGGATTTTGGAGATGCTTAGATGAGGCATGGGACAAAAAAAGGATAAAAATATAGAATTCCTTTAGGCGAGAAGAATTTCGCTTATTATTTGCAAGAGTTTGGGATTATACAAATTGTATAATCACATAATTGATGAAAAATTTCAACATTTATTGGTATTAATTTGCAATTCGATGATTGTCGATCGTAAGAGTTAATATACTCTGTAGCTTTATTCTTGTTATAATTTTTCACTTACATTCGTATTTTCATAGCCATTGAAAACTGAAACAAAGCGACAAAATTCCGTGTGAAGAATTTATCGTATTGTTCAGTAATATTTAATCAAACAGAGGAATATCTCTCAGTAATCTCGAATGATCGAAATTCACAGTCGTTATTTTGTTATTTTGTTATTTTGAGAGTTATCGAATTTTAAAATGCTACGTGCACGATTTGATTATTCGTTGCGTTAAATATATGTACATATATATACATATAGGTTGCGTGGAAAATTTATAAATATTAGATGCGAGAAAGCATCGTTGCGAAAATATGCGAATATTTGTGGACAGATATTAAATGTACAATAACTTTAGTAAGTTTAATCAACTAGTTATACAATCGAACATACCAAGCTCGATCGTTTTCAATTCTCGTTACCAGTCCACTCATCTTGCTATTTTGTTGCTATCTGAAAGCTGTTTCCCTTTTTTCTCCATTACCGTCACCGATGTTGTTAACTGTAGCCATAGGTTATATTATATTGTTCCATCGTGCAGTGCACTTTATTCTGCATTGTATATTTTTGATGTCGTTATCAAGCAAATATAGTGCGAATATAGTATAACGTGAATACCAGTCTCAAAATTTTTTATTCAAAACAAATTCTCTTTTTACGTTTTGTGACAGAAATCTTAAAATTCCAAGTACTTTTAATAAAATTGACAGAAGTTGTTTTAATCTATAAATGAAATCACTTTTTAAACTATTGATTATTTCAGACAAATCTTGTTACGTTTCGACGAGGGAGTAATTCGATGAAATTTATTTGTAAAGGTGTTTCAGAGATTTTAAAGTCAATTTAATTTTTTAAAATTAAACTCTAATTTTCTATACCCCAATAGATGCATCTTTTTATTCTAAATAAAGAAGTATTGATATATTTCGGAAAACTATTAGTTTTGGGAGATATTTTGACTAAGACTATCTTTAATAATTACTCAATTTTTTTCTACTTAAAATATGCTACAAGATTCATACGTATATTGCGTGATCTACGTAATTGAATAAAATTTTATTTTCTCCTCTTCAAATTAAATGAATAATTCCTACGTTTGATGATCATAATTCTTGCGTCAACAAATTAAATTAAAAATTCATGGTGAAAACATTGGTTTAATCGGCCGAGTTTAATTATAGTCACATTGATTTTTGGAGTTAGTGAAACGGCAATTTAGCCGAAATTAGCTCAATAAATTTCAATTACCACTACTGCACGCAGAGCTATCAAATCTTCTGGTTCATTTTACACGCACGTTGAGGAGTCATTTTTAATTTTGTCGTTTGCTATTATATCATTATTATCAATTTCACCAGTTTTTGTCACGGATTA